TAAACCACTAAAAACATCAACAAACATAATAACTTGGGGGTGCCTTCCTGTACCAGACTGCTCACTTTCCGGACTTTCGGGGCATGACCACACACACACTATGTGATTCATGGAGTCTCGTCTTCAGTACTGGTTGGTTTAGTTTAGTTGTTCAAATGTCATCTAAGAGATGGATTGAATTCAATTCAACATATTGATATACAAATAGATAGATTAAACAAATAATATAAATATATATATATATATAGATAGATAGATAGATAGATAGATAGATAATTAGATAGATAGATAGATAGATCGATAGATAGATAGATAGACAGATAGACAGATAGATAGTTAGTTAAATAGATTTGCCATTTCTATATCCATTCCACCACCCAGCATCATCTCCACAACTCCGTACTTAACGCTCCGTTAAGCAGATGCGTTAAGTGCCTACTCTCTGCGCCTGTGGTAGGGCGGCCAAATTCATGAAGCCCGGTTCGCAGTGATGATCAAAGGGATCCCTCACCATATAGACCTAGCGAAAAAAACACGTGGCACCTGGCAAATTCGATGGAGTTTTCTCTTGAACTAACTAGGTGTACAATATAAGATTTAACATATATATATATATATTCCAATATACTATATATATAATTATATATATATATATATGTCGTATCGTTGAATCAACTAGTTTATGCTATGTGTATATATATACCTGGTTGGATGAGATCCCACATGATTCATGCGACATTACCATGATACATGGTCCATATTGTACAGTGTCAGTCCCTCGTTTCAGAATTGGGATCAATCTGGGATTCTTTTTGTCAATAGATGTCAATAGGCATGATTCTAGAACTTGGTATCTATCTCAAATATCTCAAGAAGATGTAGTAATTGCGCGCATGTGATGCAGGCCCTGAGCAATACAGTATGTGATACATTCTCCAACATCCCCAAGGCATTTTTGTTAAAAAGGGACATATATATATGTATACATATATGTGCAAATGTATATACACATGAACTTGAACTTAAATCATCCATCATTATATTCCTACCTTCACAATCGTATTTCTATCCCATGCCCGCAAACGGCGGGCCTCAGGAGGCACCACGAGCTCGTGCACTGCACTGAAATTCCTCAAGTCCGTTCCAACCTCGGCTGCGAAAGGTTTGGATGGAAACCAAAGCAAGAACCACAGAGTTATATCTTGGCCATACTTTGTGAGTATAGCATAACAGCTGGTACATTCACCACAGATGAGACCCATATTAACTTCCATGGCCAATCTTAGATACTTTGCAAAACAAAAACATCTAGTTTTTGGCTGAATCTACCAATGTGTGCATATATTTAGATAAAACAAGAAAACCAACACAAACAAAAGATTTATGGCCAATCTTAGACATCACAGACTGGTTGGTGGTTGCAACCCCTCTGAAAAATATTAGTAAATTGGGATCACAATTCCCAATATATGGACAACTAAATTTCATGTTCCAAACCACCAACCAGAATGTTATGACTTAATGGACATGATGCCTATCTTAGGATGTCTGTGTAAAAATCCTGAGGTCGCAGTGAGGTCGCTATAATTTACCCATATATATATATGTATATATGCATATATGTATATATGTATATATGTATGTAACAATTAGCGTATAGATATTCCCACGATGCTCCATTCATACCGGGCACCTATGGATCCAATTTCTGAACCGAACGGATAGCTGGGCTTAGCCCAGTTACACTCCGTTTTGGTACGACTGGATCCATAGAAGATCGCTAAACTACCCATCCGAAAACATCTATATGTATATAATCATTGTGTTTATACTTATTATGTATATTGACCAGTTATAGTAAATTGATAAATTTACAAAGTTGACTTCTATAAGTTGGCAAAAAACATGGACTAGTTCAATATATCCTGGTTGGTGGTTTACCCATGTTGAAGAATATGAAAGTCAATGGGAAGGATGACATCCCATATATGACATGGAAAATAAAAGCCATGTTTGAAACCACCAACCAGTATCATATCAATGGTGATTACATGTGATTACTATATATCTATTGTATATCTACTATATATCTATTGGATATATCATACCATTAACCCAACACTTATTGGAGTGAACAGTTTACCAACTTCAAACGCGAAACAACCAAGTCACCGTGAAGACTAAGTCGGGAAAGACATGGATGTGATGACCTGAGTCGCCGGAACCACTATGGATAGGTTTAAGGCAGTTTAAGGGAACATCGAGACTCTCTAGACTTGAGACTTTCCAATCTAGCAAGGTGCCAGTAGGGTTCTAGACATTCATCGAAACTGTTCATTTTTGTAGCTAGAAGCAGCCACAGCCTGGACAGAAAGTCTCAAATCTAGACTGGAATGATTTGAATGCAGGGATTTAACAACACATACCCTCTGGTAAACGTTTACATAACTATGGAAAATCAACATTTTCAATTGGTAAATCCACTATAAATGGCAATTTTCAATAGCCCTGTAACAAATTACCAGAGGGTGAATCCCATTAACTATCATTAATCAGCATTAATCACAATTAATCACCATTAATCACAATTAACTATCACTATGTTAAACCTATCCAACATGCATTTCTTTTGTCTTTCTATCGATTTTCCCGTAGTTCTGGGACCTTGGGGACCTTGGGTGTCACAGATCCGCTGACGAGATGATCCACGATGATGGGACACAGCGTTTTCGCGTTGGAATTCCATGATGTCCAAACGAACATCAAGACTTGGTCGTCTAACTAACCTTGATAATGTGTATATATATATGTATATGTATGTATATATATATATACATACATATACATATATATACATATATATACGCAAATAAATAATAATAATAAATATGTGTATATGTCTAACTGACCAAACGAGCCCCTGTCTCGATCCTTTGGATCGTGGTACGTCCTTGATGCCATCAGACTAGCTCTAAAACACAACCGAATGCATACCCTGATATCTGATACCTATGTTTCCATGAACAAAAACTATACAGTCATGTTTGTCGGACAACTTCGTATACATATGCATATACATATATAATCTACCTATTGTGGATATGTAGCATGAACGTGATAAAGATGTTACATGTATACACGTGTACAATCATATATATATATATACAGTATATATATTGTATATATATATATGTGCGTTCGTCAATATCATGTGTGTCTGACTTGTTTGCGACCCCAAAAGAACGACAGTACTGTCAGTCAGGGAGCAGCTGGTTGGCTCCATGACAGTGGTGATCTTGTTAAACAAACCTCGAGAAGCGTCTGGAAATTGGACCCATCTGGTGCTTTGCGGAATCATGGGGATGCACCACTTGTGTATATTGCAATATGTATATATATATATACACATATATGTTAATATAGTGTAATCTGTGTAATTCCAGCGTCTTGTTGTTGTGCACAAACAAATACGTGTGTATGTTTAAACACATCATTATTATATTGTATATACTATTAATATTACTACATCTGATATCTGGGGCTATAACCAATAGATAAACAGGATATGAATCATCAATCATCGGGGTTTCCATAAGACATAGGGCGACCCGAAAGTTTTCAGATCCACAGCTTTGACGTTTTGACACCATCCAGGACTGTTTCTGGTGATGCCGGCGCCACAATTATTCAGAGATGTTGAAGATAGTCACAACCTTTGGTATATGAGATCAGGTTACAAAATGACCTAGTTGATTGGTGACTGTAAGGACTTGTATCACCTGATTATTGGGGATTATGAACAACACCTATTGACTATAACCATATGGGATCAGATGAAAACGTTTCAAGTTTCGCCATTGGTGCTTGAAGCGCCTCCCGGAAAAGCCAGGAATCACTCTGCATTGAGAACGCTGGAATCAAATTAGAGACTGCGCATGGGTCAGGCAGCAGCCTTCAACATGATGAACCTGTCCATCTTGGTGAAGTTCATCATTTTGACCCACACCCACATGATCTTCACCCTCTGGTAAACTGGCATAACTATGGAACATCACCATGTTATAGCTGGGTAAATCAACGAACTTTCTATGGCCATGTTCAATAGCAAACTGTTGTTTACCAGAGGCTATTTCCGTGTATGTCCCATACATATCCCATTTCTTGTTGGCTAAATCCCTATGAATCACCATAAGATTCCATTAATCATTAATTATCATTAATCACCATTAATCAACCATAACATTAACCATTAATTAACCATTAACCACAACTAACCCATCTGGTTATTTAACAGTTCGCCATGGAAAATCACCATTTTTAATAGGTAACCAACCTATAAATGGGCCATCTATACCATGGCTATGTTATAATTGTCCATTAAATCCCATTAAATCACCATTCAAAATCCATAAAATCCCATTAAATCCCATTAAATCCCATTAAATCACCATTAAATTTAATAAACGCATGGGAAACCATGGGGAACGCCAGGAGAACGGCCGGCCAGGCAACGCTGCGGTGCCGTAAAGAAGGTGGTGCCGCTGTCCAAGATCAACTGCGCCTCATTGGGACGTCATGGGGACATGACGAATGGAAAAAAGGGGAATATATTAATCTTGATATAATAGATAATATATATATATAGAAAGATAATAGATAAGATAATAGAAAATTATATTAATATATTGATAGAAAATATACTTATAAATAGATAGACAGATAGATAGAGATATAGATAGATAGATAGATAGATAGATAGATAGATAGATAGATAGATAGATAGATAGATAGATAGATAGATAGATAGATAGATAGATAGATAGAACATGATGGGCTATATCATGCTATTTTTTGTCATGGGGAATATGTTGGGTGGTATATTCCTCCATGATATCATTGTGTCATTGTCATGTTGTAAAAGATGCGATAATCCCTCGAAACGGGTGTGGTTTCATCGGGCCTCGTGTGTTGCTATAAAAAACACCAGAATCATCTGGAATCCATTTACCCATAGATTTGGTCACATTGTGATAACTCCCGAATCCTGGCAGATTATGATAAGTTCTTTCTCTCCTAAGAATTTATGTAAAAAATGTATTTCTCTAAGTCAGAAAATCTTCATAATCTTGGTAGATTTCTGGTAATCATGTCAAATTTCAGAATTTCACCATTCTTAAGCCCCATCTGGTGGTTTCAAGCCCCCCAAAATCGACGTGAAACGATCATCCCGTTTCCGGGGATGAAAAACAACCAATCAGATCCTCATGGCTGAAAAAATCTGGCGCTGGATGTGTATTGAAATGATGAAATTACTCTCTGGTAATTTAACATAGCTAGGAAATCACCATCTTTAATGGGTAAATCCACTATAAATGGGCCATTTTCAATAGCTATGTTAAATTACCAGAGGGTAATAGCCATGGATATGGATGATAGCAGTTTAATGTTTATTAGGTGTCCTAAAATAGCTGCTTAATGGATGTGTATTCCCTCGTAATTGAAATTAGCTTTTCACCCATGCCCATATCTCCATATCCCCGGAGCTGGACCTTCTGATAGAGCTCAACATCAGCCGATGCCTAGGTGATGTGAAGCAGCAGGTAATAACCATATGAAATAACACACTTTGATCAACAGGACATCCACATACGTACATATATACAATGATAATATATATATATATATATAATGATAATATATATATATATATTACAGTATATATATATATTACAGTATATATATATATATTATATAATATTATCGTTATTAGTATTGTTATCATAGTGATATATTATTATTATTATCATCATTAGTATTAAATTACAGTATATTGTTATTATTGTTATTATTGTTATTTATTGTTATTTATTGTTATTTTGGTTATTAGTGCTATTATTGCTATTATACGTAGGTTGTTGGATGCACCCTGTTTGGGAACAGCGCAGGATAGGTCTCAAAATGTCTCAAAATGGGCTTTCCAATTTCTGGCAATAAGAATTAATAAGAACGATTAGGCTTTCAACAATGATACATTTTGGGTTTACTCTCCAAAAAACCCTAAACCCTAAACCCTGGCTCCCAAAAAAAGGCATCCCAATGAACTCTCCAAGTGGGCATGGGTGATCTGATAGATGGCAGGCTCTAGCAGGTGAAATCTCCCACCCCCTGGTGTCATTTACACTGCCCTGCTGATTGGAGTTGAACATGTGCACCGACCCCTTTTTTGGAGACCCGGCCTGGTAATTTGTTACAGTTTGCTATTGAACATTGCCCAGTCGAAATAGTGAATTTACCTTCAGAAATCCTGAAAAAAATGCGGACTTGTTGGCAATGAGACATGGATCTGGAATGCCATGGATCAACATAGCGGCTTGAAACCTTTCCTTTTGGGATGATTGATCATCCCCAACAGTTCACCAACAGTTCACACGATTCCATGGCGGTTTCCAACACCGTGTACCCCAAAATGGATCAACATGCTTGGTTGATATTGAAAAAGATGGAAAATCCCAATCGAAAATGGATGATGACTGGGGGTGCCAAAAAAAATCAGGAAACCCTCCATGTGTTAGCTACAGCCAGCAATGCATTCCACCAATATGGCCTCTGACTCTGATAGAATGAGTGCGTCTGCCTCGCGTAATTATGTTTGCAGAAGACATCCCGGTCAGGCAGTTGTAATGACATGCAACGCATTATCCAACAAACTTTGTTGGTTCTGAAATAGGACACTCAACAGAAATCCGTGGCTTTGCGGTAAAATGGAAGGTATTCACCGGCAAAAAATATTAAAGACTTTTACCACCCCGGAATGGTCAATTCAAGCATCCCTGTGAATGAACATATCTTTTGCTTAGAGATCTGTTGAAGGACATCTCAAACAAACTAAGCACAACCTGCAGAGCTGAGAGAGACCATGCGTGAATCGCAAACACCAAAGCATTGAAGACTCGATGGCAAGGTCACCCGCTCCAGGCTTTGGTTGAAACCAACGCCAAAGCTCAAGCTTTGAAGACGCGATGGCAAGGTCACCCGCTCCAGGCTTTGGTTGAATTGATTGCCAAAACTCAAGCTTTGAAGACTCGATGGCAAGGTCACCCGCTCCAGGCTTTGGTTGAAACTCCCGCCAAGACTCAAGCTTTGAAGACTCGATGGCAAGGTCACCCACTCCAGGCTTTCGTTGAAATCAAAGCCAAAACTCAAGCTTTGAAGACTCGATGGCAAGGTCACCCGCTCCAGGCTTTGGTTGAATTCATGGCCAAAACTCAAACTTTGAAGACGCGATGGCAAGGTCACCCGCTCCAGGCTTTGGTTGAATTGATTGCCAAAACTCAAGCTTTGAAGACTCGATGGCAAGGTCACCCGCTCCAGGCTTTGGTTGAAATCCCAGCCAAAACTCAAGCCTTGAAGACTCGATGGCAAGGTCAACCCGCTCCAGGCTTTGGTTGAATTGATGGCCAAAACTCAAGCTTTGAAGACTCGATGGCAAGGTCACCCGCTCCAGGCTTTGGTTGAAATCCCAGCCAAAACTCAAGCCTTGAAGACTCGATGGCAAGGTCACCCGCTCCAGGCTTTGGTTGAATTGATGGCCAAAACTCAAGCTTTGAAGACTCGATGGCAAGGTCACCCGCTCCAGGCTTTGGTTGAAATCACCTTGCTCGAAAGGTCACTCCAAAATCACCGCCAAAACTCAAGCTTGAAGACTCGATGGCAAGGTCACCCGCTCCAGGCTCTGGTAACTCAAGCTTTGAAGACTCGATGGCAAGGTCACCCGCTCCAGGCTCTGATTGAAATCACGGCCAAAACTCAAGCTTTGAAGACTCGATGGCAAGGTCACCCGCTTCAGGCTTGGTTGAATTGATGGCCAAAACTCAAGCTTTGAAGACTCGATGGCAAGGTCACCCGCTCCAGGCTTTGGTTGAATTGATGGCCAAACTCAAGCTTTGAAGACCGTGGCAAGGTCACCCGCTCCAGGCTTTGGTTGAAACTCCCGCCAAAACTCAAGCTTTGAAGACTCGATGGCAAGGTCACCCGCCTCAGCAGAAAAACTCTCGCCAAAACTCAAACTTTGAAGACGCGATGGCAAGGTCACCCGCTCCAGGCTTTGGTTGAAACTCTCGCCAAACCTCAAACTTTGAAGACGCGATGGCAAGGTCACCCGCTCCAGGCTTTGGTTGAATTGATTGCCAAAACTCAAGCTTTGAAGACTCGATGGCAAGGTCACCCGCTCCAGGCTTTGGTTGAAATCACGGCCAAAACGCAAGCTTTGAAGACTCGATGGCAAGGTCACCCGCTCCAGGCTTTGGTTGAAATCACCGCCAAAACTCAAGCTTTGAAGACTCGATGGCAAGGTCACCCGCTCCAGGCTCTGGTTGAATTGATAGCCAAAACTCAAGCTTTGAAGACTCGATGGCAAGGTCACCCGCTCCAGGCTTTGGTTGAATTGATAGCCAAGACTCAACACAACTTAAAGCAGCAGTGCCTGGAGAGTATTTACATCACTTGCCTCCCAGCCTTTGTCTGAAAGGCTGGGAGGCAAGTGATGTAAATACTCTCCAGGCACTGCTGCTTTAAGTCGTGTAACACCTTCCATCACAAAATGTCCTTCCCAAGTCGGGAGCCCACAGATGTAACGCCATGCACTGTACACATTTGTTGGTATGTATGTGCAAGAGATCATTGCCGATTTTTCAAGAATCCCTTGCTCTCCCAAAGTTTGATTCAGCGTCAGCTTTGCATTCCCGTGATGCACAGCGAGCTTTGCGCCTGGCTTGCATGGAAGCTCTTGCGACACCAACCTGCGCAGGTCATACCCAATCATGGAGCGAGGGACGCTTAATGTCAGCCCTTCTCCTGTCAAGCATAACACATGAAGATCGACCTCATCAGTTTCATCTGCAGCACCTTTGTCAGTAGATGATGTATCCATATAGCCATTGTGTGCACCGGACATTCGTCAGCAATTACATACTCACCACTGCACTAAGCCGAAAAAGTCTTCACAATCACCAACATGTCCAACCCTGAAATCCAACATGTTTCATGGTAAAACCACCGTTTTTCATGGTGGAACCCATTTTTTTCGCGCTAATCACATTCCGATTCCTTGGGCTGGTTCACATTACTTGAACATATATTGTTTTACAGATTCCCTATGTATTGACCAAAGATTCACGATTTTTGTCCCTCTCACAATGTGTGTTTCGTTCCTATGCCTTACCAGTAGCATATCGCATCATATCCTACCAAATGTTCTTCGTCGAGCCTAGAATATTATATAGCCTGGACCTGGATAGCATTGAGTATATTATACACAATACGTCTAAAACAGAAACACAAAACTATAACTTGTGGTTCCATGATGTCATACTAGAATATTATAGACTAGCATCCTCTCCTATAAACTTGTATAGAAAGGATATTCACAATAGAAGTTTAGCAAACATTACCATGCACAGCAAACATTGGTTGAAGTAATCCGTTTCCGTTTCCCAAATATTAAATATAGCCCCCCTACAAACCCTGGCTTAGTTGGATGTGTTCCTTTTGGGGGGCCAAATAGTGGTACTCTAATATTTGAATGGCTATATATTCCTATTTCACGATGGTTAAACCTTGTTAGACCGTGTTGAGCCACCAAATTTGATAGTTCAAAAGTTGGGCAGTGTTCAACACCCTATGTCGCCCCATGAAAACTGCTTGGGTAATAGGAGTTTCCATTATGACTTGTTGTTCCCCCACACATTGAATAGTAAACATTAGTAAACAGATGCAAACAGTATAACCCCAGAACTAATCATCAACCAATCCCATATGCCCATGATGGAATATTTACCAACATTTGCCCTAAAAATTGCCCAAATGTAGGTAAGTATACCATACATGGAGCATCTGGGAATAGGTGTTAAACGCAGCCATTGCTCAGTTAAAGCCACTGACCCAGTTCCCCGTTCGCAAATCATCCATTTCATCCATGGCACCATCACAGGACCATCCTGGCTACAAAGCCAAGCTTTCGCCATGCAGCTCCACTAAAACAAGCGAAGTCAGGACTGAAAAACAAGAGTAAAATGGGAAGCGAAGTCATTGAAGTCATTGACCTGCCATCGTTTTACTCGGACTTTCCCCAGTTCTATCCTTTTGGGTACCCAATTCTATCCGATACTAGGCGTTGCTATAATTCTTGTAGCTGATTGGTACCATGTCTGGTCAACCCAAATCTATGGAAACACATAAGAAAGAACTTATTTATATATCATTAAACATTGTGTTCATCCATGTTCCTAATAGTTTTTCTCTTAGACACACCCAAGTTGCTGGTGTTTTCATGCCCATGAATAGCCCATGCCAAAGATAGTCATTTGGAATCATAACATGTCACATATTGAAACACGGTTGAAAAAATGCGGTTCCAATGTCCTTTTTGAAGCAAAACCAAGATGTGAAAAATGAGGATCCTCTTTCCATTTTTCTTTGAAACACACACACACAAATTCAAGAATGAGGATGAACAAGGTATGGAATGGAACGATTAGAATGCAAAAATCCATCAACGAAAAGGGCTTTAGAAGCCCACTTCCCCAATCCCTCCCCAAGCCCTAGTCCTCCGGATGTCTTTCGAAGGGCAACAACAGGTGCAACAAATCCTCTGTGCTGTTGCGACCCAAACGGAATCCACGCAGTGGCACGGACCAATACTTCTCCTGCATGGCGATTCGACAAACAGGGCTTTCATTGTCGACAAAGGCATGTATGGCATATATCAAGATATACCCAACAAAGTGAGATTCCAACAGCACCACATGCCACTTTTCATGTCTGGAGTGCCATAGATATAGGTCCAGATGCTGATTTCACATTGGGGAATTGGAGGGTTGCTTTCGGGACTATCCAACAGTCAACCACCAGAACACCTGGCCTTGTGTGGGCTGTAATCATGTGTACCCCACCATGTGGCAGGAGATTCATGGAAACTCTTGGAAAGTCTATGTCTGAACGTCGTTTCATCATCTGCCAATCTAGCTCTCCATCAACCTACCCTCTGGTAATTTAACAGTTTGCTATTGAAAACGGCCCAGTCGAAATAGTGGATTTTCCCATTAAAAAAGGGTGGATCTTTCCATAGTTGTGTTAGTTTCTTTACCAGAGGGTAATGATTTTCACATTAATAATGGTGATTTTCCCATTAAACATAGTCATTTTCCATACTTATGTAACAGTTTACCAAAAAGTACCGTAGCAGTTCCACTTCACCAAGGTCGAATCACCTCCCCCATGACCCATGGCCCGGTGGCCCAAATGTGGGCCACGCCTGCGCCACCGGAAACCAGGTGATGGACCCTTTGTGGAGCTTCAGTTGCTCCGCGTCACCCCAAATCAAGGCACCACCTGACGTGCGGGAAACTCTGCTGTGGAAAGTCCATCTGTGGAAATTTGAGCAGCGGAAACGCGGTCAACAAACACTGCAGTCACTGCAGCTTTGGTACCTGTTGGTGCCTAAAAATATGGTGCACAATGGTGCACACCCTATAGTTATGTATATTTTAGTCGGGATAGTGCTGATATAGTGATGATTAACCCGCCAAAAAATGGGTAGCCAATTTGCAGACAAAACCCACATAGGCATAGCATGACTACAAGAACACCTTCTGAGATCTTCGTTTTACCAACTAAGATGGAGACATCCAAGTTGACATTGAACGACACTTTCCTGGATACCTACAAGGTGGTGCCCCCAAGATAGCTAAGTTGGTTCATAACTCCAATAACTATGGTTTATAGGTGATATATCTATAGTTCATGGGTTTATAACCAATTTATAACTGGAGGGGGCACCACCTTGTACCCACTTGGGAGGATTGGCCTTGCCTTTGGAAATGTCTTGGAAGAAAAAGAAGGCAAACTCCACGTGCGCAAGTACCTTCCTGGGAGCCAGGCCCCCGAATAGCCGAAACCGCGAAAAATTGAATCACTTGGCGTGCCAGATGCAGTATATCTGTTGCATTCTTGACTACAAGACCCAATTAATTGAGATTATGGTGGATCCATCTACAGTATATATCAGTATTATGCGATTCTATTGTTGGCAAGTTGGACAGGTGACATCCAACAGCTTGCAACTGGAAGTATTCCCAAGAGCAAAGTGGCTGTGTCCAATTTTTTTCGTGAGCGACCAAGATCAAAATATATGATCATTTTCAGGTACCAAAGCCACTTGTGTTGGAACTGTGCTTGGGTTTGTCTAAAATGGAGTACCTCCAAAAACTCCTTGGTTTCTCATCATGTTTCCCATCAAAAATTGTCCTTATACGCCATTTGTAAACACATCCAAAAAACAAATTGTTGGGTTATATACATCTCGACGCCAAAGCGAAAAAAAAGACGATTTTGAAGCACTTTTTAAAAGGATTTTTAAAGGGAACATTACTAGCGCCAAAATGAAGAAAATCTGCTGACAAATCACTGTCGCAGCCTGGATGCAGCCACTCCAATACGATTTACGAAGTCCAGCTCCAAAAGACAATAGTATTACGCATGCAGCCGCAGCAAGAAGCAACCTTGACGCAGCCATTCCAATGCGATCTGCAACCACAGCTTCAAGAAACGCATAGAACTACGCACACAGGAGCAACCATTCTTGCAAAATACATAGAAGGAACCAAACGACCGCAGCCGCACCCGCCGCACACACGAGGTACCTTTCATCGCCGCCTGCAGCCACTTTACGCGGAAAAACACAAGGTTTCGTGCTCCGGCTTCCTCCCCAAAACAAAGCCCATGCAACATTCATGCAGCCATTCCAATGCGATCTGCAACCACAGCTTCAAGAAACGCATAGAACTACGCACACAGGAGCAACCATTGTTGCAAAACACATAGAAGGAACCAAACGACCGCAGCCGCACCCGCCGCACACACGAGGTACCTTTCATTGCTGGCTGCAGCCACTTTACACGGAAAAACACAAGGTTTCGTGCTCCGGCTTCCTCCCCAAAACATAGCCCATGCAACATTCATGCAGCCATTACAATGCGATCTGCAACCACAGATTCAAGAAACGCATAGAACTACACACACAGGAACCATCATTGTTGCAAAACACATAGAAGGAACCAAACGACCGCAGCCGCAACCGCCGCACACACGAGGTACCTTTCATCGCCGGCTGCAGCCACTTTACACGGAAAAACACAAGGTTTCGTGCTCCGGCTTCCTCCCCACAACACACGGCATGCAACATTCATGCAGCCATTCCAATGCGATCTGCAACCACAGCTTCAAGAAACGCATGGAACTACGCACACAGGAACAACCATTGTTGCAAAACACATAGAAGGAACCAAACGACCCCAGCCGCACCCGCCGCACACACGAGGTACCTTTCATCGCCGGCTGCAGCCACTTTACACGGAAAAACACAAGGTTTCGTGCTCCGGCTTCCTCCCCACAACACACGGCATGCAACATTCATGCAGCCATTCCAATGCGATCTGCAACCACCGCTTCAAGAAACGCATAGAACTACGCACACAGGAACAACCATTGTTGCAAAACACATAGAAGGAACCAAACGACCGCAGCCGCACCCGCCGCACACACGAGGTACCTTTCATCGCCGCCTGCAGCCACTTTACACGGAAAAACGCAAGGTTTCGTGCTCCGGCTTCCTCCCCACAACAAAGCCCATGCAACCTTGACGCAGCCATTCCAATGCGATCCGCAACCACAGCTTCAAGAAACGAATAGAACTACGCAGACAGACACAACGACTCGTTGCAGAACACAGAGGAGGAAGCAACCACTTCCCATCGTCACCACTTCCCTTCAACACCACTTCCCTTCCTCACCACTCCCCTTCATCACCACTTCCCTCCGTCACCACTTCCATTCATCACCACTTCCCTTCATCACCACTTCCCATCGTCACCACTTCCCATCGTCACCACCTCCCATCGTCCCCACCTCCCTTCCTCACCACTCCCCTTCATCACCACTTCCCTCCGTCACCACTTCGCTTCATCACCACTTCCCATCGTCACCACTTCCCATCGTCACCACCTCCCTTCTTCACCACTTCCCTTCGTCACCTCTTATTCTTTTGTTATGTATTGTTATGTGATCTATTATGTGATCTACCACCCTTCATCAAGGTCAACTGCATAGCTTCTTATTCTTTTGTTATGTATTGTGAGATGACATACCACCCTTCATCATTTCAAGTCTCAGAATTCTATTTGTCCGTAACTCGGAAGTATTGCTTCCCAACTTCCTTTGATTATATTTATATCTCCATAATCCATTATTTTATATCATATAAACATACATTTATATATATATATAATTATATATACATACATATATCATATATAGACATATATAGATATATACACCCATTATGTTGTAATCATGATATGGTAAGTTTAACCTTCATGTTTTTTTGTCTTATTTTTTCATTTTGATGTGGTTTCCACTTCGCATCTTTTGGCTGAATAGACCCAGGGTTCAGGCCGGCGCTCAAGCGGATTGTGCCGCGCACGCAATTTAATTATCGCAATTGCAGGCTCGGGGTGAAAAAGGACTGCTAATGTATATCTATCATTTCTGGTCCATGGAACCCAATACGCGTGTGTGTCTCTTCCAATCTCCCAATGGTCAGTTTCACCATTCTTTACTTATAATTTCACCAATGTTTACCATTGGATCTAATATATCCACATTATATCTAATATTATATCTCTATATCCATATCCCATAGGATCCATGTATGGCATATATGCTAACATTTGGGGTATATTGATGGTAAATGTTACCATATATAACAGCACCATGGATCCTATGGCTATAGATCATTGGTTTTCCAGTCGGATCCACTTCCAGCGTCATATTGTATCCAATATATCCCCATTATATCATATGAATTCATATGATATCTCTATATCAACCTTACATCTCTAGTTCCCCACCTGCCAGGTGAGGGTTGTTAGATTTTATGTCAGTTGCCTCCTCGTCCTCCTTCTCCTCCTCCTCCTCCTCCTTCTCCTCGTCGTCCTCCTCTCCTCCTCCTCCTCGTCCTCCTCGTCGTCCTCGTCGTCCTCGTCCTCCTGCTCAACTGCGACTCGCGATCCACAGTGTTCGCTGTCGGACCTCAACCACGACCATCCACGCCCAGTGTTCCCTGCCGGACCTCAACCACGACCATCCACGCCCAGTGTTCCCTGCCGGACCTCAACCGCGAGTGTTCCCTGCCGGACCTCAACACGCCATCCAGTGTTCCCTGCCGGACCTCACCGCGAGTATCCACGCCAAGTGTTCCCTGCCGGACCTCATGTAGGAAGATATGGGACAAAGAATGTGCAGAAGAAAGTTAGAAAGAATGTCAGAAAGAATGTCAGAAGATATGCCAGAAGATATGCCAGAGAGATATGAATGCCAGATAGAATGCCAGATAGATAGAAGATATGCCAGAAGATATGCCAGATAGAATGCCAGATAGAATGCCAGAAGATATGCCAGATAGAATGCCAGATAGAATGCCAGAAGATTTGCCAGATAGAATGCCAGAAAATATGCCAGAAGATATGCCAGATAGATATGTCAGAAGATATGCCAGAAGATATGCCAGAAGATATGTCAGAAGATATGCCAGAAGATATGTCAGAATATATGCCAGAAGATATGTCAGATAGAATGCCAGAAGATATGTCAGAATATATGCCAGAAGATATGCCAGATAGAATGCCAGATTGAATGCCAGAAGATATGTCAGATAGAGTGCCAGAAGATATGCCAGATAGAATGCCAGAAGGTTTGCCAGATAGAATGCCAGAAGATATGCCAGAAGATATGCCAGATCATATGCCAGAAGATATGCCAGATAGAATGTCAAATGGAATGTCAGAAGATATGTCAGATAGAATGCCAGAAGATTTGCCAGTAAGAAAATGTATAAATGTCATGGTGGGGATCACACGAAGTAAAGTAATTTTTTTTGGTTCCCCAGTCTCCACTTCCACCTGGTGCAACCGCTAGCAGGGCTAGGTGTCTCCACCAAGGTCTCCATCAGTGCCTTGCCGTTGACGTTCACCAAATCCTGAAATCCCAAGCCCACGATGCCATCCAATGGCATCGTCAGAAAGGCCGAGCCGTACTCCTGGCGTTGCAGAACGCCAGCCGTGGCGGCAAAAGCCGAAAGGCCAGCCGAAACGTAGGCCAAATCCATGGCCAATCAGCCAGGTACCCTGCAAAAAATGACATGTTTTTTGATGTTTTTTTTGTTGGTTAGTAGATATTCCATGATATTCCCATTGATACCTCGGATCGGACAGCTCACGACGAAACGCGCTGATCACTCATATCCCACGTCGTCTTGACGGGAGTATGAGGAAACTTGCACCCAATTGCATGCATCATCAAAGGAAAGTTAATTACCACACCAACGAAGCGACAAGATACCAAAAGACTAAAGGATTAAAGTATCCATCTAAGATTGACCTAGGGCAAGTCGGGGACGTAGAATCACATGGTTCTAACGCTTGATTGAAGAATCTTCCGGATTCTATACGATTTATTAATTAAGCAGGGACACATAAATAGAATGGAATCATTAAACTGGAGGACGGTGCTACAGCCAGATTTATTAGCTTCACCAGACAGAATGAAGACTTTTCACGCAAGTATGCTATCGTTTGACATTGCATGTTGTTTTTTTTACCAAAAAAATGTCAGTCCTGAACTCGCTATGATGACATATGTTGTTCATTATATGTTCTCCCTTACTTTGAGATTTTTCCTGACATACTTCCCCCATGAGATATGCCAAGGTTTAGCCATTTTCAGTGCACCATGACCATCCCCCGGACTGTCCTGTGAGATGAGTCCGAACTGCTGTGCTGCTGAGATCTCAGGGCCAAGCCACAGCTCGTCCGTGCCCATGACGCCGCTCAAGGCACCCGTAGCGTATTCCGTGGTGACCGCTTGGGGTGTCCTTGGAACTGGTTGGTTGGTTGGTTGGTTGGTTGGTTGGTTGGTTGGTTGGTTGGTTGGCTGGTGAACAGACCCCAAATGGTGTTTTCACCGGAAAATCTACAGAAACTGATAAATATCTATAGAAAATACATAATTAAAGGAAAATCCAAATAGAAAATCTATCGCTTGGACTCCTTTGGAATCGTCCCGTTCATAATTTTCATATATACATTCTCTCAGGGTGAAGGCAACGACGCCACAATTTGGCCCACATCAACCCCCATTTGGGGCCGAGGCTCTGATCTTGGCGAAAGGTACTGGAACTGCTGCGATTGAAGCGATGACCTCGAGATCGATCTCTGAACATTGTGTGTCTATAGAGAAATCATTAAGGATACCCTGGTAATCTAACAAATAGACACCGGAAAACTAGGAAACTGTATGGGATATGATAGAGATAGACACAGGAAAACTATGGGATGTGATTCGTGATGATACGTGCTGCATAGATGGTTCTATGTTGTTTCTATGTTGTTTCTATGAGATATGATGGAAAACTGACACTTGGGAAACTGTCTTGGATAAATACTGACATGAAAACCAGAAATGGAACACATTTTTATCATTTTTGAGGCTTTGGAAGACCATGACTGTCCTATTTGGTGTCCTATTTGGCTTGACCAAACCGTTGGGTCCCGGCATCACGGTGACGGGATGGGCAAAGATGTTGCTGTTGGAACTGCATCACCAATACCGCGGCAGATTTCAACTCACCGCAACTCACCTCAAACTATTTCCCAGGGTGTGGCTTCAAAATGCTGTGGAGATCAAGACCCGGACCATCATTTTGCAGTGGAGAATCATGAAATATCGAAATATCCACCAATTGTAAGTCATTGATCAAATATAATCAAATTATATCAAATTCAAGTCTTGATGTCCGACAGAAAACAAAATCACACTGGATACAATAATGTTTTTCCCCGCCATGTATGTTGTTACTGTTGTTCTATTTTGCGTACACAATGATTTTCCAAGAGCACGTGTTTTTTTCCACCACATTGTATCTGCAATAAAAAAATATAAACAGTTACCTACCTTCCAATAAACTAACATATCTAAAATCACCATAAAATCACAGGTGAATGATCTATAAATGGACCATTTTCTATAGCAACCCGTAAACGTTAATGGGTTAGCTCCACTGAGAAACCTCCCACCATCACCATCTCCTGGGTGCTCTGACGGCCTTCCATGGTGCACGGCCCAGAGGTGCACAAATCTGAAGCCAGCCACACATCAGCACTGCCTTCTGCGAGATGGAAAAAAAACACCGGAAAACACTGGATGCCTCTGGTAATGAAAAACGTGGCTAGTTGGAAAATCATCCATCTATGATTTTCCCGTTGCAAAAATGTTACACAAGAAATCAATGGTAATTTCAGGATCCCAAAATGGAGGTACTGTACCATAAAAGGCTATATTTTGTGGGGATATTCCCTTACATAGGCCTTACATAGGCCTTATATATGGTAGGAACCTCCAATTTAGGTTCCTGAAATGACCATTGAAGAAATGTATAGAATGATATAGAATATAAGGCTACGGAATGCTAGGGATTATTTTGTCAATCCCCTTCAATCAACCATTACGTTGCGGTTCAAAGTGATCATTGTGAGTGTGTAAGTGACAAATTCATGTGCTTAGAATGGGACTTTAATCCAGGGAATCCAGGGGCTAGTAGGCTAGGAAGGTGACCAGCTCTCATCGCTACCTCTCGTAGATTGCAAGTCTTATCTGGCTTACAAGAGGGCCGTAATGTGTGCAAAAGGTCTTGCTATGTCTGTGGGAGCTGCACTTTTGAGTTGGTTCATCAACCAGTCTAAAGATCTAACAGCAAGTATAGATGGCCTAGTTAACCAATTTACCCAAGTTAGCTATCTGGGTGGGATCCACATTGTATACCCAAACATCTACGGGTTGCATATCACGAGTTCTGTTCACTACGCCTGTGTCAAAGACCACATAGAGCTCCGCCGCAGGAACACAGCGACCTGGCAACGCTTCCCAATGGTTCCCAGGCCATGAAAACTTTAAGCCATGAATCTTCAAAATCCTAACAGTACCAATCTTCAATGGGAAATTACTTGTGCAACTTTTAAGCATATATATATATATATATGTGATATGTATATATATGGTTGGTGGTATACCTACCCCTCTGGAAAATATGAGTTCGTCAGTTGGGATGATGAAATTCCCAACTGAATGGCAATGTTTGAGAATATGTCCCAATCTTTTTGACACAGCTAAATGAAACTACTTGATTGGTAATGTATGGTAATGTGATAGACTCCAATGCATCCGCACCATGAATTTGGCTATTTTCACAGCCAGGTTTTCGGAGCGTCGTCGAATGTCGTCGAGCGGCCTGCGGAGCAGTTGCTGCCCACGCCCAAGACACCCACGTACTCAGTGGAGGCCACATCCTTCAGGGATCAGCTGCGCTGGTGGGGCCACCTAGATAGCTACTGTAAGCTGATTTATACAGTTTTTATAGCATGATATAGCATGATATTCACAATAAAAGAAGTAATAGTAACAATAATACCAATAACAAAAACAATAACTGGTTGGTGGTTTCAACCTGCCCCTCTGAAAAATGATGGAGTTCGTCAGTTGGGATGATGAAATTCCCAACTGAATGGAAAAATAAAACATGTTCCAAGCCACCAACCAGATAAGGGTTTTTATAGCATGATATAGCTATGATATTCATAGTAACAATAATACCAATAACAATAATACCAATAACAATAATACCAATAACAAAAACAATAACTGGTTGGTGGTTTCAACCTACCCCTCTGAAAAATGATGGAGTTCGTCAGTTGGGATGATGAAATTCCCAACTGAATGGAAAAATAAAACATGTTCCAAACCACCAACCAGAGAAGGGTTTTTATAGCATGATATAGCATGATATAGCTATGGTATTCATATATTCATGGGGTATAGACATTCACTTATAACTGGGGAGGAGCCCCCACTCTCCTTCAACCGCACCATGCTGAGTTCTCCGTCCCGCGTAGCCAGGCGGTTCCGTTTCATGCTGTGCTTCAGCACGGACTGGTGCTTGGTGAGGGCCGAAATCTGACGTGATGAACACGTGGTCCCAGCCAGACCTGATGGGATTTTGAAGTTGACTACCCGCTTGTAAACGTTGTAAGATGGCTGGAACTGATAAAATCACATGTCGATATTTCAAATTCCTGCTGGAATTGGGACTTGGATATGGTTTTCTTTGATGGCTGGTGCATATTTGGCAAGTGAAACTCAAAGGCGAACCGTAAAGTCTCCTCTTAGTCACGGCTCATGACTCTGATTCGGGTTGCTCAATTTCTTGTCATCCATACCTTCAAGAGTTTTTTTGGATTCCCTCTGGTAAACTAACAGTTTGCGAACTTGATAATGGCCATATTTAGTTCGTGGATTTCCCCCCAAAAAAATGGTGGATTTTTCCATAGTTATGTAAACGTTTACCGGAGGGTATCCACATTAAATCCCCATTATATCCCATCATATCCTATCAAATCCCCATTAAATCCCCATTAAATCACCATTTTGGCTTGTCCAAATTGACCACATCTTTGACGTGACGTCCTGTCGTGGTGACGTCGGAAAATACTTCACCCCCAATTGGCGATGGTTTTCATGTCGTGAATGTTACCATTTTTAAGGCTCCTTGACATTTGAGGAGATTCATACTATTCTATACTATTATATAGTATTAAAAGGTATTATGTATTAATACTAAATTTTATTGTTATTATAACACATGATACATCCAATGCATTTTCAATTTGGATCATTATATTCATGTAGATATTAACGATTAAATCATTAACAACCGAAACAGAATGATATTCAAATGGATTAATGATAATGGAATGATAACCAAAAACACAACAACCATAATGATCATAATAATCACATATGCTAACAACATAAAGAACATATTCTATAACAAATGATCATAATTATCGTCATTTGGGATTACCATTGTGCTATAACAACAGGGAGAATGACAATACTAATAATCGATAGCAGTAAAAGTAGTAATAGTAACAATAATACCAATAACAATAATACCAATAACAAAAACAATAACTGGTTGGTGGTTTCAACCTACCCCTCTGAAAAATGATGGAGTTCGTCAGTTGGGATGATGAAATTCCCAACTGAATGGACAAATAAAACATGTTCCAAACCACCAACCAGATAAGGGTTTTTATAGCATGATATAGCTATGATATTCATAGTAAAAGTAGTAATAGTAACAATAATACCAATAACAATAATACCAATAACAAAAACAATAACTGGTTGGTGGTTTCAACCTACCCCTCTGAAAAATGATGGAGTTCGTCAGTTGGGATGATGAAATTCCCAACTGAATGGAAAAATAAAACATGTTCCAAACCACCAACCAAACAAGGGTTTTTATAGCATGATATAGCCATGATATTCATAGTAAAAGTAGTAGTAGTAACAATAATACCAATAACAATAATACCAATAACAATAATACCAATAACAAAAACAATAACTGGTTGGTGGTTTCAACCTACCCCTCTGAAAAATGATGGAGTTCGTCAGTTGGAATTTTCTGAAATTCCCAACTGAATGGAAAAAACAACATGTTCCAAACCACCAACCAGTAATTCTGAGTAAATTATAATATTTCACTAACCTGAATTAAGGCCATTTGGGGATGATTTCCCTTACTAACCATGAATCCAGTGAGGTCGTAGTGAGGTCGTTATAATTTACCCAGAGTAATGCATGATATGGTTGAATCTCCTTCTCCATTCCATCCCCAACTTTCAGCGCCACGCTGCCGCTGCGCTCCATGCTGCGCATGCTGCCCGCTGCGCTGCGGATGCCGTGGCGCTGCGGGAAACGCTGCAAGGCTAGCACCGCCGGTGGCGGAGCCAACGTCTTCCTTTGGAGGAAGCAATGTAGGGAATGTGGGGCGAAACAACCATTAAGAAATTACTGTTGGATGTGTTTATCACAAATTTGGAAAAATTGGATTATCACAATGTTAGATCAGTTTGGATCAATTATGATCAATTGAATAAAGTCTGAACCAGCCAAAAATTAAGTGGAATTTCGATGTTTTATATCAGCAGGTCACCAGGTCTGTTGTTGTTTACAACTTTGAAAAAACGTTTGGGTTTCAAGAAAAAATGGGATTTCATCGAGAAAACTATGATATGTTACAAAAGAAGTGGTGTTAGACCTGGCAAAAATGGTGATGGGGACCCACAACCATCATGGCTATGACGGGATATGGTCATGTGCCATGGGTCAAAACCCATGGAATTCTGTGGTGAACCCCGAAATGGCTGGGATTTATGAATGTTCATCCCCACGTTATGGGGTTCACCAAGCAATAGATGATAAATGGTTCACCAAATCTGGTTGGTGGTTTTAACCCCTCTCAAAAATGTTAAGTAATGTTAGTCAGTTGGGATTATTATTCCCAATATATGGAAAGTCATAAAATTCATGTTCCAAATCACCAACCAGAAATGGTTCATCATATGGGAAACCACCAACCAGTTCTGGTACAGTAGGTTTTGATCCATCTCCATGGTCAACAGAAAGAGAGGAAACCGTCTCCATGAAGGCAAGTGACATGTCCGTAAGGAGGGCATCATCGCCAACAGCGATCACTAACGCTAGAAATCCCGACGAGAATTTCACCCATGGATTAATTGTGGATATTTGTGGAAGAGCACTAATTACTATGGCTGGTTGGTGGTTGAGCCCTACCCCTCTGACAAATATTTAAAAAAATATGAAAGTCACTTGAAATGATTATTCCCAATATATGGAACCATAAAAAATGTTCCAAACCACCAACCAGACTATATAATTACATTAATTACTATGGTGTATAAAACCTTTCAGGTCAATCTACCATTTCGCACCTATTTCTCCAAGTGGCAGAGCAGCGCAAGTTGAAAGCATTCCCAACAGCATGAGCTGAAGACATGGCACCATGGTCACCATGCCGCACCGTGGCTCCGTGCTGCGGGCTTCGAAGTAATTGGATGTTGGATTGAGCCAATGGGGCTGATCCATGCTGTGAGGTCCATGTTCAGCCCGCGAGAACCAAAATCCTCATTTTCTCTTCATGTTCTTCATGGGTTTCACCAACCAGTAGCTACGAAAAATCGGCTTTCTCTTTGACTCTTGGATCTTTTCTTTGCAGATCTAAAAGTTGGACATGGCTCAAAAGCCGGGTGCCCCGGTTTTCACACCACGGATCGTGGCTGTTCATCCACCATCCATCCCAGCGTGGCCCATGGCCTCAATGGACTCTGCCAAACCAGCCAACAAGTGGACCGAACCTCAGGGACACCACCATGGAATGAGCAAGAAATTATGGAAACATATGGATGTTGGTGGTTTTAACATGTTTTAACCATCTTGAATGGGAAGGATTATATGATTATCCCATATATATATATGTATCTATATATGAAATGGAAAATAACACATGTTCCAAACCACCAAACAGATATGGATGTTTCCTAAAATGTGGCTACCCCAAAACCATGGGTTTCACTACAGCTGGGTCTGATTTTGGATGAAAACTGGGACCAAATAGCGGTTTCGCAACAAATGTCATGCAACCAATTGTTTAATATGTAGCAACCAATGCCAATCATGGAAAACATTTGCAACAAATTAGCAACCAATGACCAATGATAGCAGGATATTTTTGGATGTTTAGCTGGAGCTGTTTCATTGCTTCTGCTGCTTGGTTCATAGCACTTCCACTAATTGTTGCCGTGCAAACAGCGATCTCAATGCCAACCATAGAAATCATAGAACTTGGATCTGCTTAAGGAACCCCCCAAAAAAAACAACAACATACACCCTATAGATTTCTATAGATTCCCTTAGCATATACCCATATATACCCCATAGATTCCCCTTAAGTAGTGGATGTCCCCATAGAGAAAATTGCAGTCCGTCGCGAATCCACGAGGACCATCTTCGTTCGGTCGGGAATCTCATCGTAACCAACATGACTCGTCACTGAAAAGGACAAGGAAATCAGGCGCTAAAATAGAGTTTAACATATCCCATATGATCCATGTATGCTATATATGCTAACATGACTGGGGTATATTGATGGTAAATGTTACCATATATAGCATACATGGATCCTATGGGTATTGTAATCTAACATGGCCCCGTTTATAAATGAGTTTCCTTCAACAAAAAAACGAATTGCCGGAGGTTGGGCGCCAAAATTCTTGCGCATCTTAATGACATCTTCAACCAATGATGGCCTACAAATCATGAAGTGATCCCATTTTCAAACTGTTTTATGGTTGGGGGCAAATCAAACAAAACTGAAGTTGCATGACTAGTTAGGATTAACATGGATTAACAGCCACCATCCCCATTAGTCAACTAGACGTGGCCTTTCCAGGGTGGTCATTATATTTTCTTCATCAAAGTCCCATTCCCCGAGTGACGCGCAAGCAGTGCGTTGCAGGGATCCAATTCACAGCTCACCACCACAGGCGCTGCGGGCGGTTCCCGCCTTGGAAGTTGTGGTTCCAGCATGGAGTACATGGATGTACATGATATTTTACCCGCCCCGATATTTTCCGGGTTTCCATCACTTTTCCATCTTTTTGGTGGGTGACTGGTCATCTTGGGAACTGTTTATAAATTTAATCGTTAGGTCTACCACATTGCATCTCATTTGAAATGGTCGTGAAATGACTAGCACAAAAACCTTTGGCCGACCCGGACACCCATGTGAACAGTTTGGTGGGCCAAAGCCGCTGAACATCAAGCTGCTTTCCACTGTTAGTGAGTATCTCTGTGACTGGATTGTATCTGTAAACAGATCGTGCATGACTTTGACGCTGGGTCTATCTCGCCATGAAAGCCACAAACCCAGTGGTAAAATGAGTCATTGGGAGTTTCTGGTCGTGGATAAAAACCATCACAATGGAAACTCCGCTTTTGAAATCAACAATCATCCTGGGGCGACACACAAGACTAGCCCGGCGTCAAACTGCTTGGTCGTTTTAATCCCCTGAAACACGTTTGCAAATTCGGGAGAATCATCCGAACGATGGGAAACAATTTCACTCTTTGAAACCACCAGCACATGTCAGCGACACATCCTCTAATTACACGGATTATCACTCACATAGCTCCAGCGCTCATGAAAGAAACTCCCCTTAGGGCCGGGAAACACTTTTAGTCTGCACGCGCGATTCGGTGCAGTGGGATGTCACATGTGTACATCCCAGTGAGGAAGAGACTGCGTTCACACGTGACGATGAGCAGTTCCCAATACCAACGCAAGGTGGTTTCAACCCTTATGAAAAATATGAGTTCGTCAGTTGGAATTATGAGATTCATTGAAATTCCCAGTATATATATATATATATATGGAAAGACATAATCCATTCATGTTCCAAAGCACCAACCAGTTGTTACCCTCTGGTAAACTAACATAGCTATTGAAAATGGTCATTTATAGTTGATTTACCCATTCAAAATTGTGATTTTCCATAGTTATGTAAACGTTTACCAGAGGGTATGTTCAGAAGGAAACTCATCTTCCAACACCAAAATACTCCAGATTTCACTTCGTCACGCGGACGCTCAATGGTCAATGGCCAGTATATCTGTATTTCACATCCTGGCGATGATGGCTATCCCAAGAACGGGGGGATGTGCCACCTTCAGTTCGCCAAAAAACATCTAAAAAAAACGTGGTGAAAAAGCAAAGTTTGAGGCATCCTTTCTGGTTCTTAGATGTTCTTAGTCTTACACCAATGGATTTGCAAGGCTCAATATCCTTTGGATTTAAAAGGTATCTTAGCCACAACAACTAGTTGTCGTGTCCCCGGTCCGCGGTACTGGTTTGTCCTGGTTCATTGGTACATGTACGTACCATCTATAGTCAGTATATGCCAGTATATTAGTTTATCTATTGAAGATCCGTCACATCATGTAAGTGATAATCTATTCAAATCTAATGATTCAGAATTCATGATTTATAAGTGTGTCTCATTTCTGACTAGTGACATGTATACCATGTATATCCATGTATTGGTGTGGCTTGGCGCCTTGTACTTTTCCAGGATTGCGTCTCGCCGCTCCACGAACTCCTGCAGTTTTCAGGGGTGTCACTCTCACATGATCGATGGATGTGAAGCAGGAGGGAGCATTTACTGAGGGAAAACCATGTTTTTTTTTCTGAAATCAAACGGAAAAAACAACACACACACACACACCATCACACACCAAAAATCATCAAACATCCAGGAAGTATGGGTGTTTAAACGGCGATTCCTACACTTATGCTTTGGTTTGACATGAAAAGCTGGTGTTTAAAAAGTGATTCCTAGACTAACTTGTACTTGTGGTTCTTTGGATATCTGGAAAAACCTGATGAGGTCTCCATACGAACGTTGCTATTTGATTCACAATGTTGGTCCTCGAACGTAGACCAGAATTTCCAACTATGATATTAATGCGGCGAATAGGAAATCAGGCACCTTTTATAGGTACATCCCCCAAAAAAATGCTGCTAAAAACTGTTTCTTCCTCTTGGGTATGAAACTGATGAAACCCGGGGCTCCATGTCAAGTTTTGCTGTGCAAATTCCAATTTGTTCGAACCTTTGACACCCACGCAAAGCCATTTCAAACCCATCACTGCATCATCACTTCTTGGATGTCTTTGGATATCTTTGGCATGTTCCACACGTGTAAAAACCACCATTCTCAGTGCCCAAAATCCACGACATTCCACGACAACAACGACCCCCCCAAACCCTAAACGCGACCCTCGACCTCGCTGGTGAGGTAGGCGGGGTTGAAGGGCGCTTCGCCAGGTTTCGCACCATTGGCCTCCAAGATCTTTTTGCATTCCTGGAATGGACAGATGGAAGCTGGGTCATCTGGATATGGATTGGTTTCAGGGAAATGGATAGCAAGAAAACCCAATATCCCAATTTTTTTCATTGGAAAATCGATGATTTTTTAGGATTATTTTTAGTGTATGATATTAGAGGTGTGAAAATCAAGTTTCAATCTAAGAACATCTGGATGAACGCTGGATGACATTAGTTGTTTCGGACAGGATGTGGTTGGGGCTCCGGGAACATGAACACAAAAAACCATGGTTTATAATCCCCCAAAAATAGCTGGGTGTCCCATGTTTTCCGGCAGAATGTCCATTCAACTAGTTTTTATGTCAGCTTGTGCAAATATGATTCAAGATTCGGTCTTTACCCTCTGGTAAACGAACAAACATAACTCTGGAAAATCACTATGTTTTATGGGAAAACTCACTATAAATGACCATGTTCAATAGCAAACTGTTAAATTGCCAGAGAATAGATATCATACCTATTATATATATATATATTATCATATTAACCATAGATTAACTATATATTAGTAACCATTAGTAACCATTATTAGCCACCATGAACATCTATTAACCATGAAATGGAAAGACACCCGGAAACTGTCTACTGATTCTTCGTGTCAATCCCCTGGTTCCAGGCAAGGTTGTTCTGCGATCTCATAGCAATCTTTTTTTTGTTGGGAACCTAAAAACATGGTGATTTTCCCATTTAAAATGGTGGATGTGTTTCCCATTTGATCATATTTGGCCGTAATTTCACCCTTGTTTTCTGGGATCAATTTTCCATGCAGAGATCACCCTTTGGTTGACGCTGAAGCCATGGCTCGGCTGGATGATTTACATCTTCCACTCCACGTGATTTTCCAGTTCGCAAACTGCGACAAATGACCAGAGGGTAATCAATACTATGGATGGTTGCGAAATCCTGCACCAGTTGATAGATGGTTTATCCATGATTATCCCATTAATTATATATATATTATATATTTATTCATATTTATAGGCTTTTAACAATCGTTTTGGTGGTTTATTGGATTTCGCAACCATCCAGCCCGGTGGGGACACGTCTGTGTCAACCAAGGGACCCGAAGTTTGGGAAGACACTTGAAGGTGTCCAGCTCATCTGCCAGTGGTTGGTTTGGCACTAGCCTCTGCCGCTGCTCCTGTGAGCGCTGAAGATTTACCATGGAATTCCGAGAATTGCAAGTTGTTTGAGGGGGAAAAAACAGGAAACTATTTGCAAAGCAGAGTCGTGTTGCGGGGCTCAATGTTACCTGACTATCCATCTACCAATCAGGCAATCCGTTGATCCATCCATACTATAAGTGTGTACAGGTACAACTAAATCTCAAGGCGGCTTGAGTCCAGATATGTCCAGATACACTATTTCGGCCCGTCTCGGCTGCTGTCTTATCTGTTTTTGTTTCACATCGGATCTTGATGAGTTGAGCTGTTCCAAGTAATTCTTGGCCATATTCGATTCCATTCTCAGCTTTTGATGTGCCATTTGAGGCATATGTTTTTACACATATAATACATAATATACACAATATACATAATATACATCATATACATAATATACATAATATACATTATATACATAATATACATAATATACATAATCTACATAATATACATAATATACATAATATACATAATATACATAATATACATAGTATACATAATATACATAATATACATAATATACATAATCTACATAATATACTTAATATACATAATATACATAATTTACATACTATACATACTATACATAATATACATAATATACATAATATACATAATCTACATAATTTACTTAATATACATAATAGACATAATATACATAATAGACATATATACATATGTAATATACAATATACATAATATACATAATCTACATAATATTTCATTTTCAGTCTGCAGCAGTAGAAGTCCAGGCTTCGTGCTGTCGTGCACTGTATACAGAATATACATAATATATATTTATCACATCAATTTATATTATACTATATTATATATATAATATATAAGACCTCCTCTCCCTGCTATACTTGGTCACCTTTGTTCAATCCACCATTTGCCGAGGCCAGCCTCGGCTGTACCGTAGCCATAGCCCACGACAGAGCGACCCTCCATGATCTCCCGTCGCTCCTACGCGGGACATGGGAGATTCAATGACCTACGGATGTTTTTTAAAGCTTTGATGTTTTTTGATGGGTTGCTCAATTTCTTGTCATCCATACTTCAAGAGTTTTGTTGGATTCCCTCTGGTAAACCAATAGTTTGCTATTGAAAATGGCCATTTATAGTGAGTTTTCCCATTAAACATGGTGATTTTCTATAGTTATGTAAACATTTACCAGAGGGTAATAAATGTGGGAAACCCTTCTTTTTTAGCATAATATCACCTGTTTCCCCAGCAAATTCCTATGATGATTGCCAAAGATTGGACCATGTTGGACCAATCCCTAAGGATCCATGTATGGAATATTTACCTACATTGGGATTATTTTAAATTACTTTAGGGGTCAATGTAGGTAAATATTCCAGCACCATGGTTCCTCTGGGAATCAATTCCTGTCCAAATTCCGCGGATTTCCGCCACACCGCGGGCCTCCTGACTTCGGATTTCCTGCCTTCGAGCCTCCTCCGCATCCTTCAAGATCTCGCTGACCTGGAGGACGTCCATGGGAAGTACCACAGATCCGGTGGTTGAAAATACCGGGTTCTTTGAAGACACATGCGACAAAAGCATACAAAAACTATAGGAAAACATCATGTCATAGCAGATTGAAATAAAGAAACATAAAGAAACCAAACAAATCATGTAAACAAGACCGGTATCAGTAACAAGGTGAACGCTTTGACGTTGTTGATCTCAGTTCAAACACTAGTTGACTCTAGTTTCCTGTTAAACACATTCTGGAAATAGTTGCAAAAGTTGACTCTAGTTGACTATAGTTGCCTTGTGTTAAGTATAGGAAACGCCACCGGAACATATTCTGGATGATTCTACGTAGCAAAGCCCAGGGACTGTTTCCCCCCAACTTCAAGTCAAAACTTATCCCGACTCCCAATTTGGGTAGAAGGTTCATATCATTAGCAGGACAGTGATGGATAGTGCATAGTCTAATAGTGGTAAACACACACCAAAAAAAACATAGACCTAGGATACATTTAAAAAAATGAAAAAGACATCCATAGACCTGCAACAACTATGGTTTATGGTACGCAAATAACTATAGTTACTGGGGCGAATCTAAACCAACGTTCACATCACTGGGGGGCCTCACATTGTAGAACAACGTTTTAAAAATCCAACCTAGAAAACATCAAACAAAACCCAGGAGCCGGCCATCTCACCAGACGCCATGCCTTGTCCAATGGGGTGAAGCCCCACCCGCTCTCGACGTTCACATCTGCTTTGTTCTCCTGGGAACAGCTTGGAAGTCATTCAACAAGGAAGTTGTGGCAACAGATTCTGGAGATGGCTGGAGTTTGTACAAGACCGTTTCTACTGAAACTAGAGATTTTGTTTGTTCCCTCTTGCTATCGAGTCTTCCACATTACAGTGGTTCATTCACATCACTATTAAAACAAACAAACCAGGCATTGGATCATAAGTTGTTGTCAACCATCACGGGCCCCAATGTCTGTTCAAAGTTTGTACATCGTCTTTGCACGTGGATCTACGCAGAGAAGAAGAAAATCGGTGATTCGAACGTCCGCCTGGCAGAGCGGAAAAATGGAATGCATCTGTCATAAGATTTCCAAGCCATTTCGGAACGGTTTCCAAGTGGCAAGGTGCCCAAAACCCAAAAAAATCCAAAAAATGGATGCTCTATATTGTAAGGCGCAGGGAAAAATGGATGACTATGGATGACTGGGGTTACCCCCAGCAGGAAACCTCCACCCGGTCCAGCAGCTTGTGGATGAAGGGCAAGTATTGTGATGCAGTCCAATTCTGACCTCTCTGCAGGAAAACCCACGAAACCACAAAGGAACAGCTCAGAAATGTGGGTTTTTCGTGGGGTCTAATGGTCTACCCTCTGGTAAACATACAAAAAACTATGGAAAGATCCACCATTTCCAGTTGGTAAATCCACGATTTCTATGGCCATTTATTCAATAGCTATGTAACAAATTACCAGAGGGTACTGTAAGTGTCAGAGAAAATTGGATTTCTATGGCTTCGTGGTATCCAGGCATCTCACAGCATGCGCATAGCGAACTGAAGACATTATGCAATCAAACATGTTGTATCTCAGCCCTGAACTTGTGCCATTTAATTTGCCAATGGCTTTACAGTAATTTACACCGACCTAAAAACAATGTTGGGCATCATATCATCCAATATTTTTTGGGTCGAGAGTCAATCATTTTGAGCCAAGAAAGGGGTGCACATTAAAAAGATGTTCCCAGATGCTCCCAGTAGATCTTTCCAAGACACAAGCGAGCATCAAAGGGGAATTTCCATCCTTGTTGCGCGCATTCACATTGGCACCCTGCCGATGCAATGGAGGCTGAGGGGGTGTTCGGATGTTTTTTTGGACCTGCTGCGCTGGATATGTCATATATTATGTGTTTGGATGTGTTCAGGTGGCTGATGTTTCGTTTCAAACTGCTACAATTCCTGGCAGCTTAAACTATATGTCCAATGATGTCCGACCTTTCAACACATATTCCATACCATACAACTATGGGTTTATCATGGTTTATCCAAACATGGCGTGTGTACACCAAAATGCCTATTTAAATGGGAAAATCATGATAAACGCTCCAATTGTGGGTTACGTTACCCTATTTTCAGACAAACCATACATTCTCTGGAGTTCCATTCTTGAAGGATGACCCCAAGTGCTGACCCTCAGCTTGGCCTTCTGCAAAGCGCGATCTAAATTGGCCATGCTGACAGAGTACTGGCAAGCCTCACCACGGACGTGGCTTGAGCTGAGCCAAGGAGTCAACAGTTCCCCATTGAATCCCATTGAACTGTTGGGTGAGCCAATATGTTATCCATCAGAAAAAGTGTGCAGATTCTTGCCAACAACCAGGCTCCCATAAGCCTGGAAGAGAAAGTCATCGGGCGTCTGGTTCTTGGCAGTTGGAATGCCATTCGGAGGATAGGACTTCCTGTGATCGGAGAGGCATCATTGCTGTAGCAACACCCCAACGCATAGAAAACAATTGCTTTTTTTGGTGGATGTATAAGGATTTCTTAGTATAGACCGATGTATATACCGTTGAGTATAGGATGTTTTTTTGGTGGATATAAATCAATTGCTTTTTTTCACGAAAAGACCAATTTCTGGCTGATCATTGGATTTCAAGGGCCATGGCAGCCAGGCATCTTTTTGTGATGAAGCAGCAAGTCAAGAAACCAGCCGTTTCCTTTAAAAGGGGGATACACAAATCATCAAATTCATCAATCTGGACAGATACCCAGAAACGAAAGTTAGATAAGTACTGCAGAGAAAAATGAATCACAAACTGCTTGGTGGTTGAGCCCTACCCCTCTGAAAAATATGGGAGTTCGTGAGTTGGGATGATTATTTCATTCCCAACTTTTCATGGCAAGTCATAATTAATCCATTCCATGGTTCCAGTCAGCACCAACCAGACCAATGTTCGTTGCAGGACCTGTCAGAGTATCCCAAAGTTGATGGAGTAAAAATCCCCACTGGGGAAGATGGGCCGCCCGACACGAAAAAAATCCGGCCCGCGGTTGCCCCAATTTTTTATGGCTTACCGGTATGTGTATATATGTAATTATAGATGTTATATATATATATATATATGTATTCCCTATGGGTCCAAACACTGTCTGAGAAGGTACTTGACCCCCTAAATCATACCCAAGTACTTCCTAAGAAGGCACTTGGATCCATAGGGATGTATATATAAGCGATATATCATAATACCCAGATGCTCCATGTATGGAATATTTACCTACATTTGGGTCGTTTTTGGGGTAAATGTAGGTAAATATTCCATACATGGAGCATATGGGATATATATATATACATATTCTTCATCAAATTGGCTATAATGGGGACCCCTCCGAATTCTGACACAAACCTCTGCCGCAGTGTCCTCAAGTCATCCTTCTTCACGATGCGCACGGGCATCCTGTGACTGCTTTTAAGTTACTAGACCTGGACGATTATCTGGGTGTGTCTGAAAATATGCAGATTTACCTCATTTGCCTCAAAATATGACAATTTGGTGTGTGGAAACCAAGTGGAGATATGATTTCCTTGAGATGTGTTGGATTTTCTCTCATGACCTTTGGGAGAGATAAACCAATATGTTTTAAAATCAGCAAAAGGTGATGTTTCACGCCCCACAGAAATGGAAGCATCCTTGCAGCAATCGGGGTCTTCCAAGGCGGTTCTACACGCTCATCTGGAAACCGCAATTCTGGCAATTCTTCGGAGAAGAATATGATCTTAATATCATCTCAGTGGAGGATGATCCATTTGCACATTAGCTGACTGGTAGTGATTGGTTTTGCGTGCTTTCTTTCAGGTTCTAACCCCGATCCCAAAATTGCATTTGGATGCATTTGGTATCCGCTGATTTGCAACTAAACAGGACCAATACCCTTCCGGTGCAAAATGAGTCTTAAAAAGTTGACATCCATCCCAGTTCTACTTAAGTTCATCTATGTCCGTTTCGGTTGATGTCCCCAAATTTGTTGAACACATCTTCCCATTCCCACAAAAGGTTTGAACATGTCGACCCATACTCATCCCCACATAGCACGGGTGTTGCCTTAATCGGCGTTGCACGGCGCCGCGGGTGAGTGATTTAGCACCCCCACTTGAACCCAAGCAGCACGGCCGGCGAACTGAGCGCGTGAAATGATGAGGTTCCGGACAATAGTGACCCTGAGAGGAGTCCGGATTGAACTTATTTACCACATTTTTTTATATGTTCAAGAAATGAAGATTGAACATCGCCCTAAATGTTGAACATCTCTGATACCTTGGGTCCTTGGGTCTTAGATTTTGAACATCTCTGGCTGTACTGGGGCACCCCGGCCCAACCCGCTGATCTGGTGAGGGAGGCAACTGAGGGCCATTTCTGGCAAGCGCCTAGGAATGGGTATGGATCCAGCCGTCTCTTCTGGAGGGGATAATTCAGGTGGCTACAGGATGCCTCCAGTCGATAGCGTTCAGTTGCCTTGACTAAGTGGCTTAACTATGGTCTATGGTAGATATAGTCTGATATAGCTATAGTTCATGGGGCTTATAAACCAACTTATAACTGGGGGGCACCATCCTGTAGGTATTTGGAGTGTTGGACATTATTCAGTGGTCATTAGTTCTTAGTTCTTGGTATCAGCAACACCCACCATCAATTGTATCATACCATATTATACCCACTACGTCACTATCCATTTGTCATTTATCTTCCTGGATATTAATCTATATCCAATTTACTATAATTACTAAAACTTGGACAACTCCAACTGATATTGTCATAGCAAGTGGTTATTACAATTAGTTTCGTTGTATATCCAACTGATATATACATGACCATCACAATCACCAAGAGGAGTAAATGGCAATCATTTATTACAAGTTGTTATTGTCTTTACTTGTTCACAATCCATTCGTCATTAGTCTTGTTAACAACATGAGTTGTTGGATGGATATGGATGGATAACAACTTGTTTCATGATGTAGTCTCAGTATAACAAATAATAACAGGTTGTTTGGATATAGTATTTTGAATATGAATTAGTCAATTCCAAACATGGCTTAAGAATGGTGGTGCCTCTACAAGATCCCAAACATGGGTTCAGAACCGTAAAGAAAACCCACCCCAAATGACCGTAGGTTGGGATTTTGTAGAGGCCTTCATTGGCCGTTTTTGATTTTTTTTTGTGGCCAGTCTGGAGCCCAAGCGATTTCCACATCACAAAAAACATGTACATTGTGGTAGCAGAGGCAGTCAAAAAGGCTGAAGGCAAAAAGTAACATAGAATTGTTTGAAGGCCATTTATTCAGCCAATAGCTACTATTCAAATATTTTTCATTGGGTCCGCGCGCGCTCCCCTGAGTACTGCCAAAAAAGACTTCTTGAAGCGCGCGCGCGTCCAAAGAAACAACAACACCGATCGGGGCAAATCACGTGCCAAACTGGTATGCAGAAAGTGCACGGCATGTTTGCAGAACATGCTTGGTCAACATTCCTTCATTTGACTACGTCTGAACGGCTTTGAAGTAGTTTGAATATGTTTGCCTTTTATAAGCTTCTCTAATAAATCCCAAACAGGGGTCCCTTACAAATTACCCCTCAAAATCCTCGTTCTCTAAACAAATCTCAAACAGGGGTCCCTTAAGTGCACCATAAAAAAGTATCCTTTAAAACGCCTACAAAATCATATGTTTTTGTCAAATGCACACTTTAGTTTACCCCAAAGTAGCCCTGTAAAAATCTGAACCCTGAGGGTATAATATACCCCCTTTGTACAGCCGCTAGCGGTTGGGATTTTGTAAACTCCAGGGGCTATCCGATCATACTATCTCTGATTAGATGAAGTGAAAATCGATGGGAACCAATGTTTGTATTGCCATGATGCATAGGTTGGAGTTCCAACTTTCCCATCAGCTAATTCCCTGCGTCTTGTGCAAAGTTCTAATGCTAAAACAAAGAAACATATAAAGCACTTGCAAAATCGAAACTTTAACGACACGTCTGATTTGTTGGGAAATATTCCAATGTTCAGCATTTTTCAATTATCCAGACCTCCTCAGTTATCCAGAAAAAGTCTAAGTTTCAATATGTTTCGGATGTTTTTGCCATATTCAATTGTTGAGACTAAAACCATATGGCATATGTCCAAAAAATAACTTTCTGCTCAATTTTTGTTGAGCCATGTTTCCACAAAATAACTGTCTGCTCAATTTTTGTTGAGCCATGTTTCCAAAAAATAATTTTCTCAGATTTTCGACAAAAAAATATTATCCTTTCCCTCACAATCCCTCACATGAACGCTTGACGCTCCTGAACGCTGAGGCTCCTGAGGTCAGGACCAAGACGCTGGAGGAATAACCCACATAACTTCCGAGCTCCTGGGCTTTAAGGACGAAAGCGGTTAGGTCAAGGATCCGAAAAACATTTTTTTGCTTGGGAAATGAATATAAATTCCAAACCTAACTGAAAATTGTGATCACTCAAATTCAAACTTAACTACATATACTAATTTAACTATCATTTGATGGTGATCAGTGAAGATTCCAAATGAAAACAAGTAAAACATGTTGGGGAAATGATTGACATTTTCATATATAGATAGTGTCACCATTCAAATAGTAAAAACTCAGGATCGTGTGCCCCTTCAAATTTAGATCATTCAATATGTTCATTGTATATTTAAATGGTGCCATTTTGTGCCAGTATCTAATTTTGAACGGGCATTCAATAGTTAATGGTTGAAACGGCCAGGATTCTGATTGTCACCAGTTCCCCATGTGCAAAGAAACTGAACGTCTTTGCTGGCCGATCACCCTTTCCCACTTACGGCAAAAAAACACCTAAGCCACTAAGCTACAGAACCAAACAAAACGTTGATCCCTCAGACCAGATTCATACTTTAATATATTGGATCTGGTGCTTGTTGCTATGCTTGAAGATGCAGGGTCTACTTGGCGAATCTACATATATAGATATATATGCGACAATTTCGGGGTACTCCAAAACTGTTGGGTTTTGTACCAAATATGATCAGTGAATCAGTGGTTCCGGCAACGTGCTTCTTCTGTACACATATTGGTGAACTGGAAGGGATGGTGGCAAACGTCCCAAAGTCTCAGCACCCAAATGGGTGACCTTTAACTACTGTGGATGTTGAGAAACCCTGCGCCAGTTGATGGTAAACATCCCATTATTCATAGGGTTTTAACATGTTTTAACCATCCCTACGGTGGTTCAACGGTTCAGGATTTCGCAACCATCCACAGTATTTCCTATGCCAAATGGCAGGCTTCAGTCTAAGGATGGATAAAACATGCCCGGCAATCTGCAATATTGGCCCCAAAAAAGCCACAATTCCTAGTTTGCAAGAAAGAACACTTAAGTGTGACGTGCAACTGCAAATATAATTTGAAAAACACAAACATCTTTGCAGCTAGATAGCAGAGGGAACAATAAATAAACAGAAATAGAAATAGATAATAGATAGATAAATAATTGCATATAGATATAGATAATTAGATAATGGTAGATAGGTAAATAGATAGATTAATAGACATAGACATACTTACATGTTCATAGCGGATAGATATAAGCCTATGTCAAAATAGCTAGAAAAACATGTGTACATATATATCACCATATATAACAAACATGAATTATAGATATAAATACACATGCAACATATACACAGTATATATATATATAATACTATAATAAATAAATATATATATAATATGTAGTAATGTAATATGATAATCATATATATATTAACAATAGACACATATACAGTATCAAGAATTTGTGAAAAATCAGCCATTTTTCAATCCCACAGAAAATCGTCCCATCTTTCGAAGCAAAAAAACCGACGTCCCCGGGCTCGGTGCCCCGGGGCCCCGGCCACGACGAGGCCCACAGGTGCTTCGTGGATGGCCCGTTCCAAGATGCGCCGCTTGGCTCCACCTGAAAATCGTCGGCCCCCAGTCGAGCGATAGCGTTCAGTTGAGATATGGCTGTATAGATATAACTATGGTTTATGATGTATGGTATAGATATAACTGATATGATATAACTATGGCTGTATAGATATATAGATCTGAATTCTATGGTTTATGGTATAGATATAACTATAGATAACGAACTAGTATTCATGGTGTGTATAAACCAACATTCACATCACTGGGGGGGGCCGGGCCATCCGGTAAATATTAATATAATAACAGGATGTCACAACAGAATAATAACTAGTAATATTGATAAAATAACCATAGTATAGTAATAAGGATGTACTAAATATGTGAAGTGATGTGTTTTTTTCAAGTGGCTGAAGTATATAGTAGATAGGTAGTGCAAATTCCGAAGAATCCCAAAGATTTCCGAATATGGATAAAATATGATAAAATTGAATAATCAATAGACTGGTAAGAATACTGAAACTGGTTTCCCCTAGAGATGTTCCCTTGAACCAATCCATTGAGAAAAAACAACGATAGTAATAAGGTTCTGATGAATTCTATAGTAACATGATTGTCATATGATTTAATCATAGTATATGCAAATATTGTAAATCCTAATAAACCGAAATAAATCATGGATTTTCTGTGGTAAACCAAATGCCATAAACCATCATAAATCATCACATTGGCGAAATCAATTCTATATCATCCAAATGGGATATGCCGAAAAGCCAGCTCTATTGTGGTGATGGTCTATTATTGGCTTTGCGACATGAAAATATATAATTAGGTCATCAATCAAATCCTAATAGATTATTAATGGATTAAAATCCGCATCAAATCAATGGTCTATTAATATATTTTGACCGTGAAAAACTGATTAGGATAAAAATAATGATGTGAATAGTGAGTTGATGATGAATGTAGAATAGTTTCTTCACAGATAAGCAGCTTTTACAGGTATGAAAATCCTGTTTAGAATTGAGAAAAATCGCTGTGATCATTTTTTTTATATGGCAGAAACCAAAGGCGATGGCAACTCTGTGGATAAATGAAGTAATTGGGCTTCAAATGCCGTTCTTTCGCACATAGGCCTTTCGCACATCACTTAAGGAGGAAACCAAAAGGATCGTCCCCTTGACACATTGGCGAAATTTCATCATTTCTCATAAACAACTTGTACCCTCTGGCAAATTAACATAGCGAACTGCAAAAAAAATCCATAGAAACAGTTGATTTACCCATTAACCATGGTGATTTTCCATAGTTATGTAACAGTTTACCAGAGGGTAAATGGCGGTTTCCTAAGTCATGGGTACCCCCTCATCCAGTCATTAGACCAGCAAACTTCGAAACCCAAGGGCCCAAGGGTTTTGGGATTTTCCTCATCTTAAGAACCACCCAAATAATCAAAGAGATATGATATTCGACTGCCAAATGATATTGCCGAAGGGTAGCCTGGCTACCCTCTGGCAATGACTTTCACAGTTCGCGAACTGGGCCAAATCACCATGCTATTCAGAACGGTAAACCATCTAGAAATCTATGGGCCATTTTCCAGTTCGCAAACTGTTACCCTCTGGTAAACTAACATAACTATGGAAAATCACCATTTTCAATGGGTAAATCTACGATAAATGGCCATTTTCAATAGCTATGTTAAATTACCAGAGGGCAGTTTACCAGAGGCCAGCACAAAATTCAGTGAGATGATTTCCCCCAACTTTTTTCATGGGACAAGTCCGGAGAGAGACCGCCAAGGCACCCACAGTTCTGTGGCTACTTCTGTGGCTCGGTTTCGCCTTTTCCAATATCATAGCCAAAAAAGATAGGAACGTGATGTATCACTTTTTTAGTGGGAATGAGGATATATCCCTTAGTTCATACTATTCAAGAAATCACTATTCATCCCAATCTAGATCCCAATATATTTCTATCTGAGGACATGAATCATAGATCCCAATCGCCACGGCAGACTTCGATACCTCTAAATCAGCGGAGGTATCAATCGCCCCGTCGATGGGACTTCCGGGCTTAAAATGGGGGGTAAACTTCCTGTTGCCCGGTAGTCAGTGGGAATTTCAGGATCCTAAAATGGAGGTATTGTACCATAATGTACCATATAAGGTTATATTTTGTGGGGATATTCCCTTACATAGGCCTTATATAGGCCTTATATATGGTAGGTACCTCCAATTTAGGTTCCTGAAATTCCCATTGAGGTAGGGAATGAGGGAATGATGCATGATTATGAAAAAAAATCAGCCCATTCATGGGCCCCATATCCCCATTCCCTACTTGTCGGATTAGTTACCCAGTACCTTTTGGGTGACCCAGTACAATGCGCATGGAAAAATGAGAACCCATGTTCCATTGACTATTATAATTAATCATATCCATCATATTTACCTTCGTTTGACCAACATTTGATGTTAATGACCCTTTTCATTCGGTTTTTCCATGACAACAAATATGATGGAAAAAATCGGCCTAACATTCATTAACAGGATGAAACCATTGAATTTACCTTTCTATTCTTATCCTGTTTACCTTTCTATCAGTTTTTCCATGATAACGACCGGGACGGGGACCTGCCAGTTTCAGAAAGGTCTTGCGGCTGGCGAAGGCTTCCATCTCTCGCACCCTTTGGAAGATTGGCAACATGATTCTCACGAGACTTGGGCCTATAGCTGGTTGGTGGTTTCAACCCCTCTGAAAAATATTAGTCAAATGGGAGTATTATTCCCAATATATGGAAAAATAAAACATGTTTGAAACCACCAACCAGATAGTATACCAACAAAAAGAACACGTTGTCCTTATTGCAAACATCTAGCAAACATCTATTGTCATGTCAAATTCGTTGCAGATATTGTTTAAGAAGGATGACCCCTCTATCAACCAAGCAGTGGGAAAAGGACATTTAAGCACAGCCATTGATGATAGGCCGGCTGGTTTGGTGAACATATGCACGCAACCGCCGTGAAGGTCTCAATATGGATGACACAAGAACATTGATTTTTAAGCTGTCTACTCATATCATGTATGCTTGAGGCTGTTTGACTGAGTTATATATCTATATACTGATTTGCATTTCTGACTATATACTTGTTCACTGGCCATCTATACCCTGTATTCAGTTGCTGTATGTCACCTTGTCATCAATTAAACATTATTTATATAAACAAAAAAGAGGGCTGGACATGCCATAGATGTTGGGGTCAAATGGAGCGGGGATGCAGTGACTGCCTCGATCAATGGAACCAAAGGAACCAATGGAACACCGACACCCGTCCCAACTAGTGCCAACTACAAAATCTCTGAATGTGCCGGCAAGAACTTCCCCCAAATATCTTATGTATATATATATATATATATACGTATTATACTCTGTTTTTCGGAGGCAATGCAGTGGGCCCCCTTTCTACCAATATATGGTTTCGATAAAAAGTCCACCCGCCCAATGTGCCGGCCAGGAACCTGGGTCATTGTATGTCATTGTGAGTAACCAATGACAAATAAGTTCACCATGGTTAAAGACCATTAGATGTGGCTTAAATGACATACCATGTTGATAAATGACCATTGTATAAATTGGTTTAACTGTTAACCCATCCATTTTGGGTGATCAAAAAATGACCCAGACGTGTTTCTTGGTCTGTAACCTTATTCTACCTCATCTAAATAGGTATGCACGTCATATATATATATATATCCACCATAAATCCAAGTATAGCCTGGTTATAAACCAACGTACAAGTGCCCTTCAAACAATTATATATATATATATATCATAAGAAATAACTCCTACAACTGGTTGGTGAGATATCATTAACAAAATCTGGTTGGTGGTTTGAATCCCTGTCAACAAATATTAGTCAGTTGGGATGATTATTACCAATATATGGAAAAATAAAATCATGTTCCAAACCACCAACCAGAAATAGTTATAAGTGGCATAACGGGCCATAACTGTACCAGTCCTAGAACTTGGGAGCCCCGACACATCTTCTGCCTTCCATGGGAAGGCATTCGCTGCTAAATGCCGTAGGAGTTCGAACTCCTTCCGCCTGGCATGGAATACTCAAGACTTTTGCCATGGTTTTGTGGTTTTGAGAGATAGATATGTCACATATATAAATAAACACCTACATAACACTATGTATTTGCGCATGTATACATATATATATATATAAATACAGTTAGACTATTTATTTGCCCATGTATATACACATATATATATATACAATATATGTAGAAATTTATCTACAGTCTGATTTGTGTGGCGCCAAAATGCATCCCAGCAGTGCTGTTGCTCATCTCCCAGCTCCTGGAACATTCCAGGGGTCTTCAATTCTGGCCCAGCCCTACATGATTACATTACGTACATCATCATACACCATCATATATCATCATACACCATCATATATCATCATATATCATCATATATCACCATAGATCACCATGTATCACCATATATCACCATATATCATCATATATCATCATACATCTGAACCTCTCATAGTATTGCCTACAGTGGTCCAGCATTTTTCGTCGTCATGGCTGTTGCAGTCGATGCCCAATAGGCCCAACGCAGCCAGGAAAACGAGAAACTCGCTCTGTGGGATGATCCTCCAAGCAATGCCAAACTCCAGTCATGGTACATTTCCGTGACTAATGGTTACCCTCCGGTAAATTAACATAGACCCTGAAAATAGCCTAGTTTTAATGGTTTCACTCATCTTCCAACCCCGACAACTGCCAGGGTCTATGTTAATTTACCAGAGGGTATAATGCACAAATCCAACATAAACATACCCCCAAAAGATGACCTGGGGGGGTTGGGTGTCCCCATTTTGTAGAGCCAAATCTGGCTTTTGGGTCCTGATAATGGAGTGGAATTTTCTTGGGGGATACATAAACCGTTTCAGAGCCTACTTACTAGTCACCATTTGAGCATAGTTTACCTGGGTTTATGTATAGATTATTGTGAAAAATTGCAGGTTAATAACCCTTTCAGAGGAATGGCACGGTGATACTTGTCATATCAGTTGTACCTCCCATTATGTTAGTTACAGGAGGGTATACCTCACATTAGGGGGAAGGTATGGGAAGGTACAGGGTGGTGCCCCCTTCAGTTATAAATTGGCAATCTTGGGGGCACAACCGTGTATCACTTATTCTTAGTTCTTGTTGTTCATTGCAAATCTCCTGGGTCTCCTGGGCTTACTATACTTCACAAATCAAGCCATACGCCATGAACGTAGGATGATTCCCCCTACTAAAGTAGCCACTGGTCAAGTGCCATGGTCGAGTTACATGGGATGAATGGGCGATGGTCATCGATACCTGGGAATCCTTATCTGGTTGGTGGTTTTAACCATCTTGAAAAATATTAGTCAATGGGAAGGATTATCCCATATATTATGGACAAATAAAAATTGTTCCAAACCACCAACCAGTTATCATTGCTATAATTGCGTAACTCCGAAAATTCATGGCCCATTCCCCTCTTGAACTGGAGAATTGACCCAAGTTTTCACTGTGACACATAGTCAGACCTTCATGAAAGGCGTGGTTTTTCAAATACCCATGGTATGGCTTATATGTTCAGTTCCATGGACCCATATCGATCCATGTTCAGTAGTACCATAGTAGTTCGATTTCGATTTCTTATCATTCTTATCATACATCCATGATCCTAATAGTAGTTCGATTTCGATTTCTGAGACATATCCCATCTAAGCAAATGATAATAATTCACTAACCTGAAATCTTCGGCCAGCTGGATCCTGGCTTCGGGAGAACAGGGCGCCTGTCCGCCGTCTTGTCGGGCGTCCCCAGCCGGAGCTGCCGTGCCAAAAGCTCCAAGGCATCGTAAACCTGAATCCACCCGGAAAACCCATGGGAAAGTAGGGATTAAATGATTTAACTAACAAAACAATAACATAAAATAGCTGATGTTCATTGATTTTCCATGGTGTATCCCTCTAAATCCCATTGGTTTAGGATGATTCTTCCAATTACTATTTGAGAAATACACCATTTTCAGACATACCCGTATGGAAAATGTCTGCTTTGGTGAAGTGTCGACATATGTAGAAATATGGATCACTTTTTTTAGATCTGTTTCATAGTAAGGGAAACCTAAAATGACATGAAATGACATGTGTTTTTTTCAGAAAACATTAGTTTTACTCTATGAACACGGGATTCGTTGAAGTAAACCCTAACACAGATGGGAGAGTTCCACGGAAACGGTCTTTTGTCCCTGCAGAAAGCAAGATCTGAGATGCATCCCCTGTTCTTATGGACTAGCCCATCTACCATCAAGGTCTAAATGTGTCTTTTTTTGGCTTCAGTACTTGACACAATTTGAGGCACCAAAATTCAAGGCCGAAGATTTTTTGTATCCAACAACTCATCACAATCATTATAGACGACATTGGACGACACTTTTTTTAATATCCAACATCTTTCAAACATCGGATAGGAACAATTAGGACATTAGGAATGTGTCTGTTAAAACGATGCTTAAAAAATAAAAGCCAATTGGATGGTATTGGATAATCCTATTTTAGGGCAATAACTTGACAGACACCAACGCTGCTGTGTTTCTTTCGCGCGGATCACGTGATCGACCGCACTGCATGGCGCGGCTTCTTCGAGATTCCGGGGCTACGGTTGGTCAGAGCCCTGCGATTGACTCAATTGGACCGCGTGAAACCTCAAAACCTAAGCAATATTAAACAATATTGAACATGAAACCCCATTTCAGTTGCAGCATATCCTCTTCCAAGCTCCTTTTTGCAGCGAAAGGATGAGATCAAAGATGAGATCAATGAGATCCAAGTGATGATATAGCAATCGAAACAGCCGGTCTCACAGAGGAACATGGGCTACAAATGGAAGTGGGTCCGATGCACAGCATTATGAACATTCAGCTAGCCCTTTCTTGCGAGTTAACATAGAACTGATCCAACATCTAGCGAAGGGATTCTGACGCCTCAAGAGGATGGAACAGGATGGCAGCACTTCTTTATAGCTGGATGGTGAATGATGTGAATGTGAAAGCGGTTGATCAAAGATTTTGCTTTCAAAAGGTGTAGTTTTACCTGCGAACTCAAGGAATGCAGATACACCATGATTTCATCCACAGGGAGTTCAACTATGACAACTGAAAAAACTGAAAAAACTGAAGATAGCCTCTGGTAAACGTTTACATAACTATGGAAAGATCCACCATGTTTATGGGAAAACTCACTATTTCTATGGCCATGTTCAATAGCTTTTTGTATGTTTACCAGAGGGTATCTGAATCCAATCATAAACATGGTCGAGACATCGGCGACTTTTGAGCCCATTTGAAACCAGACCCATGGGGGAATTTCCGATGATCGCTGGTGTGACCACGCATGTTGCTCCAAAATGGCCCGCTCCAACCGCTCAACCGGACGGTGACGACCACCAAACGTCGTCACAATTTCAGCTTCTCACGGCGACAGCAAGGCAGCAGTCTTTGGGATCCAGTCAAGGTGGCTGGTGTTCTTTGGAGTTGTGAGTTCAGTATGCATGCGGATCAGTATGGATCAGTATGGAATTAAGGATAAGAACAAAACCTCAGGATGAAATTTGGGAGGTCAAACTCCCTATGTTGGAAGATGTTGGAATCCAGGGCCCACTCAATATATTCCAACAGTTGGACATGTGACATGTTTGAACCGTGAATATGAACAGTGAATATCATACAAGGGGAAGGTGGAGGCCCTCTACTTATAAGTCGCTTTATCATTCCACTAACAAGCTCGACTTTTTTCTACCACAAACATCCACAGCTATTGGAATTCCAAGCCAACTTAGCTAACTGGGGGATACTAGGGGGGACCACCGTGTAGCTTGATGCTCCTTGTAGCTGCCGACGTGTCACCGGATGTGAGCAGATCATTCAGGTCGTGCCATGGTATCTTTGTGCCAAGTCATTGAGTACCCCTTAGCCGCCTTAGCCACTGGGTGGCTAAGGGGTACTCAATGGACAGATCTTAACCAGTCAAGTCAGGTCATTAAACATATTATCAAATTGAAAGTGGAATTGCGTACGCAATCAAACTCTAATATCAAGAAGATGGTTCATAAGGTTAATACATTGTTTGATGGTTGACGTGTTTGCAATGCATTGATTTGCAGCAGGCCATTTTTCACATAACACTGATTCCCGACATGTTTATCTGGTTGGTGGTTGACCTACCCCTCTGAAAAATATGAAAGTCAGTTGGGCTTATTGTTCCCAATATATTGAACAACATAAAATCATGTTCCAAACCACCAAGCAGTTATATATATATATACTAACTCAAAAACCAGGATGATATGGACCAATTCTTGTGCACTGTTATATAATGTTATATATATATAAATATATACAATGTGAGGCCCCCAAGATAGCTAAGTTGGTGAACATAACTCCAATAACTATGGTTTATGGTACGCCTCACATTGTATGATTGTCATTGCAACCCCTGGCAACCAACAAAAGTCCCTCACACCTCGATGACAGATTTGTGGCCATTCCCGGGGCATTTTTTCGCAGCGGACAGCAGGCGGACAGCGAGACTGAGATGAATTACATCCACCAGTTGCGGCGTTGGACGATGTGGTCCTGGTTCCATCTTCTCTACGGAAATAATTACCAAACCCCTGTTGGCTTCTTGATGAAGCCACCAAACATAGTGATACATGACGATGACTATACATGGCGACGCAATTTTTTTGTACCCCTGCCATTGGACCATGTCACAGCACGGTCCCAGTTCTGGGACCTTTACACCAGCTGGTAGCTTCGGGTTGGGGTTAACCCCTCTGGAAAATATACAGCGAATCTGGGGCTTGAAAAATGACTTTGGAATAGTTTGGACATCTTCGAAGAGCTATACACTGCCATCATCTGCCATCGTTGGACTCAAAAATCGTGGCACCTTGATCACTCCACAGTTTTACCCTCTGGTAAACTAACATAGCTATGGAAAATCACCATTTTTAATGGGAAGAACAACTATTTCTATGTCCATTTTAAATAGCTATGTCGCAAATTACCAGAGGGTAAGTCATAAAAAAATATAAAAAACAGATTCAGATACTTCAACACAAAAATGCTTCATCCAATGTCAGTGGTGAACCAATCACTTCACAGTGTTATTTCTAGATCCTGATTAGTTGATGATTAGTTGATGATGAGTTGGGGGATTCTACGCTTCCCAATCCACAGTTGTCATCCGATCCTGCTGCACTCAGGAGGACCATCCCCACAAGACCGTAACTAACGGTGATCGGATCGGTGTCTTTTCAGCGGCTTCATGTTAGGAATCATCATTAAATAACCAAATAACTAGTGATGAAATTAACCAACAAATATGGCTATTTAATGGTTATTTAATGGTTAATAATGGTTATTATTGTTATGGTTATTATTTCATCATTAAATAAGTAAACCCAAGAAATAAGCCAAAACTAAATTAGCTAAATTATATTTAATAAACCCAATATATAAACCCAATAAATAACCCAAAATTAAACTATGTTGAGAAAATATGGTCATGTGGTGCCAATAACCCGGCAATGAACCCAAATCGGGGAACACACATACCTGGTTGGTGGAAATATGGCAACAGTGATCGGTCGCACATGTTGGTACATCACTGTCGATTATATCCCGTTTTCATTATCAAAATCCCACTGTGGATAAATGACACCACATGGTTTCGACCAAAATGGCAATTGAATCTAATCTTGTGATAATTTCACAGTTTGCTATGGACAATTGCCCACTTAGTTTGATGATTTACCCATGAACAAAATACAGCAAATAGGTACTGATGAGTATTAAGTTAACTGTGACCAGATGGTACTACGCACGTGGAGTCTCATGTTTTTCATATATCCACTACTCAATCACTCAGCCTCCTGCGCGCCACTACAGCCATTCCGGCCAACATGGACGTGACTTCGCGCTGTCTCCAAATAAAGGAATGTGCTGTCACTGTAGCAGACACGTGGAAAATAGAGCCCCAAAAACAATCAAAAACAACTGATGAGTACTCTCATTTGACCTAACCTGGCAGATTCTTCAACATTGAATTCAATTAATAAAGTAAACTGATCTCAGGTTCAACATGCTTCAAACATCCCCTGCTGAATTTCACTGGTGACCTAAGTCACCCCATATAGAGGTACCTGGGCTCCACTATAAGGGTACAATCTGCAGCTATATTGGTCGAATTCTTCTGTTGAAGCCGCCAAGCAAACCCTGATTTCAACCATGATTTCTCTATGTTCACTAGTTGGGCACACAGCCACATGAGCCATGGTCAATACTCACTATATGGTTGATGGTCATCCCATCCATAATAAGGATCCAAAAATAATGGTTATTATAAATCCCTATGAACCATTGGATGACTAGCCCCGTTTTTAATGGTTATTAACCATGAGTATTGACCATAGCTCACATGTTTATTGCCAAAGAGCTCCGATGTTTCAAGTGTTTGGTGCTCAAAGTTCCCCTGGGAGGCTTGTTGACGCCCAACTCTTGTTACTTGATCCCGCGAAAAGAACCTCCAGAAAAATGCGAAAAACCATCATAATATATGCTTAAACCACCACCATACAATGGTTAAAGCGCCACATTTCGCCAAATTATCAAATTTCGCCATAGTTTTCTACTTCTGACTTCCCCATGTTTCGCCAACCGTGCCATGTTGCCTTGTGCCGGCCGCCTCAGCACCCCACAGCTGAGGCTCACATTGACATCTCGCACCATGAGAGGCGCGCCTACGGGTGCGGAATCTATATGGTACCTAGTTGCGTTTAGGATGAGGGCCATCTAGAAACGGGCCATGTTCCATACTTTTTACTGGAGGGTATATCCCATTAATTCATCAATATTATCATAAAATATCCGTCATATCCCAGGATATCCCCATTTTTTATGGATCTGTTTACGAAATGGTAAACCAATTGTTTGCCATGGAAAATCACCATTTTTAATGGGAAAACTCACTATAAATGGCAATTTTCAATTACCCGTATTCTTAACTTTTGGCTATTGCAATTATCCGTTCTTCATCCCACGATCCCCCCGAGAGATTCCGAGAGTTTCTCACACCTCTCTTAAGCGGTGGCCAGGGAGATATGCGCCAGATGAACCTGAAAAAAAATCCGCCAGTTGAGGCCGGGGAAGCCAACTAAGTGAATTGGGGATCCAACAATGGACGAAAGACATGACATTGTTTGATGTATATATATATATATATTTATTCTATTTTTTTGATATTTCTTATATATATATATATATGCAACTATTCAAAATTATTGACAATATTGGGAAAAAAGGAGTCGCATAGTTTGGGATACCTGTTTCAGAAACGCAAAAAAACCATCCATAACAATAACCAACTGTGATACTAAGTTCCATGTCTACCCACATGAAGCGTTTGGTCAATGGAGAAGGGTTGTCGGAGGGTTCTCAATCCCACTCTCTCAAAACATGGTAGAAGACTCCACACTTTCGGATTTGCTACAGGTTTCTATTGAAACCATGGCCCATGGCCCATAGAAATAGTTGGTTTACCTATTCAAGATGGTGATTTTCCAGTTTGCGATGCTAGTTTATGTTAGTTAGAGGGTAAATGATTTTACTATGTGCCACTTTCATATGACCAGCCACCAACCGCCCCCGGTTGCTTCAGGCTACACACAGTTGATCGCCGCAGCTCATCTTGAAGGGCTCCTTTGGCAATGCCATGAGTTTCTCCTCAGAGCGGCTCCAAACACATCGACGACGTCGGCTGGTGAAAACACATCCGCAAACAATAAAGAGAAGGTTTCATTGTGGTACTTGAACATGGGATGTTTTTTAGTTTACCCTTAGAATTCTATGCAATTCTATGCAATTCTCTTATATTTCTAGGAACAAACATGATAAATTAGATATGAAAAACCGTACATTTAGAGCTACCCCATAGTCTTTGACACCCCCCAATTAACACGCTGTTCCGAAGCTTCGGGTTTCTCAGATCCGAGGTGCAAAGGAGTCGTCAGTGGCAAAAATGAAGGCCAAAACGCGATTCACATAAGTCACCTCAGGGGATATATTGGGTGGATCCCTCTGTCAATGGATTGGTTTAAGGGAAAATCTACAGGAAACCATGGTTTTTACCATCCAATTCTATGACTCTGGTAAACGTTTAAAGTTTACAGTTTCCTATTGATGGCCATAGAAAGGTACTTGATTTACTGATTATGGTGATTTTCCATAAGTCACCTCAGGGGAACTGGGGAAATCATGGTAATATAATGGGAATATCATGAGAATATACTTCTGGACAATGGGAGGCTCATGGAATATTGGAGAAATATACTGGAATATTGGTGATATCACCTCAAATGTGCCATGAAATTTCATCGGACATTACCATCAAAACATTGGAATTATATAAATCAATATACAGTATATATATATAAATACAGTATATATAAAGGGGATTTTTTGGGGTATAATGCGGATATAATGAAGGTATCATGGGACATGTAACCCAACAATCTGATTTTCTTGGATGTGAGAATGGGGTATACACCCAAATGGCCATTCTAATGGAAGACATCATTATTAACGAATAGATTTAGGGGCACACAAATTTCCGACAAAGTCACATGACAAAACATCATCAGTTCTCCGATTTTGGTATTAAGAACCACGTACTAACCATTAATGATTTGTTATCACCAGTAATAGTTAAGCATAATATTGGTTATTACCAAAAATTGTTAAATCACCAAAATAATACTACATAAACATAATAATATATAATAATGAATATTAAAAAAAACAGTATTTTCATGATTTGCCAAATAACCATTATTTTTATGATAATCATTTGCCAAATAAACATTATTAAATATCCATTATTTGCCAAATTGTTTCACTATAATCAGTAACAATTGTACTATCACCAATAACCAATAGTAACATTTGCACTATTTAATGATTATAAATGGTTATGAATATCATACTAATAACCATTTAAACCAAATTAAAAACCATTTATTGTAATGATTATAATTATTATCATCACCAATAACCAATAGTTACTGCCAAAAGTTGGACTATGGGCAGCTCTCAAAATCCTGGTGCTCATTGAACCAAATCTTGCCCTGTAAGGCCCTGCAACACAAAGATGTTGGCTATACTGCTACCAAGATTGTCCTAAAGATAGTACTTATAATATCTTATAATCCCAAAATATACTAGAAAATAATGATAACCCAGTTGTCGTTTCATGGTTTCAAATGGGTCAGTTTTAAACAAAACCTGTTTCATCAGCCAAGTTTTGGCCTAAAAAATCCAATGGATGCATGGAACCAAAACTCCGATTTTCAATTTCAGAATTAGGCAAGTAGCACACTGATTACAAATAAAGAAAACTAAAATCACTTAAAACTTACTGTAAACAATTCAGTTGCATTGCCAATCACACTCAATTGTCAATTGCAAATTTGGACTTGCAGTTTGTTCATGATGGTATAGCAATGTTTCCAAGATGGTATAGATGAGGTTTTTTCATGAGTTCTCCGCAATTTCCAGGCTTCCAACTTGTCTATCCCTTGTTCGTTGCTTCATCATAATCATGTGTCCATTCATCACAGAATATCCGACCCCATAATACCAATGATGGTCGACAATTAAATATTCATGGTTGGTGAAACTCTCATGGAACAATATCCACAATATCCCATTATATATACTTACCCTCAAAAGTTACCCTCTGGCTATTTGACATAGCTATGGACAATCACCATTCAATTCAAAAGTCTGGATGAAGGGTTTTCTACCTTCTCAATGGTATGTGCCTGTCTCAACCCTCCTCCCTGTATCAAAGGTGCTTTCTTTTTCCCCTCCTCAAAGGTCCTGGTTTCCCAGCCGTATTCCTGGAAAATTTTCCCATATTCGAAGGATTTCTCAGGGCCAAGTGTTTTCCCACAGTGAAGGGTCGCGCTCAAGGCTGCAAAAAAAAAAACTAAAATCCCGGAGACAAACCCATACCCCGGGGAAGAACACTTGCCACCGAACATTGCAAATATGCATAAAACATGCTATGTGTTTTTCTCAATGGTATGTGCCCGTCTTAATTTTTTATTTTATTTTATTTTATTTTTTTCTCCCCGGAGGTCCCGGAGAGGAACCCTTGGAATTTCTTCCCCCGGAGGTCCCGTAGAGGAACCCTTGAAACCCTTTTGCTCGTTTTTTTCTCTTCGTCGTCTTTCGTCGTCCGTCGTGTTTCAATGGGGATACTTGAGACAGACACTTGACCTGAGCAAGACCACAAACGAGAAAGTACCTTGGCGCAGACCTTCGATCAATGGGTAAATCATCATAAATCATCTATTTTTATGAGCCATGCTTCCATATAAGCAACCAGAGGGCAAATCCCAATCATCAGTTATCGAAGGAAGTTTAGAAGTCAAACTTCCGACAATATGGACAGATGGAAGAGCAGAGGTGGGAAGAATCAGGCAGGAGAAAAGAAAAAAGAGAAGATCAGAGAAGAGAAAGAGTGAGAAGAAAGAAGATGCAGGTGCGCGAAAAGGTAGGAAAGTCGCGATTCACTGTGTTTTTCCAATGGTTTGTGGCTCCGCGGGGTCGAAAAGTAGGCTCGCTAAAGCGGTGGGTGCGGAGCCATCTGGCCAGATGAGAGATGAAAAATTGTACGCCGTTGTGGCGCGAAGCGCGTTTCCAAGTCAAAATATTAAAAAATATTAAAAACATCACATGCTCGGACCACGCGAGGGATTCTGCACCTTGCCAAAAGTGAGAAAACAGTTTTGTAGTATTTCCAAAAACGATGGTAAGCATGGGACATTTGAAGAGGATCTGGAAAGATGTATTTCACGTGGCAAGCGCGGTACAAAGACATGTTCATCAGAGATGTTAGGAGGTTACGGCGCTGATTTCCTGAAAAGGGTTGCATTTTGGAGCATCAGATCTTCAGGTTTGCTGAGATGATTTTGCGTGACAGGTGCAGCACTCCGTATGACCTGGCATCACTTTTTCGTGGCAGGCGCGGTACTTTAGACAGGTGGAGTGGAAAAATTGCAAAACGCATTGGTAGGAGGCCGTCAGCTCTGCACTCAACTTTCCATTATTGAAGGAAGCCTCGCAGAATTGCTTCGTTTCTGATGTTGCCAACTTCGAACATTGAGGAAGCCTTGCAGGATTGCTTCGTTTTCAAGATTGCAGATAGACAGACAGACAGACAGACAAACAGACAGATAGATATATAGATAGATAGGTAGATAGAAAGATAGAAAGATAGAAAGATTAGTTAGATAGATAGATAGATAGATGGATAGATAGATAGATGGATGGATGGATAGATAGATAGATAGAAAGATATATAGATAGGTAGGTCGATAGATAGATAGACAGATTGATAGATAGATAGATAGACAGACAGATAGATAGATAGATAGATAAATAGATAGATAGATAGAAAGATAGATAGATAGATAGATAGATAGATAGAAATATAGAAATATAGATAGATAAACAACTACAACTACAACTACAACTACGCTACACTACTGCTACAACTACAAATATACCACGCTACTTTACACTACACTAATTACATCTAATTACAGTACGCTACACAAATTGCACAACAACAGCAACAACAACAACAACAACGACAACAACAACAACTACTACTACTACCACCACCACAGCTACAACTACAATTACAACTACTACCACAGCTACAACTACAATTGCAACTACACAACATTACACTACACTACACGAATTGCACTGCTATATACTACAAATACAAGTACAAATACGACTACACTACATTGCACAACACTACACTAATTACATTACATTACGCTACAAATCGCTACAACATACTACAACTACCACTGCAACTGCAACTACAACTGCATTGCACCACACTACATCCAGCAGTTGTGATGAGGTGACCACTGCAACCATTTCAAAAAGCACAACTCCAACCACCTTCGGGTCCATCAGTGGATTCGCTCTGCCATCCGTGATTCACAACAACCAAGCTCTCCTATAGGTGTTCTATTTTTGAAACTTCCGCCACCGCCTTGTGCGGTACTACTGGTACACATTTTTAGAAACCCCCATATATATATATATAGATACTTAATACACATTACATTATACATATCCAATCATCAGTTATATCCAACAAAACATCTATAAAGACTAGTTTAATCCCCATGGTGGTAAATCCCATGGCATATCCCATGGCATATCCCAAGAGGGCCAGTCAAAACTGGTACCCAAACGGTACCCCGAAAATATGTTGGTTCATAGATGTTTATTCCACCAGTCATATAGTACTGATAGGTTCTGACCCATTCCAATATCATATTATATACATTGAAATACATTGAAGCCTTTGCCATGGCACGGATTCCGCCTGCTCGCCTGGCTTGACCATCCGAATGGCAGCCTGACGGCAAACCACTGGGGAAAACCATTGAACCAACACATATCAAGTGACTTTTGAATAGGGAAATCATGGAAATCATATGTGTTTAACCAAAGTCAAAACATGATGAGCTGGTTGGTGGTATACCTACCCCTCTGAAAAATATGAGTTCGTCAATGGGAAGGATTATATCCCATATATGAAATGGAAAATAAAACATGTTTGAAACCACCAATCAGAAAGTGACTTTTGAAAAGTTTTTGAAGATGTTGGAGGTTTTTTTGTCGAATTTAACAGATAATGATTACAGTGATATGATTTGACGGATACCATCATATATATATATATGTATATATATATATATATATATACACGTATATATATATATATATACACGTATATATATACGTGTATATATATATATTATATTGAAGTTATTTGATGCAATAGTGTATTATGGTGTATTTACATAATTTTTGCAGTATGACTCGGCAATTCATTTGTGCACAAACCACGCAAAAAATATGGTCCAACCAGCGGTAGGTCAATTTCGTTGAAAACACGGGGCAGGTGCGGTGCCATCGCCTTGAAATTCCTGAGAAATGATTTGAGACGGTGCCCCATACTATCAATGGCCATTCCAGGATCCGATAAAAATTGGAGGTACCTACCATATATAAGGCCGACTTAAAAAAGGCCTATGTTTGCGGGAATATCCCCAGAGAATATGGCCTCACATATGGTACTAACGTACCTCCATTTTAGGATCCTGAAATTCCCATTGATAGTACTTAGTTAAGTTCGTAAGTACGAGTAGGATAAGTATCTTTTGCGGTAGATATGTCTATAGTGCATTGGGTGAAACCAAATTATATAGGGTGGCACCACCTCCTAGAAATAGTTCTTGCAGCACTCTGGCAGGTATTTCTTTTTTTGGGGGTCGATTCCTACGACCTGGTATGACTGAATATGAATCTGGTTGGTCGTTTCAACCCAACCCCTCTGAAAAATGATGGACCGAATCTTCAGTTGGGATGATGAAATTCCCAATATATGGAAAGTCATAAAACAAATCATGTTCCAAACCACCAACCAGTGGTATATATACGTCTAAAATAAGATCTTGGTTTCGATGACATTGTGAGTTTCGTGAGGAATGAGGCAAAAAAGGGACTTGGGGAACCTAAGATCACCAGGCTTATCCCAATCTCATATTTCTGACCATCATAACCACTTTGCTTCTGTAAATCCTTTGCTTTTGATGAAATCCTTCTTTGAACAAATCTGCATCTTAAGTTCTTGAAGCGTTCCCAAGCATCTAGTGACTAGTTCGTGGTTGTTGAACCCAAAAAAACATCTTCCAGATGTTAACTCTGGAGAATCTCAACTCATCTCCCCCAGCGGTACCTGCAAGTCATCTTTTGTGACATCCCCATACCTGCGGATGACCAGAAAACGATCCGCGTCCATCGGCGCGTTAGGGGGATGATCAAATGATCGTTTCACCAAACGGGAAATCCCAGAGGGAAATCTGTGGGGCCAGCGAAATCCGGTTATCACCAGTTGAAAACGGTGGTAAACATGGTAAACATCCCATGATTTTCTTGGGCTTTAAACCATCCCATCCAAGGTGGTTTAACCAGGATTTCACAACCACAAAAACCGTATGTTTAACCAAAGTCAAAACATGATGAGCTGGTTAGTGGTTGAGACCTACACGTCTGAAAAAATGAAGATGAACCAGTGCTGGTTGGTGGTGCAATAACCATCTTGAAAAATGATGGAGTTCGTCAATGGGAAGGATGACATCCCATATAATATATGAAATGGAAAATAAAAAAAGTTCCAAACCACCAACCAGATGATGAGTTGATATGAGTTGTCATAATTCATAAGTAATGAAGGTAGGCTTAAGTGTAGTGAAACTATGCTTGGATGGTGGCTGTTTGGCCTGATGTGCACACCTCAAGTTGTACAAGGCCAGCAGATCTTGGAACTTCTTGAAGTTACCCTCCAGTAAATTAACATAGACCCTGGCAGATAGGGGTTGGAAGACTAGTTTCCATTAAAAATTGGTGATTTTCAGGGTCTATGTGAATTTACCAGGGGGTACTTGAAGACTAAAACCATAAAATTGGAACCTTGTAGGGATCTTTTTTTTTAATTATTTTTTTTGATGCCAACTGATCAGAGCGATTTTTTTGGCAGCTTTCCAACTCTAGGAAAACTGCGCTGAATACAGAATTTCCCAGTACCATCAATAAGACACATCCAGTGAATCATGACAGGCACATTCCCAACCTGCAAAAAAACAATCGCAAATGTGAAGAGAAGGTACAGTTATGGTCATTTATTAGTTATAACTGGTTATAAATTTATAAATGGGATTATGCATTTTATACTGTAAATGGGGTTTTGTTAGTACTTATAACTGGCATTTCGGGCCATAACTGTAACGGAGCCCAAAAAAAACCAATCGACTCCTGGTTCTGGTTGATCTCCAATGTGTTCACCGCGAACGAAGTTGCGTAGTGCACCCAGCATATATCACGTGTTGGTTAAAATCTCGATATTGAAAATGATGTACCCTCTGGTAAACTAACATAACTATGGAAAATCATTTTTTAATGGGAAAATCAACTATTTCTATGGCAATGTTCAATAGCTATGTTAAATTACCAGAGGGTACATATTGTCCCTCATACACACGACTTTTTCATTCCACCGTGGGCTTTGAAAACTTTGAACCCAATCTCTAAGATAGACATCAAATAGAACAACTTGTCTTTATCAAAACAATTTCTTTCTGTAAATTCCCAAAATAGAATAAATAGAACAACTATTTTTTTCCAACGTATCTTTACTTTTAAGCATGGATAAAAATCGTGTCCCAAAACTCAATTCCTCTGCTTTTAAAAATACGGCGCACCAATAGACGCACTTCTCATCAGGGCCAGTGATGGGGTCATCGCTCTTATCCTGGCGGGCTCGCAATAGCTCGGAGCTCGGCGACCTGGACCTGGAAAATATCGCGCTCAGCGACCTGGTATACCCTCTGGTAAACATACAAAAAGCTAGTGAAAATGGTCATTTATAGTTGATTTACCCATGAAAAAAAATGGATACCCTGTGACCCTGTGGCTCAACTATGGTTTATTGATTATGGTAGATACAACGGTAGTTAATGGATGTTAATGGGGTTTATAAACCAACTTATAATGGAAGATAAGTTACCCTCTGGTAAACTAACAGTTTGCGAACTTGAAGCCATGACCATAGAAAGTTCGTTGATTTACCCAGCTATAAAATGGTGATTTTCCATAGTTTTTTGTACGTATGTTTATCAGAGGGTAAGTACACCTTGTCATTTTTTTGATTGTGGATAAAGGGTATGGATCGGGGCTATGGATCGCCTGTGGGTCTGGGGTATCTATCGAGGCGTAAGATTTATGTTTGTTGGTTTATGAACCTACTAACATCATCTAGATATATATAGATATATCAACCGTAAAGCATGGTGAGTCTAGTTTATAAATCAAGTTACCATAATTTAGCTGGTTGGTGGTTTTAACCATCTTGAAAAATATTAGTCAATGGGAAGGATTATCCCATATATTATGGAAAATAAAAAATGTTTGAAACCACCAACCAGTTAGCTACAAGTATCTAGGGAGCCACTTCTTGCAGAATTGTAACCTCATTGGTACCGTTGGGACTGGTATAAGGAAGCTGCTTGGTTGACCAGCGCTTTCAGCGCCCAAAACAGATAAAACAGAGGACAGGGGATGAAAAAATGTCCAACTGGCACTTGAAGGGACTCAATTTTCGGCCGATTTGAAAGATATTAGGATGATACGAAGTGAGGCCCCCGTTTACGAACGCTAAGTTGGTGAACATAACTCCAATTTCACTATGGTTTATGGTACTTATAACTATAGTTACTGGGGCTTATAAACCAACTTATAACTGGGGGGCCTCACATTGTATTTATGTGAAACAGTGCAACCTTTGCTTTGATACAACCCTATTCGAACATCTTCGAACTGCCACAAGGGCCACATAGACCAACCATTGGACCAACTTCAGACTTCAGGCTCCACCCAGTGGGTGTACCATCCGCTACCATGACTGGCTGGATTAGCCATGTGCAGATCTTCCGATAACATCCGATGCAGACTTCGGGGATTTCCCAGTCATGATCATCATGTTCCATTCAAGTCTTCAAAGATCTTCAATAAACTGGTGGAACTGGGAACCTAAATGAGATTTGAAGCTAGGACAAAGTCCAGAAAAAACATGTCAAACAAGGGCTGAGTAGCTGGCAAATGGGACCATTTCTCGCAGGAACCTCTCGGCGCCCGACTGAACCGTCATCCACTGGGCCACCGCGCAGTTCCTTTCGCCAGTTGCATCAACACTTCCTGCGAAAGGCCCGTCCAATGGAAGAATTTTTGGGGGGTTCAACACCGGGGTATTTCAGATCCACAGATTCCTCAGGATATATATATATATATCATATTATCATATCATATATATATAATATTATCATATATATATAATCATATATGTAATATTATCTTTACGATTATAAATAATATCACATATAATCATAAATATAGTATTATATATATATATATTATAATAGAAATAAATACATAAATTCAACTAAATAATACTAAATAGTTGTACAATGACATTTCATCGCAAGAAAGGGATTCTCCGTTGCCATTCTTCCTGCCCAGCTGTGGACTCCAGACAATTGGACTCCAATCAGCTTACTGGTGCTAAACGTAGGGAATTTTCGGGAATGATCCACTGGCTAACTATCAATAATCCCAGCAACCAACAGCAACCCATCCAGCAACCCTACGTTTAGCACCAGTAAGAATCACCAATGTGAAAAACATGAATTGTCTTTAAGGCTTCTACAAGGAAAGAAATCACTTAAGTTTGCGGGTCCTATTTGGCATTTCTATCGCAGAAAGCTCCAGGAGGTTTTCAAACGGGAAATCATTCAGTTCGGGGATCACCAATCACCATCTTCAGCCGTATCCTCGTCAGGCTTCAAACGGAAAAAATATGCTGGGATACGTGGCCTTAAAACTATTGAAAGCAACACATATCTGCAATCCAAACAATCCAATCCAATCCAAATATCTGCAACTTGGCAGAACAGAACAGTGACCAGCCCATCCAACAAGTGGCCACTAGCGGCCCATTTTTTGGACCTCTAATTGCGCAGAGGTGGTGAAGAACTCTTTGGCACGAGGATGTGCATACCTCGACTGGCAATGTCCTGTTCGACTGCTCTCTGTGTACATTCTCTGATACCCATCCCGATTTTTTCCGGGGGAACAATAAAAATACCAACGATTTTGGTGTTCAATAGTGCATTATACTTTTGTTACACCAATTTCATCCAATTTCTCGTCTCGTGAAACAAGCACTGTGAGTAATTCATTTAATGTTAGAAGCTGTTCTTCGGTTGATGTTGGGTATTTTGATGAAACACCTCACCAGGCGAGCTTGGTTGCAACTGATCTTTGGCCCGGAACCAACCTTGTGCGATTGCTTCAAATTTTGGGGAAATATTGGAGTTCTAATACACCATCCAATGGTGTAGGAATGTTCAAGCCATATCTCTACTGCTTGGTGGTTGAGCCCTACCCCTCTGAAAAATATGAGTTCGTCAGTTGGGATTATGACAGTCCCAATATTATTGGAAAATAAACCACCAACCAGCTCTAAATAGTGTTGAATCACAAGTTGTGATTTTTCAGCTCTCGTGCCACAGCAATATGAAAACCAGCGTGGTTGCACTTCACACTATACTATGATGTCCCTGGAACCATTTGCATCCAGCCACCAAGCATCCTCCGGCAAAAATCTTCCAAACATCAATGGCCATGCAACAGGAACCGATAAAAATTGGAGGTACCGATTCCATATATTTTTGGCCTAAATTTCAGGGAATATCACAATTCATATGGCCTAACATATGGTAACTACTAACGTACCTCCCATGTATTGGATCCATAAATTTACCATCTGGTTATGACTAACAGTTCGCCATGGAAAGATCCACCCATTTTAAGTTCGGTAAACCATCTATAAACCGATTAGGGCCATGGATACATACCATGGCGAACGGTGAATGTCATGTCATAACCAGGTTGGGTATATCATAGTTATAATGACTTGGATTCCGGGGTACCCCTTAGGAAACCTCCATATTCTTTAGACCTAGATCCACATGACTTCCCCCGGAGGATCGGAGGGTCACTGGCTCCAATGCTCCACAATTTGCTTCCTTGGAGCGCCGTGACTCGCTGACTTGGGGTTTGCTATGGTGGCGATGGAAATGGTAAAGAAAAAGACGTTGTTAAAAGCTTCGGTATGACCATGGTATGGATATGTTTGGATACATCATATATATCATATATGTATCATATATACATATATACACAGATATACACAGTATATATATATGTTTATAAATATATCTACATGTGTCATTTTTTCTCAACCCATGGATTCCAGATTAAAATCGTTGGGCGGTTCCATTGACGTGCTTGGAGAGTCAGATCTATAGATAGTGCAAGGTGGTGCCCCCGGCAGTTAAGTGAACGTTGGTTTATACACCATAGTAAATATAGATATATCTACCAAATATCTACCAAAAACCATAGTTTGTTTTTGAGTTATAATTATAAAAAATAAGTTAGCTAACGAACTGGGGCACCACCTTGTGTATTGTGTCATATTGTGTCTTAGATTGGGAACAAACTCAGAATATGATGGTTACCCCTTTATGATCCTTTTATGAATAACCACTTGGTGATCCAGTCCGGGTCAGCAAAAAGTAATTGCCTGGGGCACGAAAAACTTAGATAACTGGGATCCCAGAGATCGGTATAAAAAGCTTCATAAAGTAATAATACTAAACTATCATATAGATAATTAGTAGAATATGTTCTAATTCTTGAATAATTAGTATATAATAATTCATATAATATTCATTAGTGATATAGTATCATAATTATATAATTTCATACTATATCTATAGATATGATATCTATTATCTATCCTTATCTTATTTTAGTTCTTATGTTGGTCACTTCTGCGCATCTCTCAGAGACTGACTTTATAGAACAGGCTTCATCACAGGTGTCTGGCTACTGGAGGAAACTTATGAACTCACCAACTCCACATGCTCGGGGGCTTGAAAAATCAACTACGGGAAGGGCGCCCTTCGCCAGTTGTAAGTTGCTTTATAACCCCATCTAAGTATCATCTCTACAGAAATATACACCATAAATCTATATAAATCCAATTGATAGCCTAGTCATCAACTGATTAAAACACAAGATATTAAAGTCAGTCACTCATTCATGAAGTATGGTTTTACAAACAAATATCATACGATACGGCATCATGGCCTTATATATATATATTATAAACCAAATTACCCATATATATGTATATTAATATATCCATATAATATCCATATATCCATATAATTAGATAAATTATCAATCCAATCCATACAAAGTGGGGCCCCCTAGATAGCTAAGTTGGTTTATAACTCCAATAACTATGGTTTTATGGTACGCAAATAACTATAGTTACTGGGGCTTATAAACCAACAAACATCACTGAGGGGGCCCCACATTGTATAAATATCCTTAAATTTCCATATACACCCCATCATTTAAGGGGGCTCATTCAGAAAAACTCCGAAAACACTCAAGGCAAACGGCTGAGCCGAGGTGCACTTCCTCATCATTTCGGCTGTGGAAGGCATTCATGTCCCGCTTAGAGACGGACTTTCTCTTGCCTTGGGGGAAAAAAAAACAACTGGATGTAGGATATGAATGGAATATGAATGGAATATGAATGGAAAATGAATGGAATATGAATGGAATATGAATGGAATATGAATGGAATATGAATGGAATATGAATGGAATATGAATGGAATATGAGTGGAATATGAGTGGAATATGAGCGATATAAATGCTACAAAAACGAGGGTTATATAATGGGTAGAAAAAGTGGTTATTAGCGAGTTATATTTTCATGGAATAATACAATAGGGATATTTTTTGATATGAAAAAAACATGGATATCATCATGGGACATCAACCCCAATTTGCCAATTGGGCTTAGGAAAAGTGGGACACCAATATCTGTCAATCTGTCACCAAAGGTGAACACCTTGGGAAAACAAATCTGGATGTAGTGGGATATGCATGGGATATGCATGGGATATACATGGAATATCCGTGATATTAATGGAATATAGTGAGGATCTGCAGTAAGTATATAATGGAAAATGGGTATAATGGGGAAAAAGCAGGGTTGTTGTGGTAAACTTAGTATCTAACAAGCTATCACAGCAGCATTTTGGAAATAGGGATTGTTTGTTCCTAGAGTTACACTATTATTCACCCAAAAACAGTCACTTAAGGTATCCGCCAGATGTAAGGTCCTTTTTATATCTTTTTATCATGTAATATTTAGTAATATATAATATGTATTTAGTAATATATAATATGGACAGTGGGAAGCCTCAACTACAAGTTGCTTTATAGCCATACTATGAATACTGCAGTTGAATCTTCCATAATCCCGACAGCTCAACTCCATGAAATCCCATTCAACTACCATCACATCCCACCGACTGTATGTTTGGGGAATATTTTTTCCAACAAGATGGCGTAGTAACAATGGGACTGTGGCTCCATTTTCGGCATGGTGCCTGCCAGATCAGCTAGCTAAGTAACTTTGATCAGAACTGGCAATGATAGGTGGGTAACAATGTTTTAAAAAAAATGGGAATATACACGTAGTAACAACATGGACTGGATATCATCAGTGCTTATAATCTATGTACCCAGTGTTTTTATGTGATGAGACCTGGTTTTATAATAGTAATTTGCTTCTATTGCACATGAACTGCCCAGTAGTTTCTAATAATCGGTCTTATGGGTAAATATCTCGGGTTCGGTATGAACTGACCCTAAGGACATACATAACCATCCAGGTCAGAAATACTCGAATCTAATCAGAGTTCAATTGTACCCTCTGGTAAACATACAAAAAGCATCAAAAAGCTATGGAAAATCACCATAGAAATAGTGAGTTTTCCCATGAACAATGGTGATTTTCCATAGTTATGTAAACATTTACCAGAGGGTAGTATGCATAATATACTGAAAACCCAGTCGTATGGCCTGTGCAACCTACCTCTCCACATTTCACCGTAAAAAAACTGGGACTCCGACTGTCTGCCTTCTTTTTCTTCTTATCCTGTTGGTGCTTGGGTGCCAATCACAGTGCCAGCGGGAGAGCATTAAAAAGCATTCTCCTGAAAGAAATAAGCCATTAACAAATTCACCAACCAGTTTCACACTTTTTGTCCCTCACAAACACCATGTTTCACCAACATTTCTTCACTTCTGAAACATCAACATTGGTTCACTAACATTTCTTCACTTCAGAATGGTTCAGAATGCCTCAGAATGGGTTGTTTCCATGAGTTGTTTCACCAACATCTGAAGCATTCTGAACCAACCCATGGACCCCCACGGCATCCCTGCGCAGCTGACCTCATCCTTCTTGGAGCCGGAACTCGCAAAGGCGCCTCGGAGCTGTTTCCATTGGGAGCCCCGCGAAGGTCTGGGAGTTTGTCAAGCTTGAAAAATGATGGACTTCGTCAATGGGAAGGATGACATCCCATACCCATATGCAACCCATGGTGCTGGAAGATGAACACCTACATTTACCCCAAAAATCGCCCAAATGTAGGTAAATATACCAGCACCATGGAGCATATGGGATATATGAAATGGAAAATAATCCATTCATGTTCCAGTCACCACCAAGCAGAAAAGCATTGGAAGATCTGCCAGTCCCATCCAAGTTGGTTTTCATGGCAAAAAGTTGGAGGTAAAAGTTGGAGGTTTGGCAAATGGAATCGCTAACAAGTTGGCCGAAATTCGAGCGGCTGAGTGGTGCCAAAAGAAGCCATGATCCAAAGACCACCAACATTCGGATCATCCAAGAGACTTAGTCAGTTTAGTCCCATTGAAACCTCAACATCGAGGTCTTTACACAAGTTGACAACAGCATCCAGAATCTCTTCCAGATGCGAGTGTGCAAAAAAACATAGACCTTAAATCGAACTAATTATAGTGCTTCAAACACACTAAGTGTTGCCTCTCATGCATATTTTCCTTGACACAGCTTTGGGATGCCTCGACAAAGCAAAAAATCCACCGTTTGGGAGGTCTAGTAGAGGTCATGAAGCATGTGAAAAATAAAAAAACGTGGTGTATCGTGGTGTCTGTTGAAGAAAATTGCATAAAATACCCGTAATTAAAGATGCCACGTGACAATTTTGCAAACAAAAAACATCAATATTCATGATTGTCCCATGTAAATGCCCGTTTACTTCGGGATTTCCCGGCCAGTCATGTTTTCCAGAGGGATTCACTATCCAACAAGCGGGAGGTTGTCACAATGCGACCCGATACCACAGTTATTTCTAACAATTCCCATGCCTATTTCATTGGATTGGTTTAAGGGAAAATCTACAGGAAACCATGGTTTTTACCATCAAATATAGGGCTTTCCTGTAAATTTTCCCATCATCCAATTCTATGCCTATTGGCCCAAGATGTCTGGATGAATTTTGATCCGCAACCTGAAAGATCTGAAAGGGAGGTCGTTGTAGGCGAATTCCCCTTACAAGTCTCACCATTTACATCGCCGGTGGGGTATGTTTCTGTCAGATGGGGACGGATCAGAACCTACCAAAACCATGTTTTGGGGGCTGACTATCCAGCTGTTTTATGCTATTTTGGTGTTCACCAAAGCAAGGTTTTGACCCATATCGTCTTCAGTGCATTTCCAGGGCACCTGATCACTGTCGATCCATCCCTACCATCTTTAAGATGAGATCGACCGGTGACCCACTGATTTGGAGACTGATTTCAGCTCCACTCTGTAGGAATCATGAAGATTCAGCTATCCCTGCCACCTTATAATCTTATAGTTCTTCCAATCTATTCGCCCAGTCATGCCTTTCTTGGAAAGAGCCCACGAAATGCCATGACACTGAAAGGATTCTCCGAACACATGCGGCACTGGAACATGGCTCAAATAAGTTCCACAGCACTGATCCGTGCTGGGGGGGAAACTTCGGGAAAACCAGTCGCGGTGAGCAAAACCCTCTCTGAGCAATATGGCAGGCGGCACCGTAGTGGTCCGGCGGTCACTGGTCGTGGATAGTTTTTGGGATAGATAGCTTCACCGAAAGGGGTTCAACACCTCAACTAAACCATTTATGAATAGTTTGATGATTTTGCTGAGGGATCCTGAGTTCAACATATCGGACATGCGAAATACCACATACATTCATATTATGAATTCAATGAATTTGCAACCAGTGCAAGGTTCACTTGACTAGTATCACCACAGCAGCATTTTCTTGTGAGAGAGGTGCATTTCATGAAGATCGTCTTTCCCTGTTTGTAAACCATTTCCCCAACCATAGCAGCCACGGCATACCCTCTGTGGACCCCAAGAACTCCCATGAAACACCCAGCCTCCTTCGAAAGTTCCTTCGAGAGTGACTTCTGCACGGGAAGTTGACGTCGATGCCGGGCCCCTGCAAATTTTAAGGAGCTCAGATCACCCTCCAGCAATTTTAAGGTTGAACTAACTAGGTTTATGGTTTACTACGGTTTACTACAAGGTGGTGCCCCCTCCAGTTATAAATTGGTTATAAACCCATTAATTATAGATATATCACCTATAAACCATAGTTATTGGAGTTATAAACCAACTTAGCTATCTTGGGGGCACCACCTTGTATGGTTTACTATGGCTTCCTATGGTTTGTCTGACTTGTTGCTACGATCTACCGTTCAAAAAACCTATGGATCTACCATTTTTTAAATCCCAGGTTGCCTCAGACTCACCATAATCACCATGCAACAGCCAGGCAGCCAATCTGGTTAGAAATCAACTTAGCTCTGAGGTCTATAGCATTCCAAAAAACTATGGGGCACAACGGCACATAGATATGAAAAATCCATAAAAATCCACGGATCATTTCTTAAGGTTTCACCATAGTCCAAAGCGGGCAGTTTGGGGTTTAAGACCATACAATGTTGGGGTCCAAAAAGTTTCAGCCGGACCCATGCACATATACCAACTTATACCAAGTCATCAACCTTGCACCAAACGAGTACGTTGCAAGAATCAAAAAATGTAATTCACGATTTGACGTGTTTGAAATTCAACACAGTTCGATGCCAAACAACCCCCAAAAACTGGGTAAATTACCATTCCCTCTACTGGTTTGTTCACAAATAGGCTGTGCCCCAAACGGCGTTGTTCTACAATTTCATATGGGGTTTTTGGGTCCCACAAAAATATCAGGCTTGTCAAACAACCCCTCTAACATCTCCTTACCATCCAACACCTAGAATTGTCCCACACATGTTTCCAGGCCCCACCCTTGGGAAATTCTTAGCTTCCTGGCTCCCCATAGAGTAGGGAATAAGATGGAATAAGACTTCTGCTCGTTAGCTCCCTCCTAACCAACCATCAGTTACCCTCCCGTAATCAGATATGGGAATGGAGCAAAAACCACCCTTTATATGTAGATGTTTTTCCTATTAACACCTCCATATCTACGTGTTTTTTTCCAGCTAGCCATGTTTGATTATTGGAGGATATACACCGTTTGTCTGAAAATGGTGCATACCCGCCAAAATTCTGATTTCATAGGGAACATGATCAGAAAAACTATGGGATTCATGAGAAATGTGGGGCCAAAAAAACCTGACTTTTTCAGACACACCAAGCTCTGCAACCGGCTAGCCTTGCTGCATGCTCGCTGCACGCGCTTCCTGGCCCAAAAGCAGATCATCCAACCTCAAGACGGGAACCCAGACCGAGACTGGTGGAGCCAGTTGGGCCGGACGTTGCTACAGTTATGGTCATTTATTAGTTATAACTGGTTATAAATGGGATTATACATTTTATAAATGGGGTTATAAGTACTTATAACTGGTAAAGGGCCATAACTGTATGAATCATCATCCTTGTCATCGTTGTCATCGTACCCTCTGGTAAACGTTTACATAGCTATGGAAAGATCCACCCATTTTTAATGGGTAAATCCACTATTTCTATTGGTCATTTTCAATAGCTATGTTAAATGACCAGAGGGTAATCGTCATTGTAATCATTACTGCTTGGTGGTTGAAAAACAATCTTGAAAAATATGAGTTCGTCAATGGGAAGGACTATCCCATATATTATGGAAAATAAAAACTCTTTGAAACCACCAACCAGATTATCATGATAATCATCCTTCAGTTAATATCTCCAAGATTCCTAAAGATCAATAAATAACCAACCTATCAAAAACTTAACCAATCTAAATAACTCATGACATCACAGAGAATAATCCACCAATCTGAATTCTTCGGCCAGCTATTGGTACAGTCACCCCTTTTGTCATAAACCATCCATTCCGGGTGGGGTCGCAGAGAAGTCGTTGGACAATTTGTGATCCGAACGCATGATATTTGTCGGAGCAAAACCAATAGCAGTACTATCCAACCCATAGGATCCATGTATGCTATATATATATATATGGTAACATTTACCATCAATATACCCCCAATGTTAGCATATATTGATCCTATGGGCAATAGATTCAATACCGAGCGATGCATGAATCTGATATCGTTACTCCCTCTGGTAACTTGCTACCATTTATGAAAACCCCCATATGGTATTCTCGCAGAAGTGGTGCTTGTAGACCTCCAAACATGAAGATATGTAGGGTCAAAACATTGCAATTATATGATAATATATATATATATGGATGGTATTCTCGCAAACGTGCTGCTTGTAGACCCCCCAAAAATGAAGCACAATGATCGCTTGACATCGCACAAGACTGCGGTAAAAAAAACGGTCTTGTTGCACTGAGCCCGATAAAATGGGCTTGAGTGAGGCCCATTGTGTGAAGCATACGGCAAAGTCTCACGACTATCAAGCATCAAATATCAAACATACAGTTAAGGCCCTTTACCAGTTATAAGTACTTAGAACCCCATTTATAAAATGTATAATCCCATTTATAACCAGTTATAACAAATAAATGACCATAACTGTAGTTGACTTCAGGTTCTCTTAGCACTTAGAATATACCTCTAAGCAACTGAATTGCATGAAAAGAGCGCGCTGAAGGAAAAAAATGGAAAACACATCAAGAACAGGACGGCCAATAATGCCGCACACATCCAAAACAGTAGAGTTATGGTCATTTATTAGTTATAACTGGTTATAAATGGGATTATACATTTTATAAATGGGGTTATAAGTACTTATAACTGGTAAAGGGCCATAACTGTATGTTATTCTTTGCACTTGGGGATGGAACCTATTCGGTTTCAGAAACACCATCGAATGACCAAAAAGGACAAACATCGTGAGGTTTTTTTTCACAACAGTATCACAGCAGTAGCAAAAAACAATAGGATAAAATCAACAGTAGTGGGGCATATTGGGGAATAAGGAGAAGTGGCACATGACATTATTTTGGATTTGCGCAAATGTACCACTCTATTGTGGGTTTCGGATTAAAACCGAATTACAATCAGTATCTTTTTACATGTATATTTACTGTAATACTTTATATATTTACTATATTTACATATATAACTGCAACTACTGGTGATATCTAGCCAGTATATCTGGTGATTTTCAAAAATATTTACTGCAATATCAGTGAATTACTGGTGATATCTACCGCAATTACTGGACTTTTTGATCCTTCAACGTCTCTTTTTTATCGCTGAGTTTTTGCATCGGTGATCGATGTCGGGGTGAATCATGGCGTCCAAAAAATCCAGGCCGCTTGGTGCAGGTGGTGAACGGTCGCATCCGTTTCGGGTGAAGATCAGATTGCTTCAGTGTTAAACTATATCTGGTTATCTGGATATTATCTGGATATAATGGTGTATTATGGGAATATTATGGGATATATTTCATCAATGTATGCAATTGGATGGGAGGTAGTACTGGGTATGAGCATGTATAAGTTACTGGTGCTAATCGTAGGGAATGGATGGGAATTGGGGAATGGGATTATTATTAATAGTCAATCCTCTAGCAAAACCAACAATGGCTTCAGTGTTAACGCATATATTGAATGCGATATGATATAGTTAATGACTCACCATGATATTAATGGGATATGATATGATATAGAGAAGTACAGAGAATATCTGGTTGGTGGTATACCTAACCCTCTGGAAAAATGATGGAGTTCGTCAGTTGGGATGATGAAATTCCCAACATATGGGAAAATAATCCCAATGTTCCAAAGCACCAACCAGTATATATTAAACATGATTAAACCAATCTTTTGAAAACCATCATTTCAATATGAACAATTTAATCAATTACTAGTTTTTATCAATTAAAACATATTAAAACAATTGCTAAACATTATTAAACCATCCTTTTTGAAATATGTCCATGTTTTCTGCTTCTTTTCTAAACAAATTCCCGAAAAACCATCACCTTGGAGTTGGGTATAAAAGCTCTTTCTCAGCTCGACACCGCTGTTCTAAAGCTCCAGCAACCTGCACTGCGAACCGTTGATCCATGAAAAGTTTCTGATATTACAAATGTGGTGATTAATTCATATTTTCTGATATTACATATTTTATCATATTTTATCCATGTGGTGATTTTACACATGAATCTGACATATGGTTTTTGTCGCATTCCAGGTTTAAAGCTTGGTAGACTCTGGGATTTGTAGCGATGTCGCAGTGTCGTAGTTGGAATTCCGCCAAAATGTGGGTATCGTTCCAGGGTGTTCCGGACGCATGGAACCAGCGAGTTACGTATAAGAGGTTTGATCCGCACCTAGTGAGAAGGTACAAGGTGGTGCCCCCAAACGATAGCTAAGTTGGTGAACATAACTCCAATTTCACTATGGTTTATGGTACTTATAACTATAGTTACTGGGGCTTATAAACTAACTTATAACTGGGGGGCCTCACATTGTATACTAAGTGACCTGGTATAAGGGGTATTGATCAAGGGTAGTTCTAGATGATCATATCCCTTGGAGTATCGCCGGTCCAGGGTAGGGTAATCGGAGCCTTACATTTTGAGCTGCGGCGTAAATGTTGTTTAAATATATGGAAAATCACCATTTTTAATAGGTAAACCATCTATAAATGGGCCATTTTCCATGGCTATGTTAAACAACCAGAGGGTATATATATATATAAACCCAAAAAAACGAAATAGCTAAGTTTACGGCAAAATTGTAACGTGTCTATTCATTTTGTTGTTTGAAATTGCCCTGAACATCAACATCATATAACATCATTATTATTATCATCATCAGCATTATCATAGATCTTCTTGCAAACCTGATTTGTATAATGTTGACCTATGATTTATAAATACCCCTTGAATAAAGCTAAATGTTTCCCAAAATAAATAATAAATGCCCCCTAAATAAAGCTAAATTTTTTTGGTCCTAAACCCAGATTTGCCCAGACGGGGCTGATTTTTTTTTTCCATGCTTTATTTGAGGTGGCTTTCATGTACTAATTCATATTGCCAGCTCATTAGATCTTACCTTGATAACTTCAAATTTTCAAAAATAATGGTTGCTCTTTTCTATTCAAAACCTTTATTCAAAATTATCCAAAATCAATCCCAAATCAACTCGTCAAGGGTACCCCCCATGAGGTGCCTTGGCACTAATTAGAGTTTGACCCTGAATAAAGCTAATTGTTTTTGGCCCTAAACCCAGATTTGCCCAGATCCATGACATGAATACTAAATCAATACTAAATCCATGACATGAATACGAGATCAATACTAAATCCATGACATGAATACTAAACCAATACTAAATCCATGACATGAATACGAGATCAATACTAAATCCATGACATGAATACTAAACCAATACTAAATCCATGACATGAGTACTAGATCAATACTAAATCCATGACATGAATACTAAATCAATACTAAATCCATGACATGAATACTAAACCAATACTAAATCCATGACATGAGTACTAGATCAATACTAAATCCATGACATGAGTGCTAGATCAATACTAAATCCATGACATGAATACTAAATCAATACTGAATCCATGACATGAATACTAAATCAATACTAAATCCATGAAATGAGTACTAGATCAATACTAAGTCCATGACATGAGTACTAGATCAATACTAAAACAATTGCTGGATTCCTTTTTTTTTTGAAATTGCATTTTATGTATTCGTTTTCAATTGTGGAATACTAAAACCTTTACATACAAACAAGTTTTATGGTGGCCTTAAGTCTATTTAGGGTCAGAGAGGGAGGGGGGGGGGCCCCCCCATTTATAAATCAAGGGCAGACATTAGATGTTCATGGTGGTCAAACTAGTGTATTTAGAGCTAAATGCTGAACAAAAACGCGAATCAGCGCTCATGATGAAGCCACCCACTTTGAACAGCATAATGTTGCTGCTTGCAGCCCACTTCCCAAACAGTTCTGGGATGCTGGGACCCTCAAATAGTTCGCACCTGCCGATGGCTACGCTCGCCACAGGCCTGGTGAAGTTCGGTTCATGCACAAATCATCCCATGAAAATGAATAAATGAACCACAAAAACGAAGGTTTTCTTTGTAGGTGTCCATAATTCCATAGATTTCCCAAAAAAAAAAATACAGAATCTCCCGGATTTACCAGGCGTTGTGCACCTTGTTTCACGATGTTTTTTCATCCAACGGGGATGTCAGACATCCCCTACGATGTTCTTGGCGGCTTGCTTACCCTTCTTCGGAAAAAAAAGGTACAAATTTTTGGATGTTTTTAATGTGGTAAATTAACCATATCAACAAAAAAACATCCCAATTCTCAACCATTTGGGGCTGATTCAAGGTGATAAAAAATAGGCTTATACATGCTTATACCCAATAATAGACTTAATTTGGAATTGTTTTTTGTTGGGATTAGCGGGATATGTGATAAATCCTTCCAATTAATTTCCAAAACCCTCGATGGAACTAGGATAAGGTGTCTGGCTAAACACAATTCAGTTTTCTTCAACATAAATCCAGTGATGCATGAGAGGGGTCCTGATGCTATCAACATTTGTCAACCTTGTCACCTTTAGTGCTGCTTTATTGATCAAACAATATTGATCAACATGATCAAACACCAAAAAGGAATGATTTAGCCCTAATCATAACCAAATCTGCGGGTTGTTGGGTACCCTAGGTACCCAATGTTTGACACATTTACTAACTCCGTGTAGCCGGCCCTGGTTTGTTAGTTCATGGGGTCATGGGATACCAATCATTCACTACGTGAAGTGGAACCCACAGGTGACAGAAAAAGTGAACAACTTGGGGGTAACCAGCTTCTTCATTCTTGGTTGAATCACCATTCCCTGTAAAAAACTGCAGTTGTAATTTAAGAGAAACCTCCAAATCCTCATTTCGGATGCTTCATGACCAGTCTGAGATGCCCTGCCATCATTCCTTCTTGGCTGGTTAGCTTCATGTATCCAAGGTTTACCCAATTGCGAGTAATGCGTGGAAAATATCCCTGTTTGTGTTGGTCAAACCTTCATGTCTGGTGGTTGGGACTATCCAAGTCTTCTTATCGTGGTTAATCCCATCCCAAATACGTGGCTTCCAATCCCCTACGTTTTTCAGCGTGGTTTTTGAAGGGTGCTGAATATTAGGAAGGGATGAGTTTAATATTTGGTATCATTAAATCATATTAAAGCACCATTTTTGATGGCTAAACCGTTACAAGGTGGTGCCCCCTCCAGTTATAAATTGATTTACACACCCCATTAACTATAGATATATCACCAACAAAAACCATAGTTATTGGAGTTATGTTCACCAACTTAGCTATCTTGGGGGCACCACCTTGTAGTTAAAGCACACGAAAACCTCAGCGGGAGTTTCCCATGGACGGCAACACATCCTGATTCCGGAACTGCGCCTGCAAAGCTCTTCGCGAAGCCAAGGCCCCTGAGACACCCAGCTGACGCCTGAGACACCAGGGTGACATAACGGGCGTTAACCAGTTGACATGGTTATGGGAGTTAACCACTGACACAACCCAGTGACATTGACATGGTTATGGAGTTATAAACCAACTGGGGCTTCATAGTTGACTCAGTTGGTTTATGTTGGTTTATCACTCCATAAACATGGAGAAATACCATTTCCCAAACTTGCAAATAGTTTTGCAACTTTGAAGACATGCTGTTTTGCTGAGGTTCCTACCGAAATGAGGCCCTTCTTTGTTGGTCAACAGTGTGGTGATCATGACTGACGTGTGAAAATGATGCAATGATGATGTACCCCCACAATTGAGAACTGCACCCCCAACATCGATTATTCAAGAGCAATGAATAAAATAATCAAAATCTGTTTCCCGCTGGGTCTCAAACATAGATTGCCAAATAAGACACGAACGCAAGTGCAGTTCCACTTTTAAGTGACCATTATATATTTTAAAAATCATAATATAACCAAAGTTATAGGATTGTCTTTCCCAACTTATGGGGTTTCAAAACCATCGTTATACCCTCAACTGCACCCACAAGAAACATAACCAACAAGATCCACTAAACTTTAAATGGGTGGGTGTGTGGTTTTCACAATCTTGTCATGCCCTCATGCGCCGGCTGAAAAAAAAGACAGGATTTCGACAGGATTCAGCCCGCACTTCCTTTATACCATCAGGCAACAATCGGTGGTACAATCAGGATTACTAATCAGGATTCCAGAACCAGTTATGAGTTGGTCTATAATCCCCCATGAACTAACTCAATCTATCATGTCTAAAGATCAACTCCGAACAGCTGTGTTGGCAACCAACTTTGCCAACGAACGGCACCACGAGAAATCAACATGACAAATCCCATGGGAAAGAAACAGCGAGGCGCCATAGCAGCAGAACAGCTGCCACGCTCAACGTCACACGCCAGGTCGGGCCTACGCTGAAATCAATCAGGTCTGTCTGAAAAATTGGAATGTTTGATAATGATGGTTATTAAGATAGGTTTTGATAGGCATATGATTATGAAATATTATTAATAGGGTATCAAAATTGTCAGATCTTGATAGGAATATGATGATAAATGGGAACATATGATGATTAAGCATCAGATTTGGGGCTACTCCATTGTCGTACAAACCGCTAAAAAACACCATGAAACAACTGGATCTATTCCTTTTGGTGCTTATCATTAAGGATATATGACTTATGTATGACTTATGTTTCCTCCACAAATACAATCAACATGTGGATTCCACAAAAGCTGTGCTTTTAGTGGGATTTTCAGAGATGTCTACCCTGCCTTTCAGCAGCGAGTACAACAGTTGCACACACACTAACAGTTATCACGCGGATGATTAAGTGCTGGGGAATTCAACTCTGCAAGTACTGGATGCCTCACCATCAAAATTCTTAAATGATGGTGTAACATTCTTAAATGACTATGGTGATTCTGCCAAAGGTGAAACTTAAAGTTGGTAAAACTGATGGTTTATCTCTTTCCACATCATCACCATCATTTTTTTTTTTTCATGATGGTTTCGGTGAAACTTAAAGTTGATAAAAATCATGGTTTATCGACATATATCCACATTATCCACATATATCCAACCAGATACCTACCCCTCTGAAAAATATGAATTCGTCAGTTGGGATGATGACATTCCCATCTGAATGGAAGGTCATAATCCATTCATGTTCCAAAGCACCAACCAGACATCATCCATCATGAAGCCTACCATTCCCCAACTTTGCCGCGTGGGGTCCCTGCCGAGATCCCGGGATCCCGCACTGCGGGCCACTCGGGGGAAGATGGTCAGGTGGGACAAGACCGTGATGGCCCTGGCGTGGCAGGTGGAAAGTGTATTGAAGGAGGATCATTCCAGGGATCGAAAGTAGTCATCCCATATATTATATATACATAATTATATATCTTAATATTATATATATATATATACATTAATATTACATATATGTATTACATACTTGGGTTGTGCCTACTGTAACGACACAGCTACTCTTATGTCAGCCAGACCATAGTTTTTTCTAACTGCTCTTAAAATTTGAAAAAAAAAACGCGAAAAAAAACCAACCAAAAAAAAGAAAAAACCAAAAAACAAATCAGCAAAATACAAAAAACACAAAAGCAAAATAAAAGGAAAAAATGGGAAAGAAGAAAAGACAAAAAGAGAAAACATTGGAAAACATGGACTTGTCCATTTGCATTTTTTTTGTTTTTTCGATTTGTTTTTTCCAGGCAAAAAACAAAAATAAATAAAAGCAAAACAAAAACAAATCGAAAAAAAACAACAACACAAATGCAAATGGACAAGTCCATTTTTCCCATTTTTTCACCCTTTTTGACGTTCCTGTTTTTTCCCATTTGTTTTGCTTCCGTTTTTTTCAGTTTTGAAGTTTTGCTTTTTGTTTGTCCATTTGTTTCCTTTTTTTGTTTTTTTTCAAGTTTAAAAATCACTAGAATAAGCTATAGAGGTGAACATAAAGCTACTCAGTGGTATGATCCTCCAAGTATGAAGCAATGACGCTAAGTGGTGGTTGGTTGTAGCACCGTGTGCCAAAAAAATAGTTGCGTTTTTCATGGGAAAATGATGAAACATGACAGCCATCCTCCCAAACACCTTTTCTATCTGCAGCTCCGCATACATCTGTTGACCCTCATCGCAATGGGTGTAAAGCGGAGGGCGATACGTAAATCAGCACAATTGTGCAGGTCGAACTTTGCCACCGTGCATGATGCAAGAGGAATGGAATGAAATAAATAACAATCAAATATGGGGATCAAATCAAACACACATCGGGCAATTTCAGCAAATATTCCTCCATTCGGACAGGCATTTAAAGATTCCAGTAGGTAAGCCTGCATCAGTGGCATTTACTCCAATGTGACAAGTGCGTATGTGACGTGCACAAGGAAGGCGATGGCGGATATACTATCAGAACCATATCTTATTACACAAGATATAGCTTTGCCAGGTTTCAAAATTGGGAATATGTTCACCCAAAACGATTCGCGAACAGCACAACTCAGTAAGAACGAATTCTACAGTCTACAGCCAGCGGCGCAACCAACCAAAGTAGTGGCATGTTGTATTTAGCAAAGCTCGCAACAATCACAAGCCATCATAAAGGTATACATTCTGGTAATTTAAGATAGCCAGATAGCTATGGAAAATTACCCTTTGTTATGGGGTCAATTGTCCGAATGGGCCATGTTCCATAGCTATGCTAAGAAGGAAAAATATTTAAGACCATATCGTTGGTTGTAACTGTCTACTGTTCATAGAAACAACATATCAAAAATTGGAATCTAGTTTGGTTTCTCATTTTTGTCCACTATCTTGAAAAGCCAGCAAATGCTGTCCCTTACCCACCACAGTGCCAGCGGATTGCCCAGGTAGCCGGTATGCATTGGCCAAAGATGGGAAATGGGTTGCGTCCTGGCATCTTGCAACAGCGGCTAGCATGTTTCATTTTTGCGAGAAATCCACTGAATTCCACGCGGCTTGCAATTCTTTGTCTTGTTTCGTCACGTGCTTTTTCGAAAACTTGGATAATCCTGGGTAATGCGAAAAAAAATGATCTGGCCTGCGTCCTGCGTCTCATCGCATTTTTGAGCCATTTTGGTGCAAAAAACCAGTCGTTTGTGGCTGGACTTGGGATGAGCGAGGGCAAACCACACCGAGTTGCGGAATGATGAAGATATCAGTTCTGCTTTCTCCATAACAGATCTCGTTCGAGAACAGATCAATGAACAAATATCATCAGTTGTATCTAGCTAATCTAGCTTCTGCTAGAATTTGTTTCTGAAAGCCATTTCAGAACTTCCTGCTAGAATCTGACCATGAAATATCATGAAATCAATTCACCCACCCAGCCTTTTTTCAGTGAATGGCTCACCCGCGATTTCGAGCACTGAGTTTTCTCAGTGGATGGCTGTGAGCAAAGAGCTGCACTGTTTTCAGGGCGGTGTGGTCGTGTGGTCCAGGTCCAGGTGACTCCTCAATGCTATCGGAAAACACACCATGTGGGATTCACCCAACAATAAACATTCATATTATCCAATAATATTATCATATATCATAAATTATCCAATATTATAATATATCATATATAATCTCAAAATATTATGATGTTATATATCATATATTATCCCATAATTGCCATAAATGGGAGGTAAATATCATCCCTTAAATGGTCGGTTTATCATTGTGTCCGAAAAGTACTTGATATTATTGGGGCTTTTCTCAGAACCGCTTCTTTGAACAGGTCAAGTATCACAAATGGACAGTCACGGTCAATGGTTCGACCAAAAAAAACAAGATCACCAACAAAACTGGTGGTAGTATGATTTATTTCTGTGTATAGTATGGTATAGCATGTATACCATATATATATATATATACACCACCAATTGGGATGTTTTCTCAAAACCGCCAAGTTTATCATCCGGTCTTGATCAGATATTTTTTTGTGGTACAAAAAAATAGTTTCCTGAAGATTCCTGGATTCTTCAACCATTTGAGCAGTTTCAAGAACCTCAGTTGGATGATATTTGTTTTTTGGGTTATCAGCCTGAACAATTATTTCGAGGGTTTTCCAACCATAGTCCCCGTGTAAAGGAATCTCTCAGATTGTCCAATCGCAACCCTCATTTAACCCGTTACAAATAGGTTTTGACACTTTTTGACACTGATTTTAGCCCACTCGTTCATCCGACAATTCCGTGCACGTACCATGATCCGAGGTTGCAACTCAAAATCTCCACTGCATGGCATTTCCACTGTCATGTGGGGGATCATTTAAGCAAATGTCGCTAAATAGATCGTTGTTGGATGATCTGGGTACTGTACATAAGTGGTTGTCATCACCACCAAAACAAAACTGGCAACCATCAATAGATAACGAAACAAATTAACCATGACTGTACATGTTGGGTAAATATATCATGCATGTTAAGGTGGGGTAATGTATACATCTGGAAATTAGTATAGTACATGATACTGGTAAATGTAGGTATTGCAGAATATATACAGGGTGGTAAATGAATCACAAAAAATAAGTTCGCCAACCTGTTATGGATATATATATATATATAGATAGTCTATAGAGTCTATGCAGAAGCAGTATCATCCCCACCATATCCATATCCGTGATCTGGGTCCATGCTCAACCCCAAAACCAAGATAAACCAAGCAGATCAAAACCTTCAGTTCCTATTTTACGGTAAGTATTACCCTCTGGTAAATTAACAGTTCGACCCTGAAATCTGACAAATGTTCAATGGAAACTCATCTTCCAACCACTATCTGCCAGGGTCGTCAGTTTACTGGAGGGTAATTTATAGTCTAAAAGCTGGATCCACTAATCTTAAACCAGCTTCCCTTTCGCGCCGCTCCTCGCCTTGGCAAATGGTCTGGATGTAGTTCACTCATCCACAACATGGCCTTGAACAGCGAATCGGCTTTTGTTGGATCAGATCAAGTAAACGTTTACGAAACTAGTGATGAGTTCACGTTCTTGAAGTGATTTGGAGGTTTCTAGAAGTGAAAACGGGAAAGCGAGTGTTTCATCAATAAATAGAGCGGTGAAACGGGAAAGTTTTTCCTTCAACCAAATATGTATTGAAACAAAGGATACGTAGGAATAGATGCAAAAACTGAAGGTATCACTAAACAACTTGGGGGTGGCATCAAAAAACTCAGGGATGTGTTGGTCAATGTTCTGAAAAGTTGAAAGCTACGGCTATGAATTGCCAAACGCTAAGCGGGTTTTTCCAGACAATATAGATAGCTGCTACTATTCCCAGACATATCGCTTCGTGGATCCCACCATTTCATCCCCAGAAAAAACTCGAATGTCTCACTCGCCAAAGCCATACATAGCCATACAGTTTGCTATTGAAAATGGCCATTTATAGTGAGTTTTCCCATAAAAAAATGTGATTTTCCAGTTATGTTTGTTTACCAGAGGGTAGGTTTTGCCTGAACATGAGGTACACTACCCTAAATTGTCAACTTAAACATCATGCTCCTATCCATGTTCAGACACAGCCATCTGTGCAGTGTGAAAACACCCTTTTCTTCCCTTTATATTTGTGGACCAATAGGCCTTCCCGTACTGGATTATGATGGTCCCCAATCAATCAATGTATATATATATATATATACGTATATATATATACACACACACGTATATACACGCACATCTTGGGTGGTAAAACCCCACACGAATAATTAATGACCCATATGTTCATCAGTTACAGTTACCCCATAGTTTGATGCTTCATTCACCCGAGGTTTAGCAGAAAAACACACGACTTCTGGATTTATCCACGATCAAAGTCCTCCAGTTATCTCCATGGCATCAACCTATAGACCAACAGCCTGTCCATGTTGAATCCCAAACCGATTTCAATCTTCAGCTCCTCTTCCCAAGTCTTCCCAGATAAAATACTCACAGTCCCGGGTCACCATGGAATCCTGTATACCTCACCATTTCTGTGTTGTTTTCCGCATCAAAGAGGCGTTTTCGGCCGCTCACATGTTCGATGCTGCCGCGAATGCCGCGGCGCACAATCAAGATTCGCTCCTGGCGATCTGACAGACTGGCTTTCGATGAGCCTTCTTGGGGGGGGTGCAGTTGATACCCTCTGGTAATGACTAACAGTTTGCTATTGAAAATGGCCATTGATAGTGGATTTACCCATTGAAAAAATGGTAGATCTTTCCATAATTAGCCATGTAAACGTCTACCAGAGGGTATCATTTCCATGGGTATAACCAAGGTTATCACCTGGATCAATCAGAAGCAGGAATATAACCAACATAAGTCGGATTGGGATATAACCAGAATAATCAAATCATATCAAATCATTCCGTGGCTACCCACTTAACTGAAACTGCATCCCCAGGTATGCTGCCGAAAGGGCATCTTTTAGCATCTTAGTCAGCATGTTTCCGTCCATGGGTGACCAACCACATTTGAACCACATCCAGAAAATCTAGCTGGAATATGAATTACAGATATGAGATGATATGAGTACACTTGTTCAAAACCGATATCTATTCAATCTATTCACAATCAACCATGGTACAAAGACGTCCTATAGTATGCAATGTAGGAAAGCACGAGGAACCACTCGCCAGCAGAGTAATCACAGCACAGGCTGCAGGACCAAGTCATCTCAGATGAATCTACCAAGTATATTCCGCAAAACTTGGACTCCTCGGGTCAAAATGTGGCACTGAAGAATAACATGGCTAATCATATCATAATATATGTATATAATATAATACAATATATATATATATATATAGAATAAAATATAATGTGATATAATATAATAATACAATATAATACAATATAATTGATTTATCCATCAACAAAATGGATTGCAATGGTTTTGACATGTTACCATCAATACTAGAGATCTAACCATTAAAAACTAATGTGGCTTAAACATAAGAATATATCACATTGTTTGTATTCTTATGTGGGCGCATATCATTTCAAGTGGGCATCATTCATAGAGTATGTTTGATAGATGCGCATTTTATTCCAACTCATTCAAACCATCCAATTGCTGTCATGATGTTTGTGCATTGGGGTTGTCTTAGAATGGGGGGATAGCCTGCAAACAGCAATTGTTAGAGAGAGAGAGAGAGCGAGACATATATATATATGTATGTATGTATCATATCATATCATATCATATCATAACATATCATATCATATCATATCATATATATATCATATATATATATATCACATATATATATATATAGTTGATGGCAAAACCACTATGTTTCATACTCAAATTCCTATGTTTGATGGTTTTTAATCCATACTTTTGATATCTTTTGATGTTTGAACAACCGTATTTTCGTTGTTTCTGTGAAATCTTCATATCTTTGCGATCAGATCAGGCCTGAAGGCTATCAGCCTGCAATACCGCTGGGCGTATTTCCAGGGCAACACCTCAGGCGCCAGCGGGAGTTGATGGTAACATGGGCAACAAAACATGGATTTCATGTGGTTAAAGCAATGCCTTAAACGCACCATCCCCCAGTCATCACCATTTTTATAGCTGGTATGTTTACCATTCCCAAATAGGTGGTTTATTATTGTTTTACCAACATAGCCATATGGATCTTTCCAAAGCCATGGGGGATCCCCAATAGCTGAATGGTTTATTTCAGGGAAAATCCGAAAATAAAATGGATGACTTGGGGGTACCCCCATTTTAGGAAATGCTGCCATATAGTTCATGGTACGTGGTCACAGTCATTATGAGTCATTATAGTCAAGAACCTTTTGCCATGGTATGTTCATTATCAAAAGTTGTATGTAATGACTATATGTTTTTTAGTTAATACATGTTAATATCATATTTTAATGTGCCATAGACATAGTCATTTAACATTAAAAAAACACTTATAGTTGACATATACTCATTGTTTCAATAATGAAAATAAATATTTGGACACATTAAACATACCCTCTGGTTATTTAACGGAGCGAACTGGAACATCGCAATATTTTTAATAGGTAAATAGGTAAATCATCATGTTTATCATCTATTTCTATGGGCCATTTTCCAGTTCGCTACTTAATAAGTAACCATTTTGGGTATATAATTACCTATTTATAGTATATAAACCACCCATTACTATATAATTACCTTGACATGTGTAATTGTTTCGCGTCAAGGGATGGTGACCTGTTGTGACATGTGACTGATCAGGATCATTGGGGATTGATCACTGGAGATGGATGGGGGCCTTTGACTGCAATCAGTTAGCATTGGTAAATCCAATAGTGGATAGTGGTTAAATAATCTGATTATAGCTTATTATAATTGGATATTGGTAATAGTGACTACTGATTGGTAAATCAGATAGTCTATTATAGTGGATAAATATATAAATGGAACTGATTATAGTGGATATTGGTACAACCAGATACTGTAAATCAGTTCCATCCACTTGGTAAATCAGAATAATATTTAGATACTATCTGATATTAAAGTGGAGTACGTGTAGTATTGGTAAATCAACATATGTTTATGAATAATTTACCATGCTATTATAAGGTCCTTTTGGGAGAGTTACCCCAACTACCATCATTTCTAGTGACATTGCAGTGAGGTCGTTTTAATCGTTTTAATCTGTCCAGTATCAGATCGACAAATTGGGATGAATGGCATGACTGTAGGATGAGTCATGTTTAACATATTTCTTCAAAATTATTGGGATGATCGGGTAGTTGATGGGGGAGCCTGGGGCCCTTTTATTTTGGGTAGAACCATCATATGTGCAGATTGGCGGACACCAGCTGAGCGGCTTCATCCTCAGCAAAAAACACACCAACTGAGGAGTTACCAAACCATAAACCACCTACGTCATCAACAGTTTTCAACAGTTTTTCTGCTTGAAGAAGTAAGTCCCCAGTTCTTTTTTTCGAATTCATCAAACATATGGAAACACCAAAAATAAAATGGGGACTGAATCAAAAATCAATCTCGACACAGCCAAACAAACTTCGGAGATGTTTTAAACCATCCCTGGCGACTTCGTTTTTTTTGACCATCCAGGAGTCCACAGCAACCGACTTTGGTGGCCCAATGTTGGTTTCATACCCTCTGGTAAATAAACAGAACAGGCCACTGTGGGAGTGCGCAAATTGCAGCATTTCCTGTGCAAAGATCCAACAGCATATGGCGCAACCGGACAAAATTGAATTCCATTCCTCTCTGCTGTTCATTAGCTGAATGCACTATGTCATAGCAAACATTGCTGTACTGTAGTGTATCGACCTTGCTTCTAGTGCAACCACTGACAGTGCCTGGCAATCTCTGCTTGGCACATCTGCAATGGCTATCCACACACAAACAAAAAAAACAAAAAACCAAAAAAACAAAAAAACAAAAAAACAAAAAACAAAAAAAACCAAACAAACCAAAAAGACAAGACCCAACACTCTGCATCTGACCCCCTCCCCTTGGGGTGTGCAATCTTGTTTTTTTTTGTTTTTTTTGTTTTTTTGTTTTTTTGGTTTTTTGGTTTCTTGGTTTTTTGGTTTTTTGGTTTTTGCCTGCCCGACCTCTAGTGCAACCACTGACAGTGCCTGGCAATCTCTGCTTGGCACATCTGCAATGGCTATCCACACACAAACCAAAAAAACAAAAAAACAAAAAACCAAAAAACCAAGAAACCAAAAAACCAAAAAACCAAAAAAAAACAAAAAAAAACAAAAAGACAAGACCCAACACTCTGCATCTGACCCCCTCCCCTTGGGGTGTGCAATCTTGGTTTTTTTGTTTTTTTTGGTTTTTTGTTTTTTTGGTTTCTTGGTTTTTTGGTTTTTTGTTTTTTTGGTTTTTTGGTTTGTGTGTGGATAGCTCAGACCTTGCCCATGGGTCTGAACTTTTTTTTTTGTGTTCTCGAGGTTTTTGGCCAAACTGCAAAAAACCATGGAAAAACAAAAAAAACAAAAAGTTCAGACCCATGTCCCCTGCCAGGCCTCTCCCAGACCTTGCCCATGGGTCTGAACTTTTTTTTTGTTTTTTCCATTGTTGTTTTGAATGTTTTTCATGTGAAGATGCTTTCATCACAGTACCTCTCAAAAAAATGCGCGTCTCTACAATTTGCACACCTGCGCCCCCCAGGCCAAACTGCAAAAAAAACAATGGAAAAACCAAAATTCATTAATGACTTATATAATGACTAATATAATGATTAATGTAATGACTTATTTTTTCAAGAATATAATGACTAATATAATGATTAATATAATGATTAATATAATGATTAATAAAATGATAAAAACAATGATCAATATCATGATGAATATAATGATTTATATAATGATTAATTTAATGATTATTAAAATGAAGAATTTAATGATTAATATCATGATTATTATCATGATTTATATAATGATTAATGTAATGGTTCATATAATGCCTAATGCAATGACTAATATAATTCGTATAATGAAATATAATGATTCATATAATGATAAATATAGTGATTCATTTCATGATTTATCTAATGACTTTTATAATGACTAAGATAATGATAAATATAATGATTTTTGTAATGGCTGATATACTTGTTAATTTATTGACTAATTTAATGATTAATATCATGATTCATATAATGGTTAATAAAATGATTAAAATAATGATTCATTTAATGATAAATATAATTTTTCTTTTCATGATTCATTTAATGACTTTTATAATGACTAGTATCATGATTATATTTTAAGAATGATTAATATAATGATTACTATTGTGATGAATACAATGATTATAATATCATGAGTAAAATACTGACTAATTTAATGAGTTTATATATAATGAGTCATGTAATGATTAATAAAATGATTAATATAATGATTAATATAATGATTAATTTAATGACTAATATAATGATAAATACAATGGCTAATATAATGAATGTTAAAATGATTAGTATAATGATTGATATAATGATTAATATACTGATTAATATAATGATTAAAATAGTAATTCATATAATGACTAATATAATTATCAATATAATGATTAATAAAATGATCAACATCATGACTATTATAATGATTAATAAAATGATTAATTTAATGATTATTAAAATGAAGAGTTTAATGATTAATATCATGATTATTATCATGATTCATATAATGATTAATGTAATGGTTCATATAATGCCTAATGCAATGACTAATATAATGATTAATATAATGATTCATTTAATGATTCATATAATGATAAAAATAGTGATTCATTTCATGATTTATTTAATGACTTTTATAATGACTAAGATAATGATTAATATAATGATTTTTGTAATGGCTGATATACTTGTTAATTTATTGACTAATATAATGATTAATATAATGATATATATATATATATATCTAATGACTAATATAATGATTAATAAAAATGATTAAAATAATGAATTATTTAATGACTGATATAATGATGATTCATTTTATGATTCATTTGATGATTAATATAATGATTCAAAGAATGATTCATAGAATGATTCAAAGAATGATTCATATAATGATTCATATAATGATTTATTTAATGACTTATATAATGACTAATATAATGACTAATATAATGATTAATGTAATGACTGCATGGAAAAAAGTGCACTCCCACAGCGGCCAGCTCTCTAAATAAACATAGACCTTGGCAGATAGGGGTTGGAAGACTAGTTTCCATTAAACATTGGTGATTTTCAGGGTCTATGTTTATTTACCAGAGGGTAATGAGGGTAACACTAATTTTATTGCTGTAACAAGTAATGCTACTCAACGAAAAAAATGGACAGAGTTGCAATCCCCGTTCCTGTCTCAAAAAATCTGATGATTCATCGCTATTCATTACCCTCTGGTAAACTAACCATGCTATTGAACATGGCCATAGAAATAGTGGATTTACCCATTAAACATGGTGAATTTCCATAGTTATGTAAACGTTTACCAGAGGGTAATTTTATTAATGTTTCTCATCTGATGGCCACATAAATGGGGGGTTGATTCCTTTGGATTGAGACAAGCGCATCCCACTTGCTAATTGGTCAATTCTCTAGCAAAATCTTACCCATATTCCAAGGCTGTTCATATTCCATGCCAGAATAGCTCCGGAAATTTGGAAAATATTGAACGACCTTTGATGATGAGAATAAGGTTGTGTGACCCTTGTCAGGCGCTCCCTTGTCACGTGCTGTCACGTCCAGTCGCACATGTTTAATCAATCATCAACTTCTCTCTAGGATCTTTTAAGACCATTGGATAAGCTGTTCAGCTTATTTTTTGACGCGTTTGGCTGGCGGCTCAGCTTCCGCATCTGTAAACGGGGCCAAGTCTGGATTACGCTGTTCTTCCTCGAACCCAAATGGTACCATATTTCCACTTAATACAGTTACATTGAGTAGGATGCCACCCCTGGAGTACGATGCCCCCCCCGTATGCGTTGCCGTTCCTGCATGTGGGCTTCTCAGGCATATGTTAATATCATTTTTGATCAATTAAATCGAGGCTGCAAATTCCATTCCCCATACCCACAAGGCATCACACTCTATCGCGCACGGCTAAGACAACAATCGAGAATTTCCATAGCCTCCACAGGTCAAAAGTATCAAAATTTCATGGAATGCGATTGTATGCGCGACTGTTCAAAACGCTGGAAAAACAACAATTTCCCCCATATTCCATATTATCAGATTCCAGAGCATTTTACCTCCGAAGAGGCAAACAAAAATCTTCAGGTCAATTTTTCGAAAAAAAATGTTTTTGGCTGTCTGCGCAAGTTTTTCTGGTGTACGATCCCTTTTGTGGAGTACGATGATCTGCGAGTAGGTGTGTGGAGTGCGATGGGGTCCTCTGGGGTGCGATGACACCCCTCGAGTGCGATGCGACATGAGTATGCGCGGCCGGAAATCCCCTGAGAGAAGGATTCTGGGCCACAATTGCCCAAATTCAACAGAGCGAGCGGATTCTGGTTGTAATTTAACAGGATTTCAGCCCACTCAACAAACAAGTCAAACAATATTTTGAAACCCTCTCCTTCTTCAGTCTCCAAAATGGGAAGCTCACTTGTCAGGACACGCTTTAGATCATCCAGGCTCCATAGCATTTCAGGAACAACACAAGGCATCGACATGGTGCCAAACAATTTCCAAATTGAGCTGAAAGGTCTTCCCATCGCAACCAGTCAATTCACAGGTGTGAAACATGTCACACACAGGGAAACAGGTTGGGAAAACAGTGGGTCCAAAGAGACAGGTCTGGAGTACGATGGATTCATAGTATATGTACATTTTCTGAATTTGGGTAACTTGGAGCTAGAAATTTGACATACTGGCTAACTCTAGCTAATCAAATAAAACAACATAATCTATAACATAATATTCTAATATATATATGTATATATAATACCATACGATATGCATGTATATATCCCTTAAAACGTGGCAACCTTTATAACCATCAAGTGGTATATTAATTACCTGGTATTAAACCGGTTACAACTGGTGACTTCAGTAACTTCCCATCTTTTCCACGGCATTTTCCCTCGAAAAACCAGGGCCAGGGCGACCTAGTGCTGGCAAAGGGTTCACCAGCGCCGCGGCCCACATCGCCAACTTGTCGGCCATGGTGGGTGGCGGCATCTGCCCCAAGTCCTCGATAGAAACTAGCCATAGATGTGATGCAAATAACAAGCGCCGGTAGAAAATTGTATACAGTATAGATAGATAGGTAGATAGATAGATAGATAGACAGACATACAGATAGCTAGGTAGGTAGGTAGGTAGGTAGGTAGATATTATATATATATAGTAGCCAAATACTAATTAATAAGACCAACTTTTTATTCTATCTGCTGGTTACTTACTATGTATATATATATATATAAACAAAACATGACTTGAGATGAAAACTAGGAATGTAGAAAAGGTAACAACACGTCGACGTGGCAGTACTTGTTGCGGCAGGGCAGATTCACTCGAAGGAAATCCGAATCAAAGCTGGGTTGGAAAGATCATATCCTAGTAATACATGTGCATATGCCGCATATGCCTAAAGCATCCTAAAGCATCCTAAAGCCACAAGGTGTCCCTCTCAAATCCTTTGGGAACAACAGGCTGCATCTGTCCTTCAGTATGTCTTGCAACTGGCCTTCATATCTTTCGGCCTACCGAAGGTACACCACTGCCCATTGTCGCCACCAGAAGGCCAGGGATTCCACTGACTTTTCGACTTTGCGGTGCCCGTCTAAATCAACCATGAAAATCGAAACCTTGCTCCAAACAAAATAAGCAAGACAAATCGCAATTCAGTAGGCCCAAAAAAATTAAAAAGCTACTGGGTGCTATGACTTTGAATCAAAACCGAACACCAAAACTGGCAGGGTCGGTTCCGACCGTCCCGACTTGATCAAAAAATATCACGCCCAGTGCCTGAACCAAGAAAAAACGTCATCGATCTGAAATCCATAGGATGTGGGAAAACCATGTCATAAACCACCCATTTGGGAATGGTCGGAATGGTTTATACCACCTATAAAAATGGCGATGACTGGGGGATGGTGCAAATGGCATTGTTTTACCCACGTGAATTTAGGATTTCCATATCTTCGTCATTTTCATATTGGGGGCCATTGTTTCATGGCACATGAAAAAGCCAAGCTAATGTCATTACAAACACCATATTTGGCCTTTTACAGCCATCAATCAATATTACAGTAGCCTTCAATATTAGCCATGTGGATTTGTCTGAAAATATTGTAAACAGAAAACAACATGTGCTTAATCTCTCTTTGTTTCTTGTCCAACAACAATTGACATTTTATTCCATGAGTTGTTTATGTACCCATCTAACATCATCTAACTGTAGTTATAATCACCATAAACTCAACAGCCAACTCCATGTTCAGACAAACTCACATATCATATTGTTGGTTATATACCCCAGTATACCACCACTACATTTGGGTGATTGTACATGATTTCATCTTTAAAATGTTTCCACCATATAGGGGCCATGAATCCAGCTATCAATCAATATTAGCCATTTACCAATCATGAGAATTCCTATGAACATGGATTAAATTGGATTAATGTAAGGTAATATATCCATGAATATTATAATGGGGGAATGATTATCCCCCAATCAACATTATGGGGGAATGTTTCGACTGATATCTGTTGATTTATGTTATTATCCCCCAATCAACAAATATAACTCATATCATTCGAATTCTTGGTTTATCTGCACGAAAACGGTGCCGATAATCCTGTGAGATGTCACCAATTCAACTAAACCATACTAAACCAGGGATCCAGGGTGTAACCCCCAGGGTTGGTGAATGTCCCATCATATGGACATCATATGGAATAGTATGGGGATCACACGGAATCATATGAAAAATCAGTGCGCAGGGAATCACATGGAATCTTGCTCAATAGCTGGAGTATTCGGGGATTTTCACTATGGGAATGGCTCTCATTTGGGCCTCTCTTAAGTTATGGGGGATCCCCAAGTCACCATGGGTTTCAATACATCAATACTAGGTCATGGTCATCCATGACTTGGATGATTTGGGGTACCCCCATGACTTAGGACACCTTCATGTGGATATTTCATGATTAATTGGTTAGATATTTACTATATATATATATATAGTAAAAAAAAAGTAGTTATCCATATATATTTCCAACATTGGCCATCTATGTCTATATCCATATCTAACTTTTGGTTAGATATTTACTCTACGTATTTATCGAACTAATGTCACCATTTCAGGGACGATTTCTCGCTCTGGTTGCCTGGTTCTCCACCAAAGTGTTGGTCCATTCTTCGATGAGTGGTACCAAAGCTTCGGCCAACAGGACATCCTCCTAGGTGTCGCCCGGCAGTCCGAATGTTATCGCCATGAGGCATGATGATTTTCCTAGTGATTCATAATGGTTAATAGTGGTGAATAGTGGCAAATAATCCATCAATCTACGTAAATTGTAATATTTCACTTTGGTGTTGGTGTTTACCTATGAAACATGATTATTTCATGGTGATTTCATGGGATATCATGAGTAGATAATGGGCATACCCTCTGGTAAACTGACAGGTAGCGAACTGGAAAATCACCATTTTTAGGAGCTAAATCATCGAACCAATTTTCTATAGCTATGTCTATCTACTGGAAGGTACTGGTTATTACAACTAAGAACCATAGTTATTTGATGCTATTAATCTTGGTTGTTACTAGTAAGTATAACACGAACTAATGGATAAACAAAATTCATTGAAAAAACAGCTTAAACAACACCTGGTTTCCATAACATACGGTTGATCTATAGAAGATATTCTTCAACAACAAATGAATCCATAACATGTTGAAGATTGAATAACCATGTCCCACGGGGTATTGAATCATGTGTATTTGAATTCACCGGCCATCTCGAGCAGGTTGTTGTGATAGTAGTGGTGGAATTCTTTCGCACTAACATCAAATACCCTCTGGTAAACTAACATAACTATGGAAAATCACCATTTTTCGTGGGAAAATTCAATATAAATGGTGATTTTCCATAGTTATGTTAGTTTACCAGATGGTACTCCCCAAACAAAACCCTAGGTTAGGATCGGCTCTGTTCATTTCGTGGGCCGACATGACTGTGTGTGAAGATAGGGCACCCCATTTCATCACCTGATTTCCACCATCAGTATCCCCATAGTATGCCCATCCTTGGGAATTCTCCCCATTAGCTACTTACTGGTGCTTAGCAGGGAATGGATGGCAAGGGGGGAACGGGATTATTATTACTAGTGATGACTGGGATCATTCCCTCTTTCCCTGCGTTTAGCACCAGTAAGGCTAGGAACTGTCCAATCCTGCCCGAACGTTGGACGAATATTTCGATTCCCCTATGGGTTCAAATGCCATATGTCTCTGGTTGGTGGTTGAGCCCTACCCCTCTGAAAAATATGACTTCGTCAGTTGTTCACCTTATATTCCCAATATATGGAAAGTCATAAAATTCATGTTCCAAACCACCAATCAGATATTCTGATTCTGGATGATCTACAGATTTCATCCTAAATCCTATGGAACAAATGTGTTTTGCCATATCTTGGGTCTGAATTGGCGCAGGGCATAACTCCTCAAATGGATCGCGAATTTGGGTGGGATTAACCAACGGGACATCCAAAAAAACACATAATCATACTAATGAGATTTGGAGAAATGCGGATGATTACCCGATGGTTTTAATTCATTGATGGTTAATTGATGGTGAATTTCTAATGTGTGTTAAGAGATGATGAATATCATCTGGTTGGTGGTTGACCTACCCATCCTTAGCACGACCAAAACGCAGAACGCAAAACGTACGTTCCGGAACGCGTGTTCCGAACGCAGGGGTGTTTTTAGTGGCTTTATGGATCCCAGAAGCGTCCGAATCCTTTTTTTGCTCCCTGCAAAAAGGATCCGCTGTGTCACATAGTATTTTTCAGAAAATGTTCAAAGTCTTCTTAGACCCCTGTTAATAGCACTACGATAAAATTTGTGAGGGGTCAGGACCTTTTTCTTTCAGAGAAAAAAAGGATCCGGGAAGGAAACCTAACTTGCCCCACAAGCCTGGTGAGACCAGAACCTTTTTTGCCTCACCCAAAAAGGATCCGGAGTTGGGAAGATCAACTTTCTGGTGGCTTCATACACAACTTTGAGCCCACAAGAGCTCCACATCCTTTTTTTTAGTGGGGGAAAAAGGTTTCTCTGTTCAAACCCCGGAAATAAATTGACTTTATATCATTGGAAAAAAGGATTCACTCAGAACGCGCGTTCTGGAACGCGAGTTTTTAAAACGCGCGTTCTGAACGCCCAAACGTACCGAACGAACATGCTAAGTACCCATCTGAAAAATATGAACGTCAGTTGGGATGATGACATTCCCAAGATATGGAAAGTCGTAAAATTCATGTTCCAAACCACCAATCAGATATATCGTCGTTGATTAAGAGAAAGTCTCCCTGTGTGCTGCTTACCAGTGGTCAAACCTCCATCATCCATCATCTAATTCCGTTGTCCCGTACATTTTTCCCATTGGGGATAAGTTTTCACTTAATGTCAACCCTGGATTCATAAACCCCTAGCCCGGCTGTTTAATTGGGAAGCTACCATAAATAAGTATCAGATTGTGACTATTGGAGGAGTACCCCCCTAATTAATAAACACTGATTTACCATCTGGTTATTTAACATAGCCATGGAAAATCACCATGTTTGGTAGGTAAATCATCTATAAATGGGTCATTTTCCATGGCTATGTTAAATAATTAAAGGGTATTAGTCCAGGGTTGACATTACACGCCATCAGCATACTCCCGTTGGGGATGAATTTCCGGTACCTGTGTCCCATCGTTTCCCCAACCTCTTTGACTTCCTCGTGTAGGAATTCCACCTGAGTTCGTGTCAACATGGCCGATGGGAAATTCCAAAACTAAACGGAGGTCTATTCTACAGCTGGGAAAATCATTGAACTACAGTGCATCAAATCGACATCAAATATCAAATATCAGCGTGGATTCTTCCGAGAAATGCTGCGCTTATCCAATTTTGAATGCAGGTGTAGAATTAAATTTCGTTAAAATTCCGCTTAACGACTCCATGTTCACTCCATTTTTGAAGTTTTGTGCACCTAAATTCCGAGTGGTTAAAAATGGTTCAATGCACTTCAGGTTTTCCACTCCATTTTTCACCAATTTCGACTTCACCGAACGGCCTTGGCTCGAGTGATGGTCCCTTCTCGCTGGGCTTCACTGACCACTTTGAAGACGTGTTCGGCTTTCAGCTCCTACAACGACCGGGGCCCCTCTATGGGACATCTACCATGAATCTACCAGTTGGGATGACCAAACCCATAGGATCCATGGTGCTGGTATAACATAAATGGGGTATATTGATGGGATCCATGTTACCATATATAGCAGCACCATGGATCCTATGGGAAATATGACAAAATGATGACAAAATAAGTATAAGGGACTAATCTACCAATATCCATGAATCATGCGGTATTGTGGGGATCATGAACCCATGGATTGATAGATAGACCGGAAAAATGGACTCGAATCGGAAAAAAACACATGGTGATATCATGGAGATATGTCAACTATGCTGGTGATATCGGGGTGAAGAAGCTGGGTTTTTTCGCATAAAAAATCTTGATGAGTTGCTTAAGTTTCCCCTACAACTGTGGTGAATCATAACTATACCTTCCCACTCAAATCCATGGATCTGAATCCCCAAGTAGACACCACAGTTGTTGAACGGTGGTTTCAATGGGAATTTCAGGATCCCTTTTAGGGAGGTACGTTAGTACCACGTTTCAGGCCATATTTTCTGGGGATATTCCCGCAAACATAGGCCTGATCTATCTATCTATCTATCTATCTATCTATATATATATATATATAGGCCAAACATATATACCCTTTGGTTATGACTAACATAGCCATGGAAGCCATGGCCCATAGAAATAGATGGTTTACCTATTAATAGCTTGGTGATTTTCCATGGCGAAGTGTTAGTCATAACCAGATGGTATACGGTAGGTACCTCGGTTCCTGTTGCATGACCATTGATTGTTGGTTGTCATCGGAATCTATGGACCACGACTGGGATTTCTATTTTCGGATTCCTATGGGACAGGAATAGCTGTAATAATGGGATGATAATTCCATGATTTACAGGATTTTAGGGGGATTTCTATTGTGGATTTCTATTGGGATTCTATATTAAACCACATCATTTTGTGGGATTTATATGGGATTATAATTATAAAACACCGCAAATCATGGGCCTTTTTTTAAGGGGAGATGTTTACCATGTGGAACCCACCCATCTACTGCAGATTTCCAAACGCCTCCGCCCCGGCCCTGCCCCGCCCGGCTCCCATTCACCGCTTCGACTTCCACTCAGCTTGCTCAGCTTGGCACTGACACCCACCAAGGAACCGCCAGATCGTTGGGGACCTGCAGCGTGTGAGCGGTGTGAGATTTGGAGATGTTCGACGGATGAGCCGATGCTTACCCGGCCTGATAAACGTTTACACAAAGCTATGGAAAATCACCATGTTTAATGGGATGATCCACTATATCTATGGTCATGTTCAATAGCTATGTTAAATTACCCGATGCTTAATTAAAAGGATTTTCCCTTGATTGGGGGTTCCAAAACGAATGGGGGTTCCACATGCGATAGCCCACCTCCGAGACTGCCAAACTTATCACTGTACGCGATGATGCATGTTTCCTGACATGCAACACGTGCCGGTGTGCGCATATGTCGCGGCCTTTGCAGGCATCTTCTGTCCCCGCAGCTTCAGTCGCCATGGTTTCCGGTTGTTTGTTGCGTATAGGAAAAGGGAGCGGGCACGAGAGACTGCCTGTATTTTCCCATTCTCAAGAAAACCGTGAGCGGGACATGGGCCAAGGAGAAGGAGAGAAAAAACAAAGGCTATTAAATGGGAACATTTGGTTCAATCAATTCACTGGAAGTTCTTAGCTTGGGCATCCCTGGGAATGCTTGCAACACATGGTGCGTGCAGCTGGCGGGGTCTAGATCCTAGGGCAACATTACAATGGGCCAGCTTAACATGGCTGCATCTGGCTCATGCGCACGCTGTTCAGTTTGCCGAAATTTTGGTTTTCAAACCACTGTGTGTCTCAAACATATTCAAGACAAGAAGTAAGTTATTTTTGGCGCCTTGACAAGACACGATGAAAGTTGCAAGGAAAAAAACAAACAGCAAAACACATGAGGCACCTCCTTCAAGAAAAAAAACATCAAATTTCTGCATGTTTCTGCATCACTTTCAAAATCACTGGTGGCAGCGCCCGGTTTGAATAAAATGAAGCCGCTCTTGCCTGGCCATCTCGGACCATAAATTCTGACCTGCCTCATGAGCCCTGGCATGATTCTGCCTGGCGCAAAATGGGAAATCCAATCTTGGCATGACCCCTCTGGGGAAAAAATTCCCGAGCGCAATCTTGCCAGGATCCGTCTTGGGAAAATGTCGCGGGAAAATTTCCCGAGTCCAATCGTGGCAGGATCCGTCTCCGGAATCTGATTCCGGGAAAAAATCCTAAGTCCAATCTGGGCAGGATCCGTCTCGGGAAATTTTCCCGAGTCCAATCGTGGCAGGATCCGTCTCCGGAATCTGATTCCGGGAAAAAATCCTAAGTCCAATCTGGGCAGGATCCGTCTCAGGAAAATTTCCAAAGTCCAATCTGACCTCAGATCCGTCCCGAACAGGATGCTTTCCAACCACATCGTTTGGGGACCGATCTGACGTCAGATCCTTCTCAGGAAAATTTCCAAAGTCCAATCTGACCTCAGATCCGTCCCGAACAGGATGCTTTCCAGCCGCATCTTTTGGGGACCGATCTGACCTCAGATCCGTCCCGAAAAGGTTGCGTTGCAACCATGGTTTCGAGACGGGCCTGTCTGAAAACCACCGCTGTCAACTTGTATATGATATCTTTTGGAATCTGGCTTGGCACCGGATCGGTTCTCAACCTGGATGAATTCGGTGGCTTACTTTAAGGACCGATCTGACCCGGGATCAGTCACGAACGCAATCCTCGGGAAACATTCGCTTCAAGAAAACTTGCAAAAGCAAAGCCAATTTCAAGCTAAAAGTCAATTTGGGGACCAATCTGACCTCAGATCGGTCCCCAAAGTAAGCAACCAAAGTCATCCAGGTTGGGGACCGATCCGGTGCCAAGCCAGATTCCAAAAGATGCCGTGTACAAGTTGGAAAGCGGTGGTTTCGAAATGGAGCTGGGGTCAGACTGGTCCCCAAACCACACGGTTGTAAAACATCCTTTTCGGGACGGATCTGAGGTCAGATCGGTCCCCAAACGATGTGGTTGGAAAGCATCCTTTTCGGGACGGATCTGAGGTCAGATTGGACTCAAGAATTTTCCCGAGACGTCAGATCGGTCCCCAAAGGATGCGGTTGGAAAGCATCCTGTTCGGGACGGATCTGAGGTCAGATTCGACTTTGGAAATTTTCCTGAGACGGATCTGAGGTCAGATTGGACTCTGGAAATTTTCCCGAGACGGATCCTGCCAAGATTGGACTTAGGATTTTCCTGGGAACAAGTTCCCAAGACGGATCCTGCCAAGATTGGACTCTGGAAATTTTCCCGAGACGGATCCTGCCAAGATTGGACTTAGGATTTTCCTGGGAACAAGTTCTCAAGACGGATCCTGCCAAGATTGGACTCAGGAAAATTTCCCGAGACGGATCCTGCCCAGATTGGACTTAGGATTTTTTCCCGGAATCAGATTCCGGAGACGGATCCTGCCACGATTGGACTCGGGAAATTTTCCCGCGACATTTTCCCAAGACGGATCCTGGCAAGATTGGGCTCGGGAAATTTTTCCCCAGAGGGGTCATGCCAAGATTGGATTTCCCATTTTGCGCCAGGCAGAATCATGCCAGGGCTCATGAGGCAGGTCAGAATTTATGGTCCGAGATGGCCAGGCAAGAGCGGCTTCATTTTATTCAAACCGGGCGCTGCCACCAGTGATTTTGAAAGTGATGCAGAAACATGCAGAAATTTGATGTTTTTTTCTTGAAGGAGGTGCCTCATGTGTTTTGCTGTTTGGTTTTTTTCCTTGCAACTTTCATCGTGTCTTGTCAAGGCGCCAAAAATAACTTACTTCTTGTCTTGAATATGTTTGAGACACACAGTGGTTTGAAAACCAAAATTTCGGCAAACTGAACAGCGTGCGCATGAGCCAGATGCCGCCATGTTAAGCTGGCCCATTGTAATGTTGCCCTAGGATCTAGACCCCGCCAGCTGCACGCACCATGTGTTGCAAGCATTCCCAGGGACGCCCAAGCTAAGAACTTCCAGTGAATTGATTGAACCAAATGTTCCCATTTAATAGCCTTTGTTTTTTCTCTCCTTCTCCTTGGCCCATGTCCCGCTCACGGTTTTCTTGAGAATGGGAAAATACAGGCAGTCTCTCGTGCCCGCTCCCTTTTCCTATACGCAACAAACAACCGGAAACCATGGCGACTGAAGCTGCGGGGACAGAAGATGCCTGCAAAGGCCGCGACATATGCGCACACCGGCACGTGTTGCATGTCAGGAAACATGCATCATCGCGTACAGTGATAAGTTTGGCAGTCTCGGAGGTGGGCTATCGCATGTGGAACCCCCATTCGTTTTGGAACCCCGAATCAAGGGATTTGTTTTATTAATTGATGGTGAATTTTCTAATGTTTGTTAACAAGAGATGATGAATATCATAAATTGTAATGTTCTTTTCCAATAAATGATCTTTGCTATAATAGCTATAGATGGTGAATTCACCAAACCCTATTATTGTAAGAACATATTATTGTAATAAATTACTGATGGTGTATACCCGATGATTCATTTGCGATGGTACATTCACCAAACACTTCGGTATTATTTAAGCAAAGTGTTGATCCATGAAAGGGGATATTGGAATCAACATACGACACATATGAAATATTGGATAAATTTGATGGCCATCATTAAGAGCTACAAAATGGTCTGGTCTGTTGCACAGCTAGTCTTAATCTACATGTCCACAGTAAGGGGGGAATATAAACTAAGCAACCACCATGATAAGAGTCTTAGATACCATCAAACTGAACAGGGGGTATAACGGTATAACTAACAAACATGTTTTTTTTTCTGAACCAACGTGCTGAATACGACTCAATGAGTCTCTTTGTTTCTTAGAGCAAAACGTTGCTGATTTTTAGTGCATCCTGTGGCCCGAAGCTTTCACTGTTGGCCCACCATACATTTTGAACACGTTTAGATGATTTTTATGGTACCCAATATTAAGATACCCAATATTAATATCACCCAATATGGTACCTAAAATAAAGACTGCAATTGTTGAGGTACACAATATTAACTCATACCATCTCACATCCACAGGAATCTAAACCAAGAATGATCCTGGAATGATACGATCCCGCCAACACATTAGATCAAACACATGAAGACATCGTAGATATGCTAAGTACAGAACCAGAAAGATTACCAACATGTAGATGTAGAACCAACGGTGGCATTGGAGCATTTCACCCTCTGTGATACCTCATGAAACATCTCATTTTAAGCAGGACCCAGTCGATTCATAAACAACAAAGCCCATCTTTGGAGTGAAGTCAGAGCGACGGGCCAAAAACTATGTTTCCCACTCAACCCTGTCACCCTGACCTATGACGCCGACAAGGCCTTCTTCAGCTAAGTCCTACACGGCCGAAGCCACGTGCAGGGAGATAATTCCGGAGTGGCTGCAGTGTTTGTGTTTGAACATCCAGGTTTACCCTCTGGTAAACTAACATAGCTATCAAAAACTCGAAAACTATCATTTTTGGATATGTCTGATGGGCAAATCATCTACAAATGGGCCGTATTCCATTGCAATTTGTTAGAATTAATCAGCCATACCACCCACCTCTCACAGGTGTTCTGTGGTTTTCTAACCTTTTTCACAATCTGCCCCAAAATGTTTGTGTAGCTCTTGGTTGAACTGACCCCCGTGAAAACTGGCTCTATATGTCTACCATAAACCCAACAGTTATTGGAGTATGCATAGATGATGAAGCAACTTAGCTAACAAATTTCCATGAAATCCCATTTAAATTCCATTAAATTACAATTAAATTCCATTAAATCACAATTTTACCATGGTAAACTGGAACTGTTTCGGTCCTCCAACTCCGGATTGGACGCTGAAAACACCAAGCGCTGCCCCGGGAGCCTTAGTCGTGAAGATTAGCATGGCCGAAGCATTTGAAATTTCGGGGGACACCCTTCATAGTTGGCCATGGGGGGTTACACAGTTCATTATCCCTGGTTTAAGTCACAATATGATATACGACCAGGTATTTCAACCATAATCTAAGCCCCATGGGTTTATCATACCTGATTTCCCGTGAATCATTGTACGAAATAAAAACACATCGATGGGCTGAACAAAGCCATCATTGGCTCAGCTGTGGAATGAAATCGTGCGAAATCGTGGGATCCTAACATTAGAACTATATAAATTATATATATATATATATGTATGATTATGTATGTGTATTTATATAATATGGAACTATATTTTAAAATAATGTGTATATGTTTTAAATGATGATTAATAGCTGGTTGATGGTTGACCTACCCCTCTGAAAAATATGAAAGTCAGTTGGGACTATGAAATTCCCAATATGTATATGGCAAAATAAAAAATGTTCCAAACCACCAACCAGTATATATAATATCCACCAACATACAAATATAATTCATGGCGGGAAGTCCAGAAGAAATGATTTGGAATAATATTGTTTAACTGCGTTTTTGGTGGCTGATAGTTGAAGAATTCGGTATGAGATATACCTGTAGAGGTAGCTGCTCCAGCTACTTCTCTGGATTACTTCGACCAGCATTTTTTTCTTGGTGGAAAAGGATGAAATGGATGATCCATTCCACTTCCATTTATCCTCCAGCAGAAAATGGCAATGGAAAATGTCCCGTTTACCCCATTGAAACTTCTCCATTTCCAGAGCCATAGATGATCAGAGGCCAATTTCCAGCCATTGCTCCAAAAGGATTGCTGGTACCCTCTGGTATATTAACAGTTTGACCCTGGCAGATAGGGGTTGGAAGATTCATTTCCATTAAAAAATAGTGATTCTCAGGGTCTATGTTAGTTTACCAGGGGCTAATATGTTCTGTACATTGTACGACGTTGCTTGGTCCTGCAATGTCTTGCATCATCTGCAAGACTGACACGACACAAGACTATCACAAGACTTTGACAAATTTGCACATGTTCATGTATATGAACCAAAGAAGATGGAATGCAAATGGGATTTGCATACTATTGCCATGTTTAGAGCCAGCAGTACTCCAGGATCAAACACATCCAATTTTCGGTGTTCAACCAGGTACACAGCTATCCAACGAATTTCGTGACATCATTGAACTATTGAGAAACATACACAAAAATAGTTTAAGAAACATATTCATGTATACAAAAACTATCATATCATATACATGAATCCCAATGAATTTCACCAACTCTCCATATTTTTTCGGACTCTTCTCCCAAGGTCAATGATCACCACGTCCACCACGTTACACGTCCACCACGTTGCCATGCGACATGGAGTCCACCATGATGATGGGCAGCAGCGGATGTTTCTTCAGCTCGTCAATGCGATCACGGAGGACCTGGCGCGGGACCGCAAAGAACGAACAGAATCAGTTGGCTATTTGTTTAATGAATATTGTACATATATATACATATGCATATATATAACTATATATAATAAAATGCTTACAACAGTTGAAACCTCCATATGAATATATCATAAATTGTATCATTTATATCTGGTTGGTGGTTTTAACCATCTTGAAAGATATGACTTCGTCAATGCGAAGGATTATCCCATATATTATGGAAAATAAAAATGTTCCAAACCACCAACCAGTATATATATATATGGTGTAAGATATAAATGTTATGTATATATATATATTATATATATATATATTTCTGTTTGCTATTTTTTTTGTATATGTTATATATATAAGATTGTTTATTGAATTTTATGAAAAACATATCTTATAGCTAAATTGATTTGGATTTCACCATATGTCCCCAATATTCATCCTCAAAGATATCCAGTCGAAGTTTAAAAAATGGTACCGAGGTATCCCCAATAACTAAGGTATTCCAATAGTAGAATACTATTCAACTATTGGAATATAATATTCCAATATTAGAATATAATTCATTGAACTACTAAATAGAATATAATATTGATATACTTTTAAATGAAACCAACTAGTTTAAAGGGTATGTATATGTTTATACCAATTCATGGAACTATTAGAATATTCTATTGTTTGGATAAATATTAGTATACCTGTTGATACCAACTAATGGAATTTCGATTGACTTGAGTGAATATAACCCCCAATATTCAACATCTCCCTAGAAACCATAGTTTAGTAGGGCATTTCCTCATAAGTGGGACCATAGAATGGGGGTGTTCAATACTCGGGGATGGGATTGTTGTGATTCATGATAGCAAAGTTGGTTTAAACTAAGTACGTTACCTACGGTTTCTGGTAGATATATCAAGTTGGGTATGTCTTAAAATGGGAAAACCCACCATTGTAGAACCCTTTAATTAGAGCAACCTCACACGGCAATGACTACACGCCTGGTTAGTTGATACACAGGTGATCGCAACTGGGTCACATCCGCAGTTGCATAAATGGATATTTGATCTTCACAATATATTGATGGTCCATTAATGGATTGTAACTCCAGTTTTACACCGTGGAAAATGGGCGCTTCAAAATGTGGTTCTAAATATGGTGACTTCATTAACTGACTTCTACAATGTGGGGCCCCCCAGTTATAAGTTGGTTTATAAGCCCCAGTAACTATAGTTATAAGTACCATAAACCATAGTTATTGGAGTTATAAACCAACTTAGCTATCTTGGGGGCCCCACTTTGTAATTGGTATTCCGGGCATTCCGGAGCCATAATCGCAATGATTCACCACTGAGTCCGACCCGCGTCCCATGGAGTCGTCGGCTCCGCCTTCATGTCATCCTCGCTGACCGCCTGAGGTGCCGTGCGCCGCAGTCGGCCACTGACCTCGTGGACAAGCGCACAACATCCACAACATCGGACCGCAGGTGGGAAAACCCGAGAAATGATCTATGACAAATATGGTGGATCTCTATGGATCTGCCATAACTATCCATAACTGTCGACTACTTAGAATCATGTTGAACATTTGGAAACAACGCTTTCGACAAACGTCTTAGTGGATCATCTCACCCGTATTCCTTTGGGGTGGATCAATCAGACTAAACTTTAGAAGGCCATATTTTTTTTGGTCCCAAGTTTGTTTATTTGTCCGGAAGTCAGGAAAAAACCATGGTGCTGCAAAAAAACAGGCGAGTTTCTGGTCAAATTTCCCTTGGAATCAATCCTTTGAATCCCATGCAATCCCATGAAATCCCATTGAAATCCATTGAAATTCTATATATCTGGGTAAATGATTATCTGTAATGCTCATTGATAATAGTAATATAGTAATAGTAATATGGTTATAGCCAACTATCTGGGTAAAAATCTGGAATATTTAACACTAACCTGATTTTTTCAGGTCTTTCGGGGATGATTGCCCTATACATTCACCATGATTCCATATGATTTACCTAGGCTCGGTCGTAGTGAAAACCGTCATAATTTACCTATAGATTCCATTATTATGGTTTATGAATCTAGGTAAATTATGATTACTGTGATTCCGTGTCTCTTTCACAGTCTTTCAGACAGGTGTCGTTGCCACCCACAAAGAGAAGGCTCACAGACCTGCAAGGCATGCCATTTTGTCGTGTCTTGAGAAATATTGCCGCGTATTAAGACAAGATCATCTCATTTGTAAACATGGTGGGTTGTAGCAAATCAAAGCAATGTTATATTTGGACATATGAAAATTCAACGTGAACATATAGCATGAAATAGTGTTTTGCTATGCTTGGATTATACTTTGGTATTGGAAGATCAAGGCAAAACACATGTAAAAATATATATATATATACCAGTACAGTATTTGAACCCATCATTGACTTGACTCATGTCATGCAAACATGATGTAACAAACCCAACGATGTCTTTTGATGAAAACAGCAGCTGTGCCGGTTTTCATTCTAAGGTTTACCATCATTCACCTGTGGGTTTTTCAAAGGAAGGTTGCCCCTTGCGTTTATCAACTAAGCAGTGGAAAGGACAGCAAAACAACAGGTCAATGACTGAGTTGATCTCCCTTATAATTTATGAGTGGGATGTATTGAAATGTATTGGAGTATCCATGTACCCAAAAAAAATATGTGGCTCTCGAACTCAGCGTGTCAATGAACCCATACATTTTGCCGATGAAAAAATCGCAGTTCCGAGGACCAAAAGCCAAGCATCGTGAACCATACCTAAATGGGAGGCACTTCAAACAAAACCTATGAGTGATGTGGGTCTGGACTTTCCACACAGCGGTATGTATGCAAAGTCCGGCGGACTTCTCTCATCATTGTTTTTTGGGGGGTTTCCTAAAATGGGGGTAGCCCTAAATCACCCATTTCTAGGATTCTCCATTATAAAAGCAACCAGCTATTGGGGATCCCCGGGCTCCCATTGCTATTAGAAACCCCCAGTGTAAGTGAACAACCAGGTTCACGCGGAGGGTGCCGTTGGATTTTCACCATGTTGGTCACCCAGAATTTAAATACACTGGGGGTTGGTTCACCGAATATTACCCTTGGGTTATTTAACGTAGCGACATAAATCAGACATACATCATCCATCATAAATCATCATGAATCATCACAAATCATCATGAATCATCACAAACCAGACATCATAATCATCATGAATCATCACAAATCATCATGAATCATCACAAACCAGACATCATAGTCATCATGAATCATCACAAATCATCACAAATCATCATGAATCATCACAAATCAGACATAAATCATCATAAATCATCATCAATAATCATACATCATCAAAAATCATGTATCAATGGCCCATTGTCCATAGCTATGTTAAATCACCGAGGAGTAACATGTTGTGGGTCCCGTGTCCGGGACGTCCGCCTCGCCAGAAGCAGTCCCAGTATGGTCCAGCTGATCCGGCGGAAGTGCGCCATGGCGCCGAAACGTGACAAGGGATCCGGGATGTCAACAGAAACTGGGTGTAATTTTCGAAGGACCAAAAAACATGTTTCTAACCGAAAAACCAAATTGGGTTTCTCAGTTGTAACATTTGCAATTTTGGTTTGTCCCAATATTTCCCCATGAAAACCAAGTGGGATGCAAGTGTGACGGTGCATGACGGTGCGCACAAATTCCTGCTGACATAAGGAATTGGAGAAACCAACGACGGATGAATTGTGCAAACCATTCAGAAACCCACTCATCAAGTTTGTTTCCTTTACCAGCCGTATGTTGGTCTCGCCAAATGATGTTTGTTTCCAGTGTTGCGATGGTTGATGGGAAGGCAATGACTTGTTTCTACCTGGGCACTAAACCCAAAGCTGGATGCAACCACTCAAACGGTCCGACACAACAAGTACACAGTACAACTGGACGAAAGGGTGAACAAAATTGGGTGAAAACGGTGTAGTCGAACGGTTCTACCCCTTGGTAACCTGGATTTGACAGGTCGGTTTATTTTCTCAATTAACTATCAAAATCCATGAGTTGTCACTTCCAACATCATCCCAATAGGAACCCAGTATATACGAATACCACCCAAATAATTGATCCAACTTTTCCACCATCATCCAATCACCTTACTAACCATCAGAATCCATCAACCCAAAATTTTCCAATCACAAGTGATCAAATCATTAAAATTCATTTGCGAACTGCCAATCCCATCTCCTCAATATGGTTTCGTATGGAAATACCGTATCCCTACTGGAAGGTTTGTCTAGGGGGTATGCTTCGGAGGTATGCTTCGGGGTTTGCTTCGGGGGTATGCTTCGGGGTCTGCTTCGCATGAACTTCATCACATGGAACTTACTTCATATCTAAGAGGCTTCCAACAAACTTTCCAACCTTTTATATATCTCTGTGTATATCCTTACACATATATTTGTATAATATAGACACGTATGGTTTTCTGGTCTAAATCAACCGCCAAGGGCCAGAGTCTGGCTTTCCCAAGTACAGGTGAAGCCCGAGGCTCGTTCTGACAGCAGGTATAGTTGGTTCAAGGCATAGCTGGTTGTAGGAAGCACGTTTGTTCCTGACAGCAGGTGGTTGGTTCAAGCCGGTGCCATGGCGGTATGGGCAAGGATGTCTTATTTTCAGGGTTATGCAGAGATGTGAAGTATCTTACTCACGCGTTCAAAATGTGCCAGGGTCTGGAAGTTGAAGGTTTGAGGTATGAAACGGGTGTGATTCGGGTATGATTCGGGTATGATTCGCGGAGCACTATTCAGCACACGTATCAGATCTAGACAGGAGGTACAACGGCCAGTCAGCACCAGAAGCTGGTCGATGCAAACGGTATCGGCTGCCACAATGAAGCTACAGCAGCCCGTCAGCACCGAAGCTGTCTTCAACCTACTTGGCTGCATAGGGCAGCCAGACTGCGGGGATGGAGGGCGGGATGGCGCAAAGGTCGCCTAAAGGCAGCATGAAGCAAGTGTCGCGACCCATGATCTCCAAACAACAACCATCAACAAGCCCTCAAAAATGATCTTCATTTTGGGGGTTTGCTTCGGGGTATGCTTCGGGGCTATGCTTCGGGGTGTGCTTCGGGGGTATGCTTCGCAAGAGCGCCACCTTCCACCAATACATATCTAGGACCACGGAAAAAATACCAACCCATATGTTGAACTACCCCCACTATGGTCCCCTCAATATGAAAATCGATCCAATACGTTCCACCATTTTTTTTTTGCCTGGGGTGCGTGAAAAAACTAACACGGCTATGGAAAACCATTCTCAATAGGTAAATCAATGCTAAATAACTAACATAACTATGGAAAATCACCATTTTTAATAGGTACATAAATTATAAATGACAATTTTCACTGGCTATTTTGACATAACCAGAGGGTAAGGTACAAAAAGTATAAGATTGACCAGGTTTTAATTTCCAGGATCATTCCCCACATCCCAACAGCATATTCTGAGTCACCCAACTCCCCGCAAATCCTGGAGTCCTGCGACCCCTGGGGCACAGCGTTGCACCCGCGCCTCGCCCGTGCAGAACGGAGATGGTGGGGCTGGGTGTGGTGAATTATGTTGAAAGAAACACATATGGTACATGTTTGGATGTTTTTTAGTTAAGTAATGTTGATCTGATTTTTCCACCCTTTCATTGTTCCAATCCAATTCTGGGAAAACTGTCCCCTACAGCGATGGTGTCATAGTAGAATCGGACAAACACATGATTGGGCACCTTTGTGTTGCAGACAACGGTAAACATGAAGCAATTGCGCACACAAATCGATAAAGCATGAACAAACGATAAGGGACATCCGAACAATCGAGTTCTTTGGGCATCCTTCTTGAATTTGACAACAACAAATATCATGGCAAAAACAGGACTTGTATGATGCATGCTGTTGAAGGTTTCAAGGCTGAAAAACGTGTGCCAGCATTTTGTTTGCAGCAACAATTTTGAAACATGCCCGGGTCCTGGGCGTGTAACCCAAAGTGTGGATTCAGAGTCACCTGCCCCAACATCCGCATAATTTGTTATTCCGCACAAGTCTGCACCCCTAGGTGTGCATCTGATTTTTATCCGTGGCTTCCTCAGGTAAACTGTTAAGTCTGGGAAGCATATCCTGTTTGCTTCTACTCAGTGTTGGGAAGCCGATCAACCGAGCAGCCAAACATAAAGCTGCCAAGCCCCTTCAAAGTGGTCCAGCCTGGCGCATGTCAAGGCGTTGTGATGCTATTGAAAGCTAACGTGGGTATATACCCAGAAGGAACCCGAGAACGAACACCGAGGAAAAAAACGATGCAAATTGCACGCCATCTTTTAGGCCACCATGAGTTGACTTGACAATAGCTATTGCAGCAGCTGCCCAGTTCCAAAACATATCCTCCTCCAGCAAACGCTGGAGGAGCTTACAAATAGACAAACAGTCCTTTCCAGTCCTCTAGATTCCAAATTGCGGCATTCTGCACTTTTTACCTGTGCCTGCTCCGAGGTCTTTATGAATTGGTTGAATAGAGTGCAGCGCACCAGAAGTTCCTTTGCCTGAATATCTGCTGCAAAATGGTAACCCAACCAAGTACACATCTTTCAGAATGGCAATCAGGTTGAACTTGTGTAGCTTGAGGTCCTTCAGATGCACGACCCCAACAAACTTGGACAACTTTCAGCCTGCCAGGCAAACAAATGCACATTTGAAAGCGCGGTTGGGGCATAGTAGATGGTAAATGCCTGATTGTAGCCATAAGTCGGGATAGCATCCCAAAAATTATGGCTGTACCAACTTACTGTAGCTGGAACTGCACCGCCAAGCAGCTGACACATATCACAAACAATGCCCATTTCTCCAGCCATGGGCGGTACAAATGTGGAAATCTTGAATCTTAAATCTTGAATCCAGGAAACTACATCCAAAAAAATGGAGTTTCATTTTTGGGTTTAATGTCAACCCCGGGTTAGAAACTCCGTTCATGAAGGAATCTACCCCTAAAATTGTGTGTGATAAATTACTGTCGAAGTTGGTCCCCCGAGCAAACAGAGGGTTTTTTATATGGGTTTATACTCAATTAGTTTTACGTAGGTTTACATTCTGTTTATATGGGTTTATATTCCATGATGGTTGATATTGTCATGTCCATATGGTTTACCTAATGTTTATTGGTTCGGGGGTTTACATTCCCTCACATGGAGCCATGCTGCGCATCTTGGAAACCGACATCCCAGTGGACACAGCCAGTGGATCCATCAACAAAGCAAGGATGCAAAACTCTAGTTTGAAATAAATGGCCCAGTGATATATTGGAAATATATGCCATTAGTTTGATATATGTTTCCCATATTGATCCCATATAGATGAAAAACTATAGTTTCCATTAGTTTGAAAGAAATGCCACCAAGCTTCTAGTCATATTGGAAATCTTGAGCTTCTATATATATGTTTCAATTCATCTATTCAGTCCCCCAAATGGGCTATATAAATGGGCTAAGCTGCTTTCAAAATCACCGGGAAAGACCGCCAAACAAATCCAAGCATTGATTCAGGGCTGATCAAGGGGATTCTATGGTCCCAAATAATGTCAAGCCTGGATGAATAAACCCCGTTTACGGCTGTTGAATTGGGAGGGTACCAAAAAAAGTAGATGAAATGACTATTGGAGAGTCATACCCACCTAACTTTCATAAACTTTCAACCACCATGCTTTAATTTCTCCGGGCTTGACATTAATATCTGTAATTCCCCGTTGAAAAAAAACATGGTTTCTGAGGCCTTATTTTTTTTCAGATCTCCGGGGCCGCCAGAAAAAACATGTGATCGGCTGGCCTTCCAAATTCAAAATGTCAAGATCGTTATGGGGTCAAAAATGATGATTTACCTATTAAAAATGGTGATTTACCTATTAAAAATGGTGATTTACCTATTAAAAGATGATTTAGCTATGGGTTCATAGATGATTTACCTATTAAAAATGCTGATTACTGGCTTGACAAAGAGACAAGTTGCACACCAGCCCTTCGTTGCGTCGCAAAATCCTGCAGGCACATGACCTTGACCATAGCGTTGCTACATTTCTTGTGTTTTTTCTCAGCAAAAGGTTGCACACCTGCAGTTTTGCTCTGGGTAAGCCCTGCCATGCTTGTTTAGTTTTTTTTCTTTTATGTGTTTGCAGACATTATGGCTAGACGCAGGTATTTGGTCCAACAAAAACTGCACGTTACGGATTGTTAAAAAATAATGACCAGAAATGACCAGAACCATGTTTGGATGATGGTTCTTCCAGGTACATAACGATTGTGTACACACATGACGTAGGTGCCAAACCCTAGTAATCCCTTCTCCCTGATATCAAATACACCCTTAGAAGCTATAGTTTGCTATTGGTTGTGGTCAATTTGGGTGGCCAAAAAGCGAGGGTTCTCTGACTAAGGGGGGAAAGGATTACCTACCAGTTGTGCAGGTTTTGACATCTTGCTTCTCATATGGATCTGTCGCATACCCTCT